GAGGGCTTCCAAGATGAGCATCAGCCTCAGGCGCTCCACACAGGCTTCTGTTTCAGACTCGATTCTGTGACAGGCCGCCCTGGGCCCCAGCTCCCATTTCTGGTCTGGGGCCTACAGATGTGGTTCTCAGGCAAATTGTTGTGCCAGCCGTCCAACGGGAGCTATATCTTTTGACACCGAAGCCGAGCCACTCTTAAGGATTCTGGTACCTTTCAGGAGACAAATGCTGTTGACTGTGGCACTGCTGGGAGCCATAGGTAGCGCCTTGCCCCTGGTTAAGGGAGCACCCGACACTCAACCCCCACTGAGTGGAGCTAGGGCTGTATCCCCAGGTGACAGAGTTGGACATGCCTCAGGGACAGAGAGGTGCCTCGGAAGCCTGAAGTCGGGGGTGGAGGGACGCTGTGGTGTGTGGCACCTTCCAGGTCCTAGTGGTTCTGTGACATGTCACTTACCACCCTGGTCCTTTCTCTTTTTCCTTTTTCAGGAGTGCTCCGGCTTCACCCACTCACCCTGGGCTGATGTCCCCTCGTTCCAGTGGCCTGCAGACTCCAGAGTGCCTATCTCGGGAGGGCTCCCCCATTCCACATGACCCTGACCTGGGGTCCAAGTCGGCCTCTGTTCCTGAATATCGGTGTTCCCAAAGTGCACCCGGTGAGGCCCGGTCTTGTCCTTTCCTGGCACGACAGCCCTGAACAGGGCCAGCAGGGTCACGTCCTCTCTCCCTCTGCTCCCTGCAGGCTCCCCTGTCAGCGCGCAGCCAGTGATCATGGCTGTGCCTCCCCGACCGTCCAACTTAGTGGCCAAGCCCGTTGCCTACATGCCAGCTTCTATAGTGACCTCACAGCAGCCCTCGGGCCACGCGATCCACGTCGTGCAGCAAGCCCCCACCGTCACCATGGTCAGGGTGGTCACCACCTCCGCCAGCTCAGCCAATGGCTACATCCTCGCCAGCCAGGGCTCAGCAGGGGGCTCCCATGACACGACGGGTGCAGCCGTGCTGGACCTGGGCGGCGAAGCCAGAGGTAATGGGAGCCACTGCTTCGTCTCAGCTGTGCTGGCTGCAGACGCTGCTGCCCGGGCCTGGGCCACGGGCCTCAGAGCTGGCCTGTCAGGCAGAGGCTCAGGGAGGGCGGCTCCTGCTACTGCGTCCCCTAAGGCATCGCTGACTATCCCCAAGTGCCCCCTCGCCTGGCTGAGGGTGCAGCCTGTGGCACGTGGCTGTGGCCTTGAATTTTGATTCTCCTCAAAGTGACACTGAGTTTAGTTGGAACTAATTTAACATTTTCTCAAGGAGAAGGAATAAGAATAAGCCTGGGGAGGTGACCTCTAGCACTCTGGTGAGGAGTCTTTAGAAGTTATTGGGAGGGACAAGTCATGCTGTAAGTTCCTAAAAGAAGTCCAGATCCCAGGGTGGGCCAGCCAGTGCCTCTGTGCTGAAGAGCACCTCTCAGGGGCACCTCCCAGTTAAGCAGGTGGTGTTGTGTGATCACGGTCCACTCAGTCTTGGTGGCCATTTTTTATTTTAATACATCATCATACAAACTGTCTCTTGGTAAAGACTAAGCCATGGCGCTAAAACAAGACCATTTTGTTCCAAATAATACTTTCTGTTTTGCGGATTAAATTTGGGATTTGGGTTGGCTCAAGTTTAAGGTACACTTTTTCAAAATCCTATTAATTGTCTTTTTGTTGTTGTTGTTGTTGTTTTTGGAAACACGTTTCTTCTGTGGGATTTTCATTTGAGAAGCAGTTTCTCCCAGGGCCGCTCCCTCCTCCCACCTCCATTTGCAGGTCCATTGCTGAGGCATTTGTGGCCTTTGATGGCCTCATTGGCCAAATGCAGTTATTTCTGTTGTGTTTCGTGTGGTGCCGGGGATTGAACTCACAGTCCACACATGCTAGGCAAGTGTCCGACCGCTGAGCTGCATCCCAGGCCCCTGCCGAGGGTGGTTCTGATTCTCTTCGTGCCCCACAGGCTTGGAGGAGAAACCCACCATTGCATTTGCCACAATCCCTGCAGCCAGCCGCGTCATCCAGACAGTGGCCAGTCAGATGGCCCCTGGGGTTCCTGGACACACAGTCACCATCCTGCAGCCAGCCACACCAGTGACCATCGGGCAGCACCATCTCCCAGTTCGGGCCGTCACTCAGAATGGAAAGCATGCTGTCCCCACAAACAGTCTGGCTGGCAGCGCTTACGGTGAGGCCCGGCCCCTTCTCTAAGCCCGAGTCCTGAGCAGCGGGGTCCTGCCCACAGTCAGTGAGCACACCAGAGCTTTTCCAGTCCCATCACTGTGACGGTGCAGCTCAGTAGGGGAAACCAGATGTCCCCGTGCCGTGCAGGCCACACTGAACTGTGGAGAGACAGGAGGTCAGAGGAGGAACATGGGGTGGGGCCCTGGTTGGAGTGGGCTCAGGTCTAAGTGGGTGGTCCCAGGCAAGTGGTGTTGTGTGACGGAGGTAGGGGAGGAACCCTGGGCACGGTTCTAGGGATCAGACAGATGCAGCAGCAGGAGAGCCTGAGGTGGGCTCCTGGCAGGCTGGGAGGGAGTCAGAAGGAAGTGTGCCTCGAGCAGGTAGAGAAAAAGGGGAAGGCTGGGCACTGCCCTGGGAGAAGCCAGAGCTGGGAGCCAGGTCCCTGTCTAGGTGACCAAGCCCTGTCTAGGTGACCAAGGAGAATGGGTGTTGGTCCTCCATAGATTCCCAGGTAACCTCTCCTTCCTCCACCCCAGCCCTCACCAGCCCCCTGCAGCTCCTTGCAGCCCAAGCAAGTTCGTCCACGCCAGTGGTGGTCACCCGGGTGTGTGAGGTGGGCCCCGAGGAGCCAGCAGCAGCAGTCATGGCGGCCAGTGCCACCCCGACCCCAGCAACCTCCAACACCACCTCAGCCTCCTCCAGTGGGGAACCTGAGGTCAAAAGGTCCCGGGTGGAGGAACCCAGTGGGACAGCGACCACACAGGCTGGGGTGATGGCAGCCGCCGGCCCCCAGGGCCCAGGCACCGGAGAGTGAAGTCACATGTACAAGGTGGAGCAGGACATGCCACAGGAACCTGAGCAGGCCCCACAGTGCCGACGGCTGCACTTGAGGACCCAGGAGAGGGGCCCCAGGGCTGCCTGAAGCACTGCCACCTGAGCGGTGGCCACCACGCCTGGAACACCCATCCTTCCCACTTTGCCTTCTGCCCTCCCACGGTGTGAAACAAAAACACATAAACCAGTTCCGACAACTGATCGCATGGTCCTGGGGATCTCGTGTGTTTATTTCCCGCTCCCTGCACCGCTGCCTCTCCGGGCCTTTTGGTCAAGGCATGGGGAGAAGGTCTGGCCCAGCACCTCAGGAACCTGTCAAGTCCGCCCACCCACCAGGAGGAGGACGCCGGCCTCGGGGCCTTTGCTGGGGCAGCAGCCTTTGCCTGGAAGACCCGATAGGAACTCAGCAAGGTTCCAGCCAAGGCCTTCTGGGGGGACGGGAATGGGACCGATTCCTGTTTGTCATAGTTGGGGAATAGGCAAGAGAAAGGCAGGAACTGCCACTCATGTACTGTTTTATGGTGTCTTTTCCAAAATGACATAGAAAATATTGGCATTAATTAGATGGGGGGGTGGGTCTGGTTTGACTTTGGACCCCAAGTATTTCTTGATGTTTAAACACGGAATTCAGGCTTATCACCAATTCAGGCCCACATGAGAGGGCTTGTGTCCCTTGGGTTTCTGCCTGAGACAGTTTAGCAGCACTGGGCCGGTGCTCTCCTGGCTTCAGCCCTGTCTGATAACTTCAAGAAGGATCCGCGGCTGCCGCCTGGTGTCAAGATGCTTTGGGTGAAAGGTCAGTCTGAAGTCAGCAGCTGCAGTCTCCAGCCAGCCCTGGACACATGTTGAGCCGCACGCCCAGGAAACGGGGCTCCAGGCAGAAGTCAGTTGCCTGCTTGGCGAGGAAGACGTTCATGTGTGTCACCAGAAGACCAGGGTAAACCCCAGGGTCCCCACAGCTCTGTCCCCGGACTGGGGATCCACTGGGACACATCTGCTCACACTGCCTTTCCCACCACATTCCAGTTTCCTGACCTCCCCCAAATCCATCCACTGTTTGAAATTGGAACCGGTTCTGTCAGAAGCTCGGGGGCTCTGGTCACTTAGCAGAAAGGAAACTCCCCACCATGCAGCAGTTGGCAGGCAGGCCCACGCCAGCTCTGCTGGTTTTGACTTCAACGAGGTGAGAGCCAAAGGACAGAATGCTCCCTGCAGTTAGTTGGTCAAGGGGCTCCAGGGCACCTAGGGATGTCCCTCTGCATGTCCATACGACCAGCAGCGCTTTGAGCCACGTCACAGAAGCAGGAGCTAAGCCGGAGCTGAGGAGCCGTGGACCATTTGGCCCAGTGAGGGGATGAGATTGGAGCCCTTCAGCCACCCCGGGGGAACCCTCGGAGGAAGCATTCGCGCATCCTTGCAGTGGCCAGGCACTCTCGCTGGTCCTCTGAGTGGCCACAGCTGGAAACAGCAGCGCTCCAGGGCAGCACCTGCCCTTGGCCTCACAGCCTCTCGCCAGCGGAGCAGCTTCCTCTGCCATGCCCTTGAGGAAAAGACCCAGGGACATCCAGTCCCTGGACAGCAGAGAGTGGCAGGGCACATGCCACCTCTAAATGGAGGGGACAATTTCCCAGGTGATTTGGAGGTAGGGCAGGGAGACTGACCACGGCCAGAGCTGGTGGGCAGGAGGGATGCTCTCTCCTGCTGCTGCTGCATGTCCCCTCACCCACTAGTCGGGTGTCTGCTTGGCCAGGAGGACATTCATGTGCGTCACTAGGAGTTAAGGGATAAGCCCTGGCCCTGCCCTCTTCCTTCTGCTTGCAGGGAAAACCCGTCGCTGTCATTATTTTAGCCCCTCAGACCAGGGGTTTCTATGGCACTAAACCTTAACTGGGAAATAAGCTCTTTGAAGTCTGTACCTTGGCCTTGGTGAAGTTCCGGGAGACGGGCAGGGTGAGGGCGACCCCTTCTGCCATAGCACCCTCCGCGCGCAGCGGCTCCTCCTTCCCCTTCCTGGGCCTTTCCGCGCGCCTGGTGTGTGCGTGGGTCGGGAAGCAGGAACAGGGAGAGTCCTAGGTGAGGACCTGTGACAAGGGATGTTAAGGTCATCAGATCCTTCTTTCCCTTCCCTGGCTGCACATGGTCACCTCTGTGGGGGATTCTGTTTGATTCTGGACAGTAGTGACAGCCACAGGAGGTGCTTGGGTGGTGGCTTCAGAACTGTAGGTCCCTGCGTTTCAGGTCTCCTGACTCTGGCTCCAACTTGTTTGCTCTTCTAGTTTCTGAGACATTCTGGTCCCTGTCTTCTATACTGTGTCACTGTGAACACAGCCCAGGTGAGGGGCAGAGGGGGCAGGGAGGGCAGGGACCCATTCTCAGAGTCCTGCTCGTGGAGGGTCTCTCTTAAAGGGACAGAGAAGTGCCCTTGGGATCAGTGCAGACTCTGCGCAGGGAGAGGGTGGGGAGGCTGGAATGTCACGCTGGGTTGATAAACGGTGTTGGAAGGGTTTTGGTCATCCACCAGGTGGCATACCTGGCTCCTGCCAGAACTTGTCCTGGAGCCAGTAACCAGAGACCCAGGGGTAGCTGGTGACCAGAGCTGCACATCCCAGCCAGAGCTCTGCATATGCTCCAGAGCCACCAAGCAGGCCTCGCAGCTGGGCCTGTCCTGGAAGCCAGAGTTCACCCAGAGGCCAGGAGAACCTCTACCATCGGGCTCGGGCCTTTTAGGTGTCACTGTAGATGTGGAGCAAGAGGACCTGCTCTGGGTCATGCCAGGCTCTAGGCTCTGGCATGACCCAAGGTGGAGGCCCGAGGTCCAAGGTCCAGGCGATGGCCTGGGGAGGCTCCCTCCCGCCTTGCCCTGCTCTGACTGGAGCTTCCAAAGACCCGGGTGCCTGGCCAGCCTCTCCCTACTCAGTACATCACCAGACTCAGACGCAAGAGTGTGTGAAGACAGCCAGCCCTCCCAAGCAAGCTGGCGTGGTGCTGGGAGTCAGAAGCTACCCTAAGAGCTCGCCTGGCTGTTGGGACCTCAGTTTGCATCCCTCTGTCTGTCTCTCATATGTCAAGCGGCAATTGGTGGCACTTTCCTTCCATGCACTTCGGGTGTTGGCTGTCCCTTGTGTCTAACAGGGGACTAACCCACTGTCTCTGAGAAACTCAAGAAGGAGACTCATCATCCTTGAGACCAGGCCGGGAAGACAAGGGGTGGGGAGTAGGCCCAGGCAGGTGGAGGACCCGTGGTTTCCCACCCAAGGCCTAGTTTGTTCTATGTGGGGTTTCTGGGTTTCTATTTTCTATTTTTGTTATTTAGACCCAAGTCAAATGGAAAGGATGGGAGTAGATGTGGGCGTTGCTGGATGGATGTGTCATGGACCTAGGTCTCATGCTTGAGTGTTTTCCAAGTTGGGAGGTAAAGGTCAGGTAGAGCTTCATCATGGCAGGGACAGAGACTCTCCCACTCCTCTAGGCCACCTCCGTCTCCAGGTGGGTAACCAATCTCGGGATCCACTCCTGGGGCTCTTTGCTCTCCTCCCCAGGCCTGGAGAAAGGGTGGCTTGAGGTCCTGGGATCATTTTAGCTAATGCTCATTATTTCCTCTGAAATGAAGAGCCTCCCTGGGACATTCCAGGTGGGCTGGGAGTTTCCAATACCAGGGTTCCTCTCTGTAGACAGAAATCTCTACACTGGTGGCATACCTGGTCCCTACCAGAACTTGTCCTGAAGCCAGTAACCAGAGACCCAGGTGTGGCTGGTGCCCAGAGCTGCACATCTCAGCCAGAGCTCTGCATGTGCCACTCTCTGACTTCGGAGTCAGAGTCCTTCATGGAGAACAGACCTCACTTGAAGAGACAAGAGCTTAGTTGAATGCAGGAGGAGGACAGGAAGAAAGGATTCCCCAAGCTCTTACAGCAAAGAAACAAATGCAGCTGGTGGGAGGGAGCTCTCTGCTCTTCTTCAAAAGCCTCAAATTCCCCTTTGCACCTAAGTGACTTCATCTGGTCCAAGGGACGGGACCCTCTCTAGGGACATTCCCCACCTGTCCTGGGCGCTCCCTCACCCTCTGAGAGTGCGCCTCAGTGCCCAGTAGCTTGATCCGTGGTAAATACAGATAAATATGAAAAGCGTTTGTAAGACTGTACTATTAAAAAAAAGAAAAAGAAAAGTCCCCATGTGCCGAACAGGAGCCTTTGCTGTCGTGGGCCACTCCGCTGAGCACAGAGAGCAGAGCCCGGCCGACCTTCCTGGTCTTGGCTTAGGATGGAAATGTGTTTGCCCACGGCCTCGTCTCAGGGCTCCTTCAGATACCTCTGCCTAGAAGCAATATTATTTAATAAGAACAATTTAAATTGTTCCAATTGCTGCTATGAAGACAGGACTGGTCTTCAGCTGGGACTTGGCTTTGGAGGCTCCCCAGTGTGTACGTGGGCTCTTTGAGGTGAGGGCAGATTACAGACTGGAGCAGAGGTCTCGTGCCCATCTCCGCCTGCCCACTTCCCGTTGTGCTCCTGTCCTTTGCGACTCCCTTTTGTCATACAAGTTGCTTTCTGCATGCCTTGTTGTCGCGCTAGGGTGTTTGGAAGGCTCAAGACCTCGTCCTGGTCATGCATACACGCTCACTGCCCTTGCTCAGGTCTGGTGCAAGAAATCTGCTCCCCACGTTTTCTCTCAGTACCCAAAGCTGCTGTGCAAGCATCAGAGCCGGCAGGGTGTCCCTGCAGTACTGCAGCCCTGCAGGCTAGTGAGCTGGCCCACGTTCCTCAATAGGAGACCCTTTCCCATGGTCTGTGTTTGAATTTCAGATGTTACAGTTGTAGAAGGGACGGTCCCGTTTGGAGCAGCTCTGCTTACCTGCCCTCACCCCATGAAGTGGCAGCAGCTTTGCAGCATGGGATTTTGTGATATTCCCATGGGCATTTCCTCTAACCTGAAACAGAAAACAGGCCCATTTCAATGACTTTGTTTAGGGAATATAATTTTATACTTATGTTAAAAAAAAAAAATCCATGCTCCCCTTTCCAGGTCTCAGCTCAGCTGTTGGAAGGAGCATTCCAGAACCACACGTAGGTGGTCTGGTGCAGTAGCCAGGGCAGTGCTGCCCCAGAGGTGAGGCCAACCAGATGCCCATCACCAGAGGTCCCCCGTGGGCAGGAGAGCCAGTGCTGTTCCCCTGTAGGTGGTGCGCGGAGGTTCTAGGGGGCAAGGCTGAGGGCACAAGAGAGAAGTGTGAGCCGGAGGGAGCAGTCAGCAGCATCTACTGGTGAGCCTCCCTGTGCCTGTGGCCACCTCTGCCCATGGTTAGACCTGCCCTGAGAAGTGTCCTTCCTTGAAACGGTATGCCCTCGGGCCCAGGCAGAGGTTCTCAGGACGAGGACTGAGCTTTCCTCAGGAGCCCCCACCTGTCACCCAGCTGGGTGCTTCTGTTGCATTTTTGGGCAGGGCTGAAATGAAGATCCTTCTCTCAATTAGTGAGCCACAGGGAATTTTTAGCTTCTTTTACTCTCCCTAATGGCTGGTTGGGGCTGCAGAATGTTCTAGAAAACAGTTAAGAGAGCAGTTACTTTTTATTTTAGGCATCCTCCATTCTTTCTGGGCAAAGACCCAGGCACAGGATTTTATTCATTCTCAGCATCTGCTCCTCCTTCTAGACACAGGTGGAAAGAAAGCCCCTGGGGCCCGTGAGCAGCAGCAGATCCTCTTAGGTACTGGGGTTAAGCAGCCAGTCACTGGCCATAGAGGACCCCTGGGGTCGCAGGCCCCACAAGCCAGCAGCATCTTTAAGCTGCTTCCTGGTTTCAGTCACCTGTAGGCTGCTGAGGACACCGGAGAGGGCTCCTTCTCTTCTTGCCCACTTCCCATGAGAGAGTCAGCAGAGAATTAGAAGAGTCCTGGATTAGATTCTGTATCTGGGATCTTGTTTCTGGAATGGTTTGCCCGTTTGATTCATCAGATCCGCAAGACACAGTGAGCAGCGTGCAGGAGGCTGGCCCAGAGGACGTGTGGCTGCCTGAATGAGGACAGGTCCCGGCATCATGCGCAATCCCCCAGGGCTTCTCTCCCTGCAGTAAAAGCACTTGTGGGCTTCAGCATCTAGCACTGTCCCCAAACTCCCAGATATGTTGGCTGAGCCCAGATGAGCCCTGTGACTCTGAAGTAGGTTTTTCCCCCTGTGTGAACCACTCTGGCCTGTATGGATTCAAACTGTGTCTGTGGCCTCTGAATTTCTGGCTTAGCTGGGCCAGACCTTTTTTTTTTTTTTTTTTTTAATTAATAAAAATAGGGATTTAAAATCAAATATTTTGTTTGCCCTGACTTCCCTTGGAGGGAGGCATTTTGGATTCCTCGTTATACCTTAACTTAACATAGCTTGATTCCTGCTTCAGGAAAAGGTGGCAGAGAGGAAAGAAGAGGCAGGAGCTGTTCCAGGTCTTTCCTTAGGCTTTGCTGCGTCCCTGAAGGCTGGCTGCTCGGCGTGTGCTAGGATGGGTTAAAGCCAATACTGAAATTGATTTTTCTTACCTGAACGATAATTCTCCTGTAAAAATAATTTGGGGGGTGGGTGTTGTTCGGGGAGTGTGTGTGTGTGTGTGTGTGTGCGTGTGTATATGTGTATGTGTGTGTGTTTTTTTTTTTTTTTTAAAGTGGCTGTCTGAAGTATTTTCACAGTATGTTTAATAATCAGTGCTTTAAAAAGCAGTGGTATCCTGTCAAGTGGGGCTTCTGGTTCTTGAACTTGGGCTGTGTCCCATGCCAGTGGGTGACGGTCCCACCCAGGATGGCATCCACACACCAGCTCCATGGGCAGGAGCAGGCGCTGGAATCAGAAAAACCAACAGACCCACGTCAAAAGCAGCCCAGCATGGGTTTTCATTTCATATGGGATACAGTATTTTTTTATTACAGAGCCATACTTTTTTTTTAAGTTGAGATCTGAATGTGATTTCTAATTGTATCAGACGTTAAATGTTTTAAAGCTATAACAAAGTTTAAAATTTCTACTTTTTGTTTTTCATTTAACTGTTCTTTTATCTATTAAATTGTTGTATGTGGATGGGGAAGTTTTGTTTCTCCTCTTAGCATTTGTTTCTATAACCAGAAATAAAATTATATATTAAAGAAATGATAGCAAGATTCCGGGTGGTCCTTGTGATTGATTGCGATTGATTGGTCCTTGTGGTTGATTGATTGATTTGTGAAAATGTGTGTTTGCTACAAATATATCCTGTCAAGGCCCTGCGGTGTTTGTGCACGTGACTGTCTCACTGGGCTGAACAGACACTTGGACTGACAGATGGCCTTCCTGCTCCCTGGAAAGCACCCCCAATGTGCTCTGGAGGCTGAAGGGCAGCTCCTAGGGGGCTGTGTTTCCTCTTACTTGTTCTTGGTGGTCTGTTGCCCCAGAGAAGCCAATGGACAAAGATGGTTTCCACAGGTGCCTTGATTGCTGCACTGGGACTCCCAAGCTCCAAAGCCAGAGTATCTGCAGTTCCAGGAATGTGAGGACAGCTTGAGGCCATTTCTCAAGACATGATGAGGGACAGCCAGCTGAGCCATCCCCCTACTCCTGGGCCCACACCCACAGCTGGATCAGGGCTACCCACAGGTACCTGAAGTTGCCTCAGGGGCCCTCACCCAGGTAAGATTCTCTGCACATCTGTGTGTGCTGAGCCCCCACCTATTCCAGGTTATCGTGTGAGCATGAAGGGCTACAGAGCAAATATGTCCAGGCAGTGGCTCTGATGTCAGCCTGGGGTCAGGCTCCTGCCATGCCACACTTTCTCCTGCTGTGGCACCTCAACCTGGGATAAGCTGTTTCCTTCCATGCAAAATGGACACTGACCTCACAGACATGGGTAAGTTGAGGGGTGTCAGAGTGTTGAGGATGTCAAAGTGCTCTTGGTCACCTGCAGCAAGGCTGGTCCTCTTCTAAAGGCCCCCAAATTGACAAGATTAATGCAGAGTCCCTCGAGTGGAAAGTTTGTGAAAATGTGTGTTTGCCACAAATACATCCCGTCAAGGCCCTGCGGTGTTTGTGCACGTGACTGTCTTGCTGGGCTGAAGAGATCGCTGGAATCTTTCAGACTTCACAGCTGCCCCTAGTTACAGCTCAAGTTTGTTTGCTTCTTGGCCTCCCTTCCGGTCACTCTTTTTCTGATACACAGTTCCAGCCATTAGCATACCATGACTTTAACAGATTCATGACAAGATTTTAGCCAAACAGCAAGCTTGAGAATGAGTTTCCTCTAGGGAGCTGCACTGGCTAATTAACATCTGTTTTTAGTCTTGGGTTTTTAAATTGTTTTTAGGACTATGGCTCACTCCCAAGACCTTAAAATAACATTTTGTGCAAACATAAGTTTTTAAAAAAAAAAAAAAAAACAGTTCAAATGTTAATCCTTAATAAAGCTTGGTTATGTGCGTGTGGAGAGAAGGCATGGGTAGATGTGGATCACTGGCACATAACAGTGAGCTACCCTGGGAACCTGGTATTTACCAGAGAAGCAAGTACACACCCCCAGTAAAAGATCATGACTGCAGTGTGATTCATTGTTGCCAACATCTGGAAACAAACCAAATATCCATGAATGAACAAGACAGGCTAAATAGTTCCCGATTCCATTTATCTGAGGTGTAGAAAGAGGCAAATTCATCCCTGGCAGTAAAAGTGAGGTATCTGGTATGCATTATTTCTGGGGCAGGGGAAGGGTAGAGTTGACAGAGGGGCACAGGGAGCCTCCAGGGAGTTGGAAATGATCTACATGAAATGGCCATGGCAGGAATCAATCAAACACGAATCAGTCTCCCACCAATGTAGCCAGTTAAACACCAGTTTTCTGATTTATAAAGATGTAAATAAATAAGATTTGGAAACTTCACTGTGTATGGTTCACCTTAAACATGAAAACTGAGCGTGCAGCAGGCATCCCATGGACTGCCTATTTAGTCCTCACCAGTTCCCCACTCCAGCCATGTACCCCATCAGCTGGTTCCCATCTCCCCATCCTCAGCACCAGCCCACCTTCAAGTATCTTCAGGGACTAGGTAAAGAATGGTGTCTTGAATTCGCATAGGTAATTGCCCAGCCCCTTCAACTATCCAGGTGTCTTCTCAGTGCCTAACCTTGACCGATGCAAACAAGAGAACATTCATCTCCACTGCCACTCTTCAGGGCCTGAAACAGTACCTGACAAAGGAAGGGACTCAAATCAGGGTTTGCTCACCTAATGACTTTCCACAAACTTCCCTTTCTGTTTCAATACCAAATGAATGGCACCACCCAGTGCCCAAGCGAGACACCTGCCGTTTGCCTTTGGCTTTTCCCTTCCTCTTCCTGCTCTCTAATCTTTCAATCACCAGGGCCTGCAAATCCCACCCCGGAATGGTTACCGAGTCTGCCTACTAGTTAGGAGTTCTCTAGCTCCCTACCCCATGCAGTCACCACGCTGTGACTACAGAAGGCAGCATGCTGCCTAGGCTGCCCCTTGCCACACCCTTAGAGCCCACCGCATGCAGGCCTTTCCGGTGGGATCCCGGCTCAGTTCAGGCGGCCAGGTGCTTATCACGCTGGACAGCAGCTGCGGGGTGTCTCCAGCGCCCCCAAGCAGCTTACAGGTGGGAATGCTGCCGCGGGGCCCAGCATAACCTCGGCACCTCACTCGTTTTTTCAGCTAATAGGCACCCACGTCCCCTCGCAGCCTGTGGCTTCGTCTGCAAAAGATAGCGACATCCTAGGTGGGAACTGAATGACATTTTTAAAGCTGTACCTAAAGCCCGAGATCGGTGCTAAATAAACTAGAGCTTTAAAACAAAAAAGAGCCGCAACAAGTCGCAGTTGATGGGCCACTTCCGGGCCGCGCCACCATAAGGCCTGCACGCCACCCAGCCGTTCAAAAAACAGAAAGTGGAAGGGGGCACTAGGACATGGCGCCACCCGAGGCCGGGCGACCAGGTGCCAGAGCGAGCAGTTCCGGGGTCAACGTGAGATCCGGGGGCACAGCGTCCACCGAACCCGAAGCCGACCAGGACCCACAGCGCAGGCGCCTCCGGCCCCGTCCCCAGACGCTCTGCGTCGAAACCTATAGGCCGAGGGCCCGCCCTCCTCCCATGGGACGAGGCTCTAGAAGCTGGCGGGGCGCCCGAGGAGGTCGGCCTCCGTAAGTGACGTGGCACGTGACGTGGCACGTGATGCGGCCCCGGAAGTCCCTGGAGTCCTGCGGCACTGGCGCGGGTTTGGGTGTCCTCGCAGCGGCGGGATGTTCACGGCGGCCGCGGAGAGCCTGCTCCACCAGGCCAGGTGCGGGGCTCGCCAGGCCCAGGTGCTGGCAAACAGCGGGAGCGCGGGCGGACCGGCTCCGGAGATTGGGGCCGGGCCGGGGCAGCTTCCTGGGCTGCGGGCCGCGGAGGCGACCGCTGAGCCGAGCTACGGAGGGCGACGGGAGGCCTCGCACTCACGACAGGCGGGGAATGAGCGGCTTCCGAGTTCAGACGCGGGGAGCTGAACCCCGCGGCTCTTCACCGCCCCTGCGGCGGGGAAGCCGCGCGAGTGTTGTGCAAAAGAAATGCGGCCAGACTGAGGAACTGTTCGCCACCCTGCGCTCAGTCTGGTTCTGGGCTCCGACTAGACCTAGCCCCTCCTTACAAACCAACGAGCCCCAGACCTGGTCCTCCTTTTTTTAAAACAAAGAAAAATGCAAGCTGGGCGTTGTGGTGCACGCATGTAGTCCCAGCTCCTCTGGAGGCTGAGGCAGGAGAATCACAAATTCGAGGCCAGCTTCAGCAATTTAGCGAGACCCTGTATCAAACAATGGGGATGTGGCTCGGTGATTAAAAACAATCCAGCTTCAGTTCCCAGTACGATCAAAAGTAAAAGATGAAAATGCAGCCAGAACCTCATTTAAAAAACTAATTTAGATTCAAAGTTGGACTAACTGGTGAGAAATACTAGGAAGGTTGAGGTCCATGGAATTATAGCGAGCAAGGTCAAGAAGGCAAGTTAAGGTCGGAAGTCTGACCAGGACAAAACTCTGGTCAGAGTAACCATTGAAAATGTCTTGGGAAAGTGCCACATTGCCACCCCCATGAGTCCAGTGTGGCCCACCTTGCCTTCAGTAGAGGATGCATGTGTAGATCATTTGAGTTTAGGTAATGAATGAAACAAACCCGCATCCCTCCACAAACCTGCTCACAGACACAAGGAAAAACAAACCCACTCAATGTCATTCCCAACTCATTCTGTCCAGGGCTATGGACCAGTAGAATGAAAAGCAAAGAACAGCTTTCTGTTCAAGTTCATGTTCTCCTCTGTGACGGGGCGTATTGGGGACAGCATGTATCGTTTCCTGAAGGAAAATGCTTGAGTTCCCACAGTGCCTGTAGGCACGCTTGGAGAAAGTACCTTAGCAGTTAAGACTGATCTTTCCCCTTGGAAACACTAGTTTCCACAGTATGCTCATTACTATTATTAATGCATACATTTTTTAGTTGTTGATGGACACATACCTTTATTTATTTACTTATTTATATGTGGTGCTGAGGATTGAACCCAGTGCCTCACACAAGTGCTGTACCACTAAATCACAATCCCAGCCCCCACTGGATGCTTTAAGCCAGTGACAACTTCTGTTTTTTTAAACTAAAAATGGCTAAGGTGTGAAAGTGAAGAAACTGTCATTTCCCTCAGAATGTTTCGGAGGTGTAGGAAGCAAGGGTGGAGAAGGGAATCAGAAATATGTCTGTGAGCTGAGTCAGTGGACCAGGTGGGGCGCAAATAAAGGTTGGGGGACTTTGGTGCACAGCAAGGCAGGGGAAGATCTCTGGGAGGAGGTGGCAACAGAAGCTCAGGGTGGGGAGTTTCAGGCAGAGGGTCCACATAAAGGGGCAAGAGAAAGGAGGGAGGGGCCAGGATTTGGAAGTGACTGGGCAGGTTGGCCTTAGAGGAAGAAGCCTGAGAGGCTGGGGTTGTAGCTCAGGGGTAGAGCACCTCCTAGGCCTTGCGTGCGGGGCTCTGAGTTCCATCCCCAGCACCACAAAGAAAGAAGCCTGAAATTTGGAGATTAGTAGCACCACCATTCTGGAAAAGAGTCTCCCATTAAAATTGCAAGACAGACTGGTAAGCTCCTCTCTCAGTCTCCTTTAGTGTTTATGGCTCAATGTGAGCCCAGTTAGACAGAAACCTCGACTTGTCCTCTTGTCTCTCCATGTCCCTTCTTCTAGCCTGTACCTGTTCTAGCTTAGGTTCCACAATATGACTGAATGGCTTAAGTGGGAAACAAGACAGGGACACGGGGTGGTAGTGAATGTATCCAATGGGTTTCAGGGAAAAGCCAGAGCCACCCAAGACCTTGGCTCCAGACCATCACTGAACCTCTGCCACCCCAGGGTAGCAGCTCAAATATGTGACAGGTTCAGGATGGGTTCAGTGTGTGAGCTTGGACTGGTCAGGAGGTCATCAGTGGGGTCTTCAGCCATGGGGTCACAAGGAGAGGGTCAGGGTGAAGGGGCTTTTCTCAGGTCTCAGTGGTGCTGTCTGCAGGACCTCCTTCACCTTTTGCCTTTTAGTTTGGAATAGAAATCTAAAAAGAGAGACCGGAATCTCACCTGTTGCAAGTGCTGACATATTTTCAAATTAATCCAATCAATATCAGACTACCTTATAATCAGGCTATCTTATAAGCTTTACATGGCCTTGTTTTCAGAAGTGAGAGGCTCACTGATGCATCCTTTGAAAAGCTTTCCTTGAACTAAACTTGCCCTTGCATTTGAATGCAACTCCTAAAGTCAATCAGTTTTAGTTTTGTTTCTGGAAGCACAGAACTGCAACACGTGGCATCTCTACTCAAGGGTCATTACCGTGAACTGGGGTTCGTCGCCCCTGCAGCTTCCTGCTCTTTTCTGCACTGGATGGGATTGTCCCCCAGGCTGGGAGGGCTGCTGCCGTTGCTCAGGCAGCACCGCGGGGTCCCCAGGCACAAGGCAAGCTGTTGATGTCCTTCCTCCTCAGGGAGATCCAGGATGAGGAGCTGCAGGGCTTCTGTTCCCGGATCATCAAGCTGCTGCGGGAGGACCTGGGCCCAGCGGCTGTGGACGCCCTGCAGAGGCTCTTCCTCATTGTCTGGGCCACAAAGTATCCCCGGAGGTGAGTGTCAGGCAGCTGCTCCTGCCCCTTGAGGCAGCCTGGTGCATCCTGCAAGGTGGTGCTATGCTCCTCGGTGTCTGAGCCTCTGTGTCCCTGAAAACCAACACCAGAGGGCCTCGTGGGGAAATGTCCAGTCCACCTGCCAGATGGACCCAGGCCAGCTTCGTTGGGGTGCCGGGTGCCCTTGCAGTGGGTGTGATGTGTTGCCCACTGGGTCTCAACCTCCAGGCTGGACAAGACATGCGTGGACCTGCTGCAGGCCACCCTCTGCTTGCCTACATGCCCCGAGCAGCTCCAGGTCCTCTGTGCTGCCATTCTGAGAGAGATGTCACCCTCTGACAGCCTGACCCTGTCCTGTGATCGTGCCCCGAACACCCGGCAGATGAGTCTGGTGGCATCTGTGCTCCTAGCCCAGGTAACGAACTTGTTGCCACTCAGGGTGAACGTCCTGCCTCTGGTGGTCCTGGGTCCTGGGGGGAGCACAGCAAGCTGCCTGTGACCCTGCTTGTGCCCAATAGGCTGGGTGGGCCACTTGGTTCGGTTCACATTCATTGCCTTCAGCAGCTTTTACCGCTGGTGAACACCCGCGCCCCCCCCCCCAACCTCCTGGCGCTCAGAGACATCCAGAAAGGGCAGGTTCCTGCCTGTGTCCTCTTTTCCTTGGGAAGGAGCCACACAGGACTCCTTTGAAGGCTAGATCAGGCCACGGAGTCTGGGCTGCTTAGGCGACATTACTACACACATGTACGGGTAGCATTAGTGACACCAGGGGAGCAGTGGCATTCTGCTTTCCAGGTGTCTCCAGATCAGAGGCCTTGCTGTCATGAGGGGACTACACAGAGGAGGTTTCACTGAGAGGTGACTGACGTGCCTGACAGAGCAGGCCAGACCTGTGCTTCCAGGTGCATGTACCTGCCTCCTCCGTAACCTGGGTGGCCTTGCCATTTGGAGGCCAGGAAGCCCCTGGAGTGCACATGCCCACAGGAAGCCTTGCAAGCCACTCATGGTAGTGACCAGCAGCCCAGGCCCAGATTCCTTGTCCCTGAGCATCCAACCTAGTGCCCGCTCCTTGCCACCTGGCTCTGAGGAGACTGGGTCCTTGAATCTCTGTTTACATGGCAGCCCCAGAGGCCCTGCCCCAAACCATACAGGGATGTGTTTTTCTAAGAGTCACATCAGGGAGGGGCTCACAAGGACGGAGTTTCCTCAGAGAGCCTCCTGCAGACCTCTGAAGTGGGGGTCTCACTCCAGCATGTGGGCTGAGGCAGCACCTCAGCACCTGCCCTGTTTGCTTTGAAGGGTGACAGAAGACAGGAGGTCAGAAGTGTGGGCCAGCGCATCTTTACAGTCCTTGAGAGCCGGCAGCCTGAGGGGCCCAGTCTGAGGCACCTCCTCCCTGTCCTGTCAAAGGTGGTGGGCCTTGCCCCAGGGACCCTCCAGGAAGGTACACAGGCCCATTCCTGAGGCACCTACGCGGGGTCTTCCCTCCTGGCCCCTCTCTCCAGCATTCCCATGGGGGGGTGTGGGAAGAGGATGGGAGGATTCCCTGGGGAACACCACAGGCTCCCTGGATCACGCCCTGTAGGGCCCTGTTTCCTGAGCCACTTCCACCAGCATCACGAGGGACTTGGGAGTCCGAAGTATTTAACTGTTTTCCTCAATGGGACCCCTCACCACAGACCAGACCGACCTCCTCAGCAAGCGGCTTGTGGATTGGCTCCGCCATGCCAGTGTCCAGCAAGGGCTCCCGCACTCAGGGGGCTTTTTCTCCACACCCAGGGCCCGGCAGGTGAGCCCAAGCTGCTTAGAGGTCTCAGAACTGAAATCACAGATTCTGCCCCCTCTGGGGAGTTCTGTGTCCCCACAGTCAGCTGACCATGAGGTTCCCGTCAACACCTCTCCTTCCACTGGCTCTGGGAGAATCCCTCATTGATGTCTCCACTGGGGACCCTGGGTCAGGAGGCCATAGTCCTTTAGTCTGTGTGGCTCTGGAGGTTTGTGTGGGACTGACACCCAGAAGATGCAGGACACTGTCTGCCCTGGGGTCGTGTGGTGTGTCTGCATGTCATGAGGTGGCTGCTGCTTGGACCCGGAAGAGTAGGCAACCTCCGATGTAGGGTCGGGATGGGTGGGCTTCGAGGCTCACATCCCTGGGCCATGCTTGAGTTCATGTCCACCTGCAGTGTCCTCTCCGCCCTCCTGGGTAGCTTGTGAACCTGTCGGCTGTTCCCCAGCCTCAGCCTCTGCACCCAGCTGGCCCAGAGAACCCCCAGCCCCTGTCCTTCCTCCCCCAGCCAGGCCCCATCACTGAGGTTGACGGAGCGGTGGCCTCGGACTTCTTCACGGTGCTCTCCACGGGGCAGCACTTCACAGAGGACCAGTGGCTGAACGTTCAGGCCTTCTCCATGCTGCGGGCGTGGCTACTGCACAAAAGCCCCGAGGGCCCGAGTACCCTGGACACAGGTGAGCCGGGGGAGACAAAGGTCAGACGAGGGTAAGAGGCAGGTGCACAAATCCTCAGATGCTGGTGGGAGGTAGGGGGCGCAGGTGTGAGGCAGTCCGGGAGGCCAGCAGCAAGGCCTGCTGAGCTGGGAACAGCAGAAAACGAGGCCCAGACCATCAGCCTCCCCCAGGGCCTCAGCGCCAGGGACCCTCGTGATGGCCCAGAGAAGCCTGAGAGGGCTCATGTAAGGCTAACAGCCATGCAGTTGTTGAGACAGCCTCACTGAATTCCTTCTCTTCAGTAAACCCCTGGTTCATAGACGGCGAAACAGCTGGCATCCAGACAGGGGTATATAGCCAGTGTGGGATGAAAGCTGCCAGGTGCAGTGGACAGGCTCTGGGGCCACGTGGCCACTTGGGCCGGCCGGTGGGTGTCCCCTTCTTACCCATCCATGCAGGGGCAGCTGAGTATGGCCGAACATGGGCCACACTGTCCTGCTGAGCCACCCCTCTTCCTACAGATGACAAGTCAGAGCTGGAGGGCTCCACCCTGTCTGTGCTCTCTGCTGCCTCCACAGCCACCCGCCTGCTGCCCCCACGGGAGCGGCTGAGGGAGGCGGCCTTTGAGTACTGCCAGCGTCTCATTGAGCAGAGTAATAGACGTAAGTCTTCAGGCCATTGCCTGGACCATGCCCAGGACTGCCCCCGAGCCCAGCTCCCCTCCTGCCAGGTGTGGTCAAGGGCAGCAGGTCTTCACTGAGCTGCTCAAAGGAGGCTGGGTCCCCGGGTAGCTGCTTAGCCCCAGGTGCCTCCTTGTTTCTGAGGATGAGCTTGCAGTGATCAAACCTGCAGGCCTGTGACCCTGCCAGGCCCGTCCCACCCCATCCTGCACCCTGTGGGCCCTGGTCGCCACTTCAGGTCCTCTCCCAGCCAGCCGTTCCCTATCCTCACCTGGCCACCTTTTCATGGGGCTGTTTGAGGTGGGGGCAGAGGTGAGCTGACTTCCTTCCTACCAGGAGCCCTGCGAAAGGGAGACGCGGACCTGCAGAAAGCCGTAAGTGGCCGGCTGGGGCGGCTGGGGCGGCTGGGGCAGTGGCAGTGCTCAGCCCCCTGACATGGCCTGGGTGTCCCTGCAGTGCCTTGTGGAAGCCATACTGATCCTGGATGTGCTGTGCCGCCAGGACCCCTCCTTCCTGTACCGCACCCTCTCCTGCCTGAAGGCTCTCCACACGCGACTGGGCACAGACCCAGGCAGCGAGCGGGCAGTGCTGCCCCTTGCCCAGTTCTTCCTGAATCACGGTAAGCCCCAAGCTGGGGAGGAGAGTCCACGTGAAAGGACAGCCCTTCTGTCCTCAGTTATAGAGCGTTACTTTCTCCAGGGGCTGTTGGCCCCGATGGTGGTTCCCTTTATTTTTTAAATAGTGAAACAAAACATTCTCAGCTTCGTGTCAGCTCAAAACTGTCTTTACCACATCGCAGCTGTGAAACCCGGAAGCTGAGAACCAGCACCTTCCCGGACGCTCTGGGGTTTCTGGATTTTCCTGTCTGGGGCGTCTCTGGAGTCTATGTGCTCAAGGCTTATGCTGGCCTCAAGATTCAGCCAAGATGTCAAGGGGCCCCCAGGGGCAGCAGAGATGCCTCGCCACATGGCGGTAAAGAGGCCCCTGCAGCAGGCCTTCCCGCCCAGATGGGTCTGTTGCCTTGCAGGGGAGGCGGCGGCTGTGGGCTCAGAGGCCATCTACCAGCACCTGCTCACCAGGCTCCCTTCTGAGCACTTCCACAACCCCATGCTGGCCTTCGAGGTCATCCGGTTCTGCAGGGACAACCTTCCCCTGTTCGACCTTCACCTCCTCGGCATCCTCAAGTCAAGCTTCCCCAACCTGTTCAAGGCATGTGCGGTAGTCCTACGGGGACACGGGCCAGGGTGCCAGGGTCCAGGGCCTATCCCCAGCATGCAGTCCTGGGCCCCGAGATGTGGGGTACAGGGCGAGGTGTAGAGGCCCAGGGTCTAACAGAACCGTCACTGTAGCTGCGGGCAGTGCCTGGGGGCCAGAAGCCCCCCATCTGCCTCTGTGAGCTCGTCCCCACTGAGCAAGCGTGGGACCTCCCTGGTGCCTTGGTCTGTGCTGTGCTTCACCGGGTGGCCTCTCACATCCATTTAGAGAGTTAATCTTAAGGAAAAAACCTAACAAGTGGTTAAAAAGTTGATTTAATTGTTGCACCCAAACTGGCAGCAAAAACAAGAAAGTGTGAAAGGAGGGGCAGAGGCGGGTCCCGCCTGGGGAGAGCAAGGCCGCTGCCTCCAGCTGAGCTGCTGTTCTTGTCCCACAGTTCCTGGCATGGAACAGCCCTCCCCTCACCTCCGAGTTTGTGGGGCTCCTCCCGGCTCTGGTGGACGCTGGCACAGCCGTGGAGATGCTGCACACGCTGCTGGACCTGCCCTGCCTGACCGCCGCCCTGCACCTGCAGCTCAGGTGGACCCTGCTCCCTCCCCCCTCTGCCCCCTCAGCTCCATTACCACTCCAGCTCTCGGCCCCGCCCCCTCCTCCCCCGGAAAGCTGCCCCCACACTGCGCTGTACTGAGCACCCACTCAGGGCAGCCCCTGAGCCTTCCTGCCTGTCTTCATGTTCACGGGGAGGGCCTCCCACAAGTCCCAAGGGTCCTTCCCTGTTACCCCAAGAAACTGATGTTACTGTGACATCTCTCTGATCATTGGTGACCTGGGGGCCAGGGACCAAATCTGGTGCCAGGAGCCGTATTAGCCAGGCCTTGTACTCTCTCATACAGATCTTCATCATCCCCATCTGAAAGGCCCCTGTGGGACGCCTCTCTCAGGACTCCCAGCTGCCTGGAGGCCTTCCGTGACCCGCAGTGCCAGGGTCTCTTCCAGCACCTGCTGCGCACCAAAGCCAGTGGCTCCGCAGAGAGGTGGGGCTCAGTGACCGGGCAACTGTCATCAGGATGGTGCTCCCTGTGGGGCCCTGTGTGTTCCCTGCCTCACGGGACTGTGTTCCTCCCAGACCCGGGAGACAGCTGTGGCCAGCAGCCCTGCAGAGGACTAGCTCATGTCTCGGGGTGGCCTCTAAGCACAGCCAATCTTGGACCTGCTCCTTCAGTTTCCAGAACCCTGAGCTGGTGCTGTGAACACACCCTTTACAGACGGGGACACTGGGGCCTGGCACGCTCCAGGAGGGGGCAACCCGGGCAGACCTTGCGGCTCCGCCGGCCAGCCCCATTTTCCTGGGTGTGCTGACACCTCGGGGCTTCCCTGAGCCCCGTGGGTGGGTGTCATCCTGAAGAGCAAGCAGACAGTGATGGGGACAGGGCCTGACACGAACAGTGGTGGGTGGCCCCCGTGACCAACCACTGTGTCTGTCCTGTCCTTTCCTGGTGCCTATGGAATTCCACAGGTGGGGGGCATTGGAGACACTGAGCGGCCCCACTGTGTCCCCAGGCTGACGCTGCTCCACCAGCTGCTGCAGCCCATGGCCAGCTGTGCCCGGGTGGCCCAGTGTGCCAAGGCAGTGCCCGCCCTGCTCCAGGCATTCTTCTCTGCTGTGATCCAGGTGAGCCCACTGCCCAGTTCCCCATTCCCGTGGGCCTCAAGCGGGGGCACTGGCCCAGTGTGAGGACTGTGGCACTGCCCTTGACCTCTGCAGACGGTTATCCTGCTGCACTCTTTGGCTGCTCTAAGGGTCAGAAATGGAGAGGGTGCACTCCACAGCCCTAGCCAGGTCCTGTTCCCTGTCCCCAGGGCAGGGTTAAGTGGCTTTGAGGGGCTGGTGGCCCCAGCTAGAGCCAGCCATGTGTCCTAGAGCTCCAGGCTTCTTGAATGCTGGTGGCTCCCACTGGCTGCACCCAGGGAGCTCAACCCAGGTGGGGCCCCTGGAGACAGGCTGGTCACGGCGTGGCTGGATGCGGGCTGGGCAGCCTGGGCTTCGCTGCAGCTGAGCAAGACTGCACCCTGCCTCGCAGGCCGGCTGCTGCAGGGGGAGCCACAGGTCAGGAGTGGGGTCCTGCCAGGGCACCTGGGGCCAGGGATTTTTCCCCCTCCCAATCAGCCCTCCCCCAGCTCCCCTCGCACCCCTCACTCTGTCTGCATGGTCCTGAGTACTGGGGGAGGCCACTCAGAAGGAAGGACAAGGGCCTCCCTTCCAGCTCCTGGGCCTTCCCCTCCCCCTGTTGTGATGTCCAGAAAGTGGTGTCCAGTGTGTCCATATTTTGCTCTTGACCTACAGTTTGCTGACAGGGCCCTGACCACCCAGCTGGCACTGCTGCTCCTGGAGAGAAGTGACTCACTTTACCAGGTCCCGCAGTACGAGGCCCGCGTGCACAGGTGGGCCTCACCCCACAGCGGGAGCAGGTCCCACACTGAGCAACCCCGTCTCAGACCCTTGCTCCCCTTCCACTGCCGCAGCTCTGCCCCCAGGCTCATCTCCCCTCCCCTCCCAGCTGTCCCCAGCAGCCTCAGATCCTGCCACGCCCACAGCAGCCCCACGTGCACCCCCAGCCTTGCCCCAGCCCAGCCCCCAATCCAGAACATTCTCTTGTCCTTCCCTCCCCTAAGCCTGTTTCCAGGGCCGGCTTAAGTCCTCCTTCCCGACCCTCTTGCCCTCTGGGTCATTTTTTTTTCCTAAAGGCCTGACACAGGCCTCCCTCAAGTCCAGGACTGAGGACAACACAGGCCTGGTCACCTCTCCAGTGAGGTAAAAGGCCCTGTAGGGGTGGGGAGGATCCTCATCTTCTGACTTTTGGGTGAGGATTCACCTGCACCTGGCCACCCGTGGCTCTGGGGTCACCTCCTGGCTCTTAGACTGGATGGGCAGGCCTGAGAGTTGGAGAGCTGCGTGGAGCCTGGACGTCTTGCTCTCCGGGCAGGGTGCTGAGCTCTCAGTTCCTGGCCCTGTGTCAGCGGAATCCCTCCCTGGTGGTGGAGCTAGCCAGAGAGCTCCTGGAGTTCGTAGGAAGCGTGAGCAACATCCACAGCAGAGCAGGCGTGTTCACCAGTGTGGTAAGCTGGCCTGGCCTCTCCCGCCCTCTGCTGACAGAGGAGGGTCTGCAGCAGGGGCTAAGCCTCCGTCCTGGGCTTAGGTGTGGGCCATCGGCGAGTACCTGTCAGTGACCTGCGACAGGCGGTGCACTGTGGAGCAGATCAACAAGTTCTTCGAAGCCTTGGAGGCCTTACTGTTTGAGGTCACCCAATCCCGCCCCTCAGCAGACCAGCCCAGGTGTCCACCACAGGTTGTCACTGTGCTCATGACCACACTGACCAAGCTGGCCTCCCGGAGCCAGGACCTGATCCCCAGGTACTGGATTAGGGAGTAGAAAGATGGAAACCCTGTCTTCCATGGGGAAGAGACACTTCTGATGTCTGTCCTGGTGTTGCACAGGGTCCTGGCTGGGGGTGGGCACTGCCAGGCTACAGCCAGGCCACCATGTGCATCAGGGGTCTGGACCCCTCGTACACTGCAGCTTGGACAGGCTTGGACCTCCTTGTCCCCAGGGTCTCTCTGTTCCTGTCAAAGATGAGGACCTTGGCCCAGGGCCCAGCTTCCAGCTCCACACACAGTGAGGAGGATGCAGAAGCCATCCGCATCCGGGCCACCGAGCTGCTGAACCTGCTGAAGATGCCCAGCGTGGCCCAGTTTGTATTCACACCTAGTGCAGAAGTGTGCCACCCTCGCTATCACCGTGACACCAACACGTCACTGCCCCTGGCCCTGCGCATGGTCAGCCGGCTGGTGGAGAAGGAGTCCAGCCTCCTGCCAGGATGAGGGTTCATTGACCATATGGACATCGCTGCAGATTAAGAGCCTGAGGTTCGCCGGCCTGGTATTAGGGCCAAGCCACTGGCTTTGGTGATAAGAGGAATCAGGGAGGAGCAGGAGGCCTCCTGGGACAGGAGGGTGGCCCAGGTGGCTCAGCCCCTCAGGGGTGTGTCTGACCCTTGCCTCTGTAGTTAGTGGCCTCACGCTTTTTCTGGGCCGACTGGAAGCTGCAGACCCTGCCCCATTGTTCCTATTTCTGGACCGTTTGGGGGCGTGAGAGATATAGTACAAATAAACCTTTAAAAGCTTGTGTGAGTAGCTGCACGTTCTTTTCCCTCTTCCCTCCTGCGCCCCTACAGGAAGACGGCAACCAGGGAGTGCAGCAGTTGCCCTGAGCTGCTGCCCAGTCCCAGGGCATGGCTTGGCCGGACAGGCAGGGCCTGCCCTGCCCACTGCACCAGCACCCCGACAAAAAATAATCCATCACCCACAGGAAGCAGTGTGTCCCCGGTTATTAACGGCACGTGGACAGGTTCCCTGTTTATTTCCCTCAGTAACTTGAGGGCACAAGTATGGGGTCTTGACATAGCAGAGGACAGCTGGAGTGCTGTCACCTTTGCAGGCTCCCACTACCTGCCACGGGCAGCCGTTCTCAGAATGCTGGGCCCAGGACTGAGTTTATAAGCCGCAGAACCACCCCCCGCCCAGGAGCCCCCAAATCCCAGTCGGCAAGCCCAGGTGGCCCCAGGCTCCGCCCGACGCTGGAAAGGATCGGCCACGAGGTGGCGCCGCCTCCCGCGGGCCTCTTGGCCAGCCCAGGCGGCCTTCAGGCCCCGCCCCCGCCCCAGCCGCTAGACTCCCGGTGGTGCGGAGGTCTAGGCGGGGAGGTTCTGCGCCCACGTGCCCCTGGGCCCTAACCTAAAGATTCCTACGAAGCTACAGCCCCGGCCCACGACCTCCTGACCCAGCCTCATCCCACCCTCCCCGCCAGCTGGGGTCACGGCCAGGTTAAGAGGAACCCCGGGACAGGTGTGTTCGCAGAAGCCCTCACCGTGCCTACCTGTGCCGATTAGCCCCGGTGAGGACAGCCACCCTGAAAGCCGGGGACTGAGGAAACTGCGCCTGCACGGTTTAGAGTGTTGCGTTTGTCGTGTTCACATGTAGAATGCTGATGGCATGTTACCTTGCATGGCACACACAGCTTCACCCATGCGTTTGGGATGTGCCCAGGGATGACTGGAGAGGGCGCTGCACTCCTCTGGCCAGCGCCAGCCGGGCTGGTCCTCTGGCTGAGAGAGTAGAGGCAGCCCAGCCACTTTCCCATCACGTGGTGCCTTTGCCCCCTCTCCTGCCCTCACCTGGTGGCTCTGGACTCCCTGGCTGCTCCAGGGACCCACGCGCTGGCACGTTTTCATATCTTCTTTTAGCACCAATATCATAGACCTTCCTGTGAATGCTTGATCACAAACACATATGGCTAGAAGTGTTCAAAGTGTTTACTTTTTTAAATCTTGCCCCTCATCCTGGACATTGAGATTTGCCCGGTGGGCAAAAGCAGTGGCAGGTCAGCCAACCTGCACTCACAGTCGTGTTCTTCATCCCTCCACGTGCTCATGTTCTGCGAGAAGTGTGATTTCACTTAAGATGTCCTCGATGAAGCAGTAGCAAACTTTAACTTTATTCAATACTTCCCTGGGACACAAGCTCTTCTAATACCTGCTGTGACTACATGGGGCACGCACTCCAAGCCCGGGGCATCTTAGACACAAACTGCCCTCAAGCCATGCAGTGTGGGGGCCTGTGCAGGGCTCTCTTGTGAGTTGAACCTCTTTTATTTTTTTTAAGCCAACACTGTTATTTGAAAGAAGGACAAGCTATGCAGATGTGGGTATTTGGCAGACATTGCTAGGAAATGAATAAAGCACTGGGTCACTTGAAGGAAAACAACGGAGAGTCTTTGTTGCCAGTGATAAAATCAGAGTTCTCAAATCCAAGTTGGAATTTCGGAAAATGTGCACCTGGGCTGTTATACTTCCAAAATTAAAGAGGAGGTTGGTCTTGATTTTCATGAATGGGATTTTAAAAACACTGCATGAAATGCCCCTTTTCTCTCTCTTTCTAAATTAAACTTCTTTTCTCCATCCTTTTACCTCTCTATGTTTAACCCCAGATATATTATTCAGACCTTTTGTTTTTCAGTCCACTAATTCTCTCTTTTGTGACAAAATCTCCTGTTTAATTCTTCATTAATGTTTTAAATGTCACTGACTAGATTGTAGGGAAATTTACACAACTCTAAATATATACTAGAAACCACTGGTAAATTCTATGGTATTTGAATTATATGCCATTAAAACTTAAAAATGTTCAATAACAAAAAATCAATTAAAAAATTGATTAAAAAATGTTCAATAACTATAGTTTGCATTGCTTAAAGAAAGTTCTAGTTGTTGTACTTACCACTGAGCTTTATCCCTGACCTTTGTTTATTTATTTTTTTAATTTTTTATTGTGGGTTGTTCAAAACATTACAAATTTCTTGACATATCATATTCCACACTTTGATTCAAGTGGGTTATGAACTCCCACCTTCACCCCATACACAGATTGCAGAATCACATCAGTTACACATCCATTGATTTACACATTGCCATACTAGTGTCTGTTGTGCTCCGCTGCCTTTCCCATCCTCCACCCTCCCCCCTCCCCACCTCTCCCCTCCCCTCCCCTCCTCTCTCTCTACCCCCTCCACTGTATAACCCTGAGGGTCTCCTTCCATTACCATGCAATTTCCCTTCTCTCTCCCTTTCCCTCCCACCTCTCATCCCTGTTAAATGTTAATCTTCTTCTCCTGCTCTTCGTCCCTACTCTGATCTTAGTTACTCTCCTTATATCAAAGAAGACATTTGGCATTTGTTTTTTAGGGATTGGCTAGCTTCACTTAGCATAATCTGCTCTAATGCCATCCATTTCCCTGTAAATTCTATGATTTTGTCATTTTTTAATGCAGAGTAATACTCCATTGTGTATAAATGCCACATTTTTTTTATCCATTCGTCTATTGAAGGGCATCTAGGTTGGTTCCACAGTCTTGCTATTGTGAACTGTGCTGCTATGAACATCGATGTAGCAGTGTCCCTGTAGCATGCTCTTTTTAGGTCTTTAGGGAATAGACCAAGAAGGGGAATAGCTGGGTCAAATGGTGGCTCCATTCCCAGCTTTCCAAGAAATCTCCATACTGCTTTCCAAATTGGCTGCACCAATCTGCAGTCCCACCAGCAATGTACAAGTGTACCCTTTTCCCCACATCCTCGCCAGCACTTGTTGTTGTTTGACTTCATAATGGCTGCCAATCTTACTGGAGTGAGATGGTATCTTAGGGTGGTTTTGATTTGCATTTCTCTGACAGCTAGAGATGGTGAGCATTTTTTCATGTACTTGTTGATTGACTGTATGTCCTCCTCTGAGAAGTGTCTGTTCAGGTCCTTGGCCCATTTGTTGATTGGGTTGTTTGTTCTCTTATTGTCTAATTTTTTGAGTTCTTTGTATACTCTGGATATTAGGGCTCTATCTGAAGTGTGAGGAGTAAAGATTTGTTCCCAGGGTGTAGGCTCCCTATTTACCTCTCTTATTGTTTCTTTTGCTGAGAAAAAACTTTTTAGTTTGAGTAAGTCCCATTTGTTGATTCTAGTTGTTAACTTTTGTGCTATGGGTGTCCTATTGAGGAATTTGGAGCCCGACCCCACCGACTGTAGATCGTAGCCAACTTTTTCTTCTATCAGACGGCGTGTCTCTGATTTGATATCAAGCTCCTTGATCCATTTTGAATTCACTTTTGTGCATGGCGAGAGAAAGGGATTCAGTTTCATTTTGTTGCATATGGATTTCCAGTTTTCCCAGCACCATTTGTTGAAGATGCTATCCTTCCTCCATTGCATGCTTTTAGCCCCTTTATCAAATATAAGATAGTTGTAGTTTTGTGGATTGGTTTCTGTGTCCTCTATTCTGTACCATTGGTCCACCCGCCTGTTTTGGTACCAGTACCATGCTGTTTTTGTTACTATTGCTCTGTAGTATAGTTTAAAGTCTGGTATCGCTATACTGCCTGATTCACACTTCCTGCTTAGCATTGGTTTTGCTATTCTGTATCCCTGACCTTTAATACCATCATCTCTGACCTATGCACAGCATTTTTATTTTCGTTGATTACCATATAATTTAATAAGCACAGATTCATTTACCACCTAGCACCAGAACTGGGACCCACGTGACATCCTACATCTACCCAGGTTCTCCTGGCCATCCATTCTCCTGTTCTGCCATCCCAATCCTGAGCCATTAGTTTCATCGACTTCCTTGAAATGTAGGATCCCCCACACACATAAATAGTATCCTTCAAAATATATTGTTTCCCTTTAATTTTAGCATTACAAAACAATATCACACTGCAATCAATCTTTTAGGGATTTTTGTTATCTTTTATTGATTTTATTTTTTTAATACATGACAGCAGTGGAATGCATATAGAGCACAATTTTTCATATCTCTGTATATAGAGTATGTTCACGCCAATTCATGTCTTTATACGTTTACTTTGGGGTTTTTTGCATCACAATTTTAATACACATATATACCACAATTTTCATATCTCTGTTTTTATATAAAGTATGTTGACACCCAATTCGTATCTTCATACATACATGTACTGTGGATAATGATGTCCATCACATTCCACCTTCCTTGCTAATCCCCTGCCTCCTCCCTTCCCCTCCCACCCCTCTGTCCTATCTAGAGTTTGTCTATTCCTCCCATGCTCCCCCTCCCTACCCCACTATGAGTTAGCCTCCTTATATCAGAGAAAACATTTGGCATTTGTATTTTTGGGAATGGCTAACTTCACTTAGCATTATCTTCTCCAACTCCTTCCATTTACCTGAAAATGCCATGATTTTATTCTCTTTTATTGCTGAGTAAAATTCCATTGTGTATATATGCCACTTTTTTTTAATCCATTCATCCACTGAAGGGCATCTAGGTTGGTTCCACAGTTTAGCTATTGTGAATTGTGCCGCTATAAACATTGATGTGGCTGTGTCCCTGTAGTATGCTGTTTTTAAGCCCTTTGGGTATAGTCCAAGGAGAGGAATAGCTGGGTCAAATGGTGGTTCCATTCCCAGATTTCCAAGGAATCTCCATATTGCTTTCCATATTGGCTCACCAATTGGCAGTCCCACCAGCAGTGTGTGAGTGTACCTTTTCCCCCACATCCTCGCCAACACTTATTGTTGTTTGTCTTATAGGGATTATTTTCCATTCACATGTTACATTGGTAAGAGTGAGGCACGTGGCTCTGCTACAGTGCTTGCCTGGTTTGTGTGGGGCACTTGGTTTGATTCCCAGCACTGAAAAAAAAAAAAATGTCTGCCTCCCAGCAGGTAGCTGAATTCACTCCACCAATTAGACTTGATGACACTCTGCTCCAAGATACCAATATCTCACCTGGGTCACTGTGATAACCTCATATCAGAGTTTCCTGCTTCTGTTCTCAGTACAAATGACAATACAGTTGGCCACTCAATGCAGCTAAAAATAATTCTATTAAGTCTCATAGCTTCTTTGCTCCCAAGTCTCATAATAAATTCTCGTCTCACCCAGACTAAAATCCAAAGTCCTTGGGCCCCAAACACTGTCAGCCGGTTGTCCACAACTCCCCTTGATGGCTTCAGCCTCACTGGCCTTCCCGTCCTGTTAAGTCACAAATGCACCCAGTCTAAATCCTTTGTGTGTGTTGCTCCTCCTGGGAGTGCTCTGCCACCCAAACACCCACTGGCTTGTTCCTCATCTTCTGCTCTTTGCACTGATGACACCTTATCAATGAAGTTAATAGACACACTGCAAATTAACTACTGCCCCTCTCCCCCTCCTCCTTCTCCTTCCACACGCTGCCCATCCCATCTAGCTGCACTGTTTTCCTCTGAAGCATAGATCACCGTGCACTCTGTCTTAACCTATTATTATGGGTTAGCTATGAAGGGTACCCCAAAAGCTCATATGTGAAATAATGCAAGAATTTTCACAGGTGAAATGATTGGTGTAACCTAATCGGTGAATTGATCCACTTATATGGGTTAACAGGGTGGTAACTGTAGGCAAGTAGGGGAACTGCAGGAGGTGGGCCACTGGGGGTGTGCCTTTGGGGTTTCTGTTTTGTCCCTGGGGAGAATAATGCTGCCCCTCGCTTTCTCTCTCTGCTTCCTGGTTGCTGTGTTCTGAGCTGCTTTCCTATCATGCCTCTCTGCCATAATGTTTTGTTCTGCCTCATCTGGGCCCAGAGCTGTGGAGTAAGCCCACCATGGACTGAACCTCTGAAAGTGAGTCAAAATCAACTTTTCCTCCTCTGTTTTGTTATTGTCACATCTTTTTGATCACAGTGATGAAAAATCTGACGAAAACACCTATGAATTTGTTTATTGTTAGCCTAGGGAAAAAATGGTATTTAATTTCCAAGATGTCAAGGAAGCATAGTCCTTGTCTCTTTTGCTCATTCATATATCCTAACTGATTTTCTACCTGTTTGATTTACCAATTACTGAGATTTATGCTTAGGCCTCCCTTTATGATGATAGAGGATTCATCCATGTTTCCCTCTGATTTTTGCTTTATATATCCTGAAAAAATATTATTAGGTGCATCCAAGTTTAGAGTTGTTTCATCTTCCTGGAGAACTGAATTTTAATTACTTTATACATCTGATATATCTCTGTCCATCATTTTAGCTTTAATTTTTATACATTCTTTTGTTTTATATTTATTACAAATATTACATAGATAGATTATGTTTATCTAGTTTGACCATCTTTTGACTTTTAACCAGTCTCAGTCCATTTGCATTTGTTGTGATTACTGATAATTTTGGATAAATTTCTACTATCTTATTTAAAAGTAAGTAACCTTATTTTGTTTTCTCCCCCCACTCCCTTTCCACCTTGGGTTTTGTTCCTTCACAGTCCATGTTTCTCCTCTGTTTGTTTGAAAGTTAAATATTCTTTCTGTTCTCTCAGTGGCCACCCTTGAAATTTCAATATATATTCTTAACCAAGTCTAAAGTTAACCAGTAACATTAGTATCTCCAAAACAATGAAAGAACTTACACGCAGCTGGTATCCTGAATTTTCCCACTGACTTTTTATTTAAACACCTCCCAAATCAGATGCTACTCTTGTTGCTTTATATAGTGCTTTTATAATTATCTGCCTGTTTATTTGCCTATCATATATTTTGCCATCTTAGACCTTCCAGCAGACGTGATTTTCATGAAGTACGATTTCTTTGGTGTCTATCAGTACTAATTTCTCTCAGTGTTTATCTGAAAATATCTTAAATGTGCCCTTATTTTTGGAAGATTACTTAGGAGGGTTTATAACTCTATATTAAATAGTTTTTCCTCATCCCTGGAGAGAGACCACTGTTCACTGTTTCTCTGTTGTCTGGGGAGAGGCTAGCATTCTGCTGAGGCATTTTTCTAGAAATCTACCCTACCCTCTGGCAGCTGTGAAGATCCTCTGTTTGTCTTTGGGGCTCCGTAGTTTCATTTTAATGTACTTAAGTGTAGTTATCTTTTGCTTTACCCTCTCCAAGCATTCATTGATCCTCTTGATTCTAAGGATTTTAGTCTTTCAATTCTGGAAAATTGTCAGCCCTTAGGGCTTTAAAAATTGCTTCTCCCTTATGTGCTCTCTCTCCTTTCAGAACTCTAATTGCTGCAAATTGCACCTACTCATTCTGGGTCTCAACCTTCATGTCCACATTTTAGATCTAACTTTGCCCTGTTGCACTTTTGCCACTGCTGTGAGAACATGCCCCAGCTCGTGCGTTGGGTGAGGTGGGAGCAGCATGGAGCAGAGGCAGACGCAGAGATGCAGCCAGCTCCTACCAGGCCACGCCTGCAGGCCAGCGCAGGAGGCCCGAGTGGGAATAAATGCTTTTGCTCTAAGATGCTCAGCCCTCTGACTTTTTCCCCCCTTTACTGAATTATGGCCATGGCTAACTGATGTGTCTATCCACGGTCTCTCTCTCTGGAAAACATCTTCAGGACTAAATGGGCAAATGCTGTAATGTCTTGAAGAGCCCCACGTGCAGTCGGCTCTGAGAGGTCTCTTAATGGTGGTCCTAGGCCTTCTCCCCAGGGCCCAGCCCTTCAGGAACTCTGGAGGAAGTGGAACCCTCGGCCGCTCCTCAGCTGCAGGTGGCCAGGCCTTGCTCCTCTACCTCATCAGGCTCCGTAACCAAAGCAGAAATGTGAAGTGCTGAGTCCCGCAGCCCAGCTGCCCAAGCCAGCTGCAGCCTCTCTGAACCTGTGCCCTCACTTCAGTGCTGGGCTCTAAGGATTTCCTTCCTTCTGGGTCCAGCCATTTTTAAAAATGCACTTTTCCCAGCATTTGGGGCACCTGGCCAGGGGCCACTGGTTGGAGCTGGGTGGGGTGTTGATGCAGGCAAGCAATGGAATAGTGGCCAAAGGCCTGGGGCAGATGTGTGGCACTGCCTCCTGGTGCTCAGCAGGGGGTAGCAGAGAACTGCTTGAGCCCAGTGCCAAGACCCACCCCGGACATTGCTTCAGAGGGTCAGGTCCTCCGGGGAGGCCTTTTCACGTGAGGGGTGCACTGCAGCTGACGAACTGAGGCCTTGTCCCCAGGGTCTCTCTGTTCCTGTCAAAGATGAGGACCTTGGCCCAGGGCCCAGCATCCAGCTCCACACACAGGAGGATGCGGAAGCCGTCCGCACCCGTGCCACCAAGCTGCTGAACCTGCTGAACACGCCCAGCATGGCCTCCTTCACGCTCACACAGTGCAGAAGTGTGCCACCCCCACTAGCACCGTGACTGGTGAGAAAGAAGCCAGCCTCCTGCCAGGGTGAGGGAACAGTTAGCCAGGTGGACATCAGCTGCAGATTAAGAGCCTATAGTCACCAGCCCAGCAGCAGAGCCAAGCCACTGGCTTTGGTGATAAGAGAGGAATCAGGGAGGAGCAGGAGGCCTCCTGGGACAGGAGGGTGGCCCAGGTGGCTCAGCCCCTCAGGGCGGGTCAGCCTCCCTTGCTTTTGGGGCATGTTGAGCAAGGTGATTGGAAAGATCAGCCCACACTGATGGGCAGTGTGGCCTCTTCCCAGCTGGATGGGTGCATGGTCTATTTCCTGCTGCTCCTGCTTCTGGTGGGGAGTGGGCAGGAAGGGTCAGTCAAAATAAATCCACCCACAGTGACCATTCCTGGGCCCAGCGGTGGTTCTGCACACTGGCAGGGAGGCAAGTGGCCCTGGAGAGCCCCCAGCAGCCCCACAGTGCTGCCCACAAGGCGGTGTTCAGGGGGCCAGCCTGGGAGCCCACAGATGGCAGAGCCCAGCGACACCACTATGAATATGAAAGATAGTTTATTGCATCTACTTCTGAAACATCAAGGTCTTTAAACATAAAAGCTCTGTAAGAAACATCACAACTTAGTGTCATCTGTCATATAAATAAAATATACACTAAGATGTACAACAGGAACAGGGTGTTCTCAACATGAGGCCACCATGGGGACAACACATGGGTTTAAGAAACACACCCACAGCTGCGGCGCCCGCCATCACCTGGCAGCCGGTGGGCAGCAGGAGGGGGTCCCCCCAGCCCCGCCTAGGGAGGGGGCGAGCGGAAGTGGATCTTTTTGGCTGTGTCCACATCAGACTTGGCCACCAGAAACCTCATCTTCTTGCCCCCGTGTCGGATCAGGTCTACGGCTCTGAAACCAGGGAAGGAGGTCAGGGTGGTGCCCAGGAGCACCAGCGGCCCCAGAGCGGGTGGGACCCAGGGCCTCCGAGCAGCGCAGTTGGACTGAGCCTCCTGCTCCCCTCTGCTCTGCTGTCGCCCAGGTGAGGGGCCTGTGGGGCGAATGTCCTGCACCTTCCCCACCAGGGGTGCCCAAGGGCCAGCCCTGTCTGCAGGCGGCCCTGCCCTGGCTCACCCCACTGCGAGGGCAGCACGGGCCAGGGGTGGGGAGTACCTCAGGTAGCTGACACCCATCAGGCTGCTGCCATTCACCTCCAGGATGCGGTCTCCCAGGGACAGGCGCCCGTCGGAGGCTGCGGGGCTGCCTGGGAGCAGGGTCTGGATATAGAGTCCTGGGGAGCCCAGGGGTGTGTGCTGGGGAGAAGCAGAGGTCTCAGGGCTCTGCCGCACCGACAGAGTCCCCAGCAAGAGCCCACCGCCCCTCCCTTAGAACCTGCAGGCCCCGCCCTGGAGTCAGCCAGCCACATTCATGATCGTGTGTCCAGTAAGAAAAAGGAGTAGACACCAGTCCTGCTCCCAAAGGGCCAGGAGAGTCCTCAAAGGCCTGAGGACAGACACAAGATGACAGCAGGCCCCACAGAAGCCCCTTGGACAGGCTGAGCCTTCCATGAAGGGGGGTGTCCCCATGCTCCTCCCACCCGACTTGACCACGGCCACATGGCCACACAAGCTGGGACCAGGGGCAGCTGCAGGAGTTGGGGTCAGTCCAGGGAGGACCCAGGCCCCACTCACCATCCCATCAATCAGGCCCATCCCCAGGCCTGAGGGGCCCCTCTCCAGCTCCACCATGAACACGTAGCAGAAGTCCTCAGTGCTGGAGCTACGGCTGGAGGAGGCCGCAGGGGGCTCATCCGCGGCAGCCGCAGCATCTCCTGGTGGGAGGAGAGGTGTGAGGGACAAGGGCCCAGGGGCTGGAGGCAGTGCCCAGCTAAGGAATCAGGATGTGGGGACCTCGCGGAGGGCAGACACACTGCGGATGGGAAGTACATGGAGCCCAGGAAGGGCACCATCCGGACACAATGTGAGCTGTAGCCTGGGTCAGGGTCAGGCCTGTGTGGGGGCCTCGCCTCGTCCTAGCCACTAAGTGCCCAAGGACGTGACGTGGGCCCTCTCAGGCTGGCCATTTCCTGGAAGCCAGGACCCTGAGGGTTCCAACACGCGGTCATCCAGCAGGCTCTACTGCCCTTCCTTCCTCCTCCTCCCTGTACTGGTGACTCCATGTCCAATCACCCAGAGGGGTCCCACCGCTAAGCAGACCCTGCCCCCCACCCCCAGCCAGCTGGTGACCCACCCTGAGACCACAGGCTGGTGTTTTTGTTTGTGTTTTTGGTACCCAGAGGCACTTTACCACCAAGCCACGTCTCCAGCTCTTCTTATTTTTGAGACAGGGTCTCACTAAGTTGCTGAGGCTGGGCTTGAACTTGTGATCCTCCTGCCTCAGCCCCCCAAGTCACTGGGATTATAGGCGTGCACCACCACACCACCGCACCATGCCGGCCCTGTGCCTGCTCCCTCCAGTAGCGCTCATGCCACCAGGGTCACCTGGGCCAGGGCCTCAGGGCAAAGCCGGGTCTGGTCTGGAGTCTCCCCTGACAGTTCTCTGACCTATTGTCCCCACACACCTCAGCCTCTATTGGCGGGAGACCCAGACCTTGTGGCACCTTCCAAACTCAGCACGAGCACTGAGGACAAAGCATGGTGCTCCTCGCCCAGGGCCAGGTGGGGGCTGCTTGGCCAGCAGTGCCCTTTCCAACCAGGCCCAGCTGTGAACTGCGCCCCACAGAACACACCTGCACACGCACGCACACAGGTGCAGACAGCGGGGCACACACCCCTCCTCCTAAAGGCTCCAGCTCAGCCAGCAGAACCCGTCACCTGTGTGTCCTCTACCTTGAGCACAGGGCATCCCGACAGGGGAATGTGTCAGCCGGAGAGGCAGCCACAGCTGCCAGTCCTGAGCAGGGGTTGGCTTCCCTGCTCCTTCCTATTTGGCCCACCATGCTGAGTGCTGGCACTGGGGGGACAGGCTCTTAGGGAGAAATGACACAAAGTAACCTGCTGTTAAGGTGCAGAGTAGGGCCTGAGGTAGGCCAAGCATGAGCTGGGCCTCACCTTCTAGAACTGCACCCGGGGGGCCGCCCAGCCCGTTCCTCTGCCCTTCTGGGAGAGCTTTTCCACAGAGGCCGCCTGGTTCTGGCCAGCCAGGGCTTCTGGGCTCCAGGCCGAGTGGGCTGCTGGGAGGCGTGAGCAGGCACGAGGAGTCAGTGTTCAGGGGGCCAGCGGGAGAGCCCCTGTGGCCCGTTCTGCTGGGCTGCCTTGCCAGGGGGCCCTGTGTCCGGGAAGCCCCAGCAACAGGAAGAGAGCGCACAGGGGTAGATTCGAGGGCTCCTCTGCCTGGATCCCTGGGAGCCAAGGGGCAGCCCTGGCCCTCAGGGTGCTCCTCAGGGATGGTATGGTATACACCCTAGGGAGAGAAGGACGAGAGTCAGGCCCTGGGGAGCAGGCAGGCCGGCTTCCAGTGAGGGAGAGGGTCCCAGGGCCCCTGCAGGACGCTGTGCCACGAGGCTGCATGGGGCACAAAGGGTCAGAAAGGACACCTGCTGGCCTGAATCATATAAAATGGCAGGCCTCCCCACCACCTACAGTCGCAGCTCGAGATCACTCAATGGTCCCTGCTAAGTCCCCAGCTGCTTCTAAGCAGACCTGCCTCCATTTCCACCCTAATCATCAAAAGAGGGCTGTCAAGCCCACTGGGGACCACGGGACCAGGCAGCTCTGGGTGACTGGCCCTCTCCCCAAGCACACCCATGCCTGGTACCTCAATCCCAGTGGCCTGGGCTGCTCCACCACCAGGACTGGCTGGGCCCCGCAGGCCCCACAGGAAGTGCCGGACGTACAGGAGGTGCTGGTAGACGCTGTCGCGCGGGCACTCGGCCTCTAGGTCCACCTGGAAGCCCTCACTCGGCAGAACGATGGGCGGGGGGTTGTCATAGGACTCCAGGACATCCTCTGCAGCAGCAGAGGGCGAGGACACTGTGAGTGGCCCTCCCGTCACCTGGCCACCCCCCAGCACTGAGGAACTGAATCAGCAGGCTGAGCTCCAAACCACCAAGGACACAGGAGGGTGGGATCTTAGGGTGACCAGCCATGACCTGGCTTTCATTCCTTCTGATGACCACCCATCAGGGTGTCCAGGCTCCTGGACAGAAGACGAAGCCCTTACAGTCTGGGACTCTCTCACCACAGCCCAGAGAGCTGCTCTAGGGCCAGCCTGCCTGAACCCACGCTAGTCCCCTGCCTGGGGCATCGCCAGGTGACTGCGGTCCCCTCAGTCCTATGAAGCTGGATGAACTCTGCCCAGGGGTCAGGGCCCAGAGGGACCCCACCCCTGCACAGGCTGCAGCATGGGAAGGCCAAGCGCGTGCTGGGCTCCGTCCTCCAGCGTGAGCACCTCCTGGATGCCAGGACCTTACAGGGGTGCTGGGCTAGAGGAGTGGCGGGGAGGGGCCCAAGCGGGGGATCACACAGAACCAGGAGTGCGCTCAGAGGTGGCCTCTGCCACCAGTGGCCAGCAGCAGCTCACAGGGTGGGGCTGCAGCCTCCCCCCCAGGTTTCACCTCAGGTGCTGTGGCGTAAATGAGGCTCACCAGTGGGACGTGAAATTATTTTAAAAATTCATATGCAACTATGTGAGGCTGTAACCATATGGACCTGCCCAGACCCCCACATGTGGATGGGGTGAAAATGTGTGCGTAGCCCACAGATCCTCCAGGCCGCGTGTGTATAGGTGTGCCCATGAGCGGCTCACGTGCTCAGAGCCCTGGACTACCCTGTGGCTTTGAACTCCAGACAGAGGGAGGCCTCTGGCCTGAGTTCGGGCACGGGCCCAGGGGCTCCTGACCCCCAGCACAGGGGTGCCCGGGTCTCTAGGTGGGGCAGAGTGGCCCGGTGGAGGTATGGAAGCCCAAGGACCCCTACTCCCACTTCAGATGAGCAGGTACCAGTGGGCTGCTCTGCCACTTTCTGACCTGGGGATGCAGGCAGGTCCTCAGATCCCTGCTCTGACCCCTAGCCCTGCCCAAGGTGTTCTTACCTGACTGGAAGGTGTCGGGGCTATCCTGGGCGCCTGGCTCCCAGGCACTCATGGGGCCCATGGCTGAGGCCAGCTGGTACTGAGTGAGCAGCCGGTGCAACTGCGCAGGGCTCAGGGCTGGGAATGTAGTCCGGAGGGTGGCCCAACTCATCTGGTGACAAGTAGGGGCACGGAGTCAAAGGCCTCCAGGTGCATGAGGCAGCCCCGAGCATAGCCACGCTCCTGGGAGAGTCCCAGTGTGGGGCAGGGCACCCCGGTCAGGCTCTTGGCCTGCACGCCAGTGCCCAGCGTTCTCACTCCCACCAGAGCCGTGCAGGACAGGAGTGAGATCGGTGAGGGGACAGCACCACGCTGCCTCACAGGATAGTGGACGCCACACAAAGTCCCCTGTCACCAGTCAGGAATCCCCTCACAGCCACAGGGTGGAGAGAAGAGGCTACTGGGAAACAGGGCGGGGGTGGGGGGGAGAACCAGATTCTACCTGGCACCGTACGAAGAAACACTGTGGGCTAAAGTCTCAGCTGAAAGCAGAAACTGTCATTTAGGTGTCCTGAGCCCACCATGAGCGCAAGGCAGGGGGCTCGCTTAGACAGAGGAGAGCATCGGCCTCTGGAGGAGCGGAGCCCAAGCCTGCCGCTCCCCGCCCCCCACCCCGCATGTCTTGTTTTCATTTTGCTCCGGGAGGGTTTGAGGTTGACACCTGGGTGTGGCTCCTTGTGACAATCACGCTTTCTCTTGTTGCCCCGCGGCATCTGAAGGCAGTGACATGCCACCCTTCACTCACACTCTGCTGTTGATGAGCAAGGACTTGGGGCCACTGAATGACAGGCAAACGGGGGAGGGTGCCAAGTGCAGCTTAAACAGGTCCACTGGGAGGAGCTCTGGCTCACAGCAGGGCGTGTGGCCACCCAGGCAGATGCCACCCACAGCCTGCGCCAACGGCAGCACAGCAGGGACCCGTGTAGTTCCACTGCTGCCCCCTGACAAGACTCGCCTTCAGCAGCCTCCGCTACAACCAGGCCCGTGTGTCTGAGGATCAGGACACGAAGGCTTTAAACTGAGTTCCTTGGATGATTGATGGAGCTGCTCATCTTTCGTGTGGAATTTTTCTTCCCCGCTTTGTAGTTTTTCAAATTGAGGTTGTGCTGGTGGTTTCAAAATGAGATATGATTATCAAAATGAGATCTTTTTCAAGTTCCTGGAAGAATTGGGGTCATAATGGTCTTTACTTTCTTCTGTGAAGTTTAAAATAGTTCAATAAAACCATCTGGATCTTGAATCTTCTTTGTGGGGGGTTCAACAGATTCAATTTCTTCAATACATAGGACTACTCATACTTTCATTTCCTCTTGTATTAGTTTTGGTAAGTATTCATTTTCTTGTCCATTTAATCTAAATTGTCAAATCTGTCAACATAAAGCTATAATATCCTGCTACTGATTCATAATTCATAATGTGTTCCCTTTTTCATTCTTGATACTTGCAGTTTGTTTTCTCCCTTTTATTAAATGTTTTAAAGAACCAACTCTTGGCTTCATCTCTTTTCTCTACATGCTTGTCTGCCAGCTCACTGATTTTTTTTTTTTTCCCTTATCCGTCATTTCTTCCCTTCTACTCTTTTTGAGTTTGATTTGCTTTCTTTGTCTTGCTTCATGGTCATTCATTCTCCGCTGTCCTTGTTTTCAACTGTATTTATTTATGGCTGTGATTTTTCCTCTCAGCACTGCTTTAATGCTAAGTTTTGTTATTTTGTATCTTTACACTTGCCCACCTTGATGCAGCCGGAGGGAGCCATGGGTAAGATTCAGTCCGCCTCTGCACGATCCTCACACCAGGGCTTCAATGGAGAGTTTGGTGTTTACACTCTAAGGGGTCCTGAGTCTTTGTCTCAGCGTTGTGAGACTGCTGCAGATTCCACTCTGCTTTTCAGACCTCTGTGTTTAGTTTAAACCCCTTCCCACCCTGAAGCTCCAGATCTCTGACAAGCATTTCCAGGGGACAGCCCCCTCGGTCTCTCAGTTTTTGTGTCTAGCCTAAGTGATGACCAAAGCCATGTAAGTGTCTTTTTCCCAGAAATGTCCCCTGCCTGGAGAGAGTCTGGGTTCTCAGCCTCCCACATATCCTGCTCCCAAGATACCAAATGCCCCTGGGGGAAAGCAGGAGGCAGAACTTCTCTTTTGTCCCTCTGGGCAGATCTGTGTCTCTTCTAACCCTTTAGCGACTCTCCCTCCTTTAAAACAGAGGACTTCTGTTCCATCTGGCTGTGCAAGTTGCTCTCAGAAGAAGTGGCAGGCTCACTCCAAGCTATACATTCAAGTCTTTTCCTAATGTCTGCTGAGGGACAGGGTACGGCTTAGTGCTTGCTTGCATGTTTGTCATGCACGAGGCCCCGGCTTCCATCCCTATCTTTCATGTGGATCTTCTATTGTGTCAGAATCTTTACATCAATTTCCAGAGACACCTTTCTTTCAACTCCTGAGCCTTTTGGTGGCCTTGCTATAAGCCGATTGCTCTACCTGTCTGCCATCTGCCTTCCAGCTTCCAAAATGGTATTGCTTTTATCTCTTCTACCATTTTCTTTTTCTGGGGTATGCCACTCAAATCACTGCTTTATTTTGTGGAGTGATATTTTGAAAGGAAACAAGTTAAATTATGGTTTCCATCTGTTGTATATTCCAAGACACCCACATTTTCTATAGTGATTAAATGCTTCATTTTTATAATGAGAAAACAAATAACTTTTAAAGAACGACACTGTGGACTGTATGTAAGACACACCGTTCCTGACACGCAGCAGGGTTACAGTACCCGCTGAAGGCCTAAGTGATGCCTGGATCCAGATTTGAAGCTCAGTTCCACTGAGCGCTCACTGTGCGACCTCAGCTCTGCCATCCACAAGACAGGGACCACGACTTCACCAACTCAGAGGGTGGCACTGAAGACCCACTGAGACGACACAGGCAAGGCCTGGACCCTCAGCAGAAGCTCCATCATCATGAACACCACCACCGGCAGGACAGGCCGGCAAGCCCCGGCACGCTGTGCTGGGTGGCGGGCTGCTCTTCTGGACAAGCTGGCCACTCACTCCAGACTCTACTCTGAGTTTTGCCTGGAGATGGGCAAAGTAGCCACAAGACCATTCAGCTCAGAATCTACCTTCCTCAATAGCACAGAGAGCAAACCCCACCTGGGCCGCCCTGTGGATGGCCATCACCCTGCAGTTCACCCAGTGTTTTCCCACAGGAAAAAAAACCTGGGCTGGGTTTCCATTAGTTACCTGTGCTGAATATTTTCCAGGGAAGGTGGCGAGGGAGGAGGGCAGGGTGGATATTACACAAAATGACCATGAATGTAATCGCACAGGTCCGTGGCTCAAGAGTCCAGCAAGGTCTCACTGTCAAAAATCAAGGTGCCAGCAGCGGTGTGCCTGTGAGGGTCCAGCCCCTGGCCTGCCTGCACCTCTGTCAGAATTCCACTTCTTGCAGCTCTAGGGCTGAGGCTGTGTTTCTGTGCTGGCCATCAGCTGGGGTCCAGCTTCCAGAGGCCCTCAAACGCCCCACTCCTGGCCACTCCATCTTCAGAGCCGGCCACGGCAGAATGAGTTCTTCTTTCTCCTTCCATCCACCTCATCCACCTCTCCACCCAACGCTGCAGACCTGTCTGGTTAGATGGGAACCCACCAGGATAATCCAGGGTCATCTCCTCATCTCATTAAGGTCCTTGATCTTGTCACGTTTGCGAAGCCCCCCCCTTAGCATGTGGAGTGATAATCACAGGACCCCAGAACTGGGAACAGACACCCATTGGGACCAATGCCCTGCCCACTGCAGGTGGGGACAGCTGAGGAGCAACTTTGTGAGTTCTCTATGGAAGGTTTGAGTTTTCTGGGTCTGGAAACCAGGTTCCCACCACCCCTGACCCAGTGTTTCAGCCAGTGACCCCAGATAAGTACACGGGACCCACTCCTCCCCACACTGCTGGTCTTCCCACTGGGATTGCCTCCTACCTGGATGAGCTGAGCGCTGGGAGTGGCCAGCAGGTGGAGGGTGCAGGAGAGCTTCCGGAAGAAGCGCTCCGCAGCTGCCCCAAGGCCGGCGCTCCTACACCACTCCAGGAGCTGCTGCAGGCGGGCGCAGGCCTGCACACCTCGGGGCCAGTGGAAGCAACTCAGGGAGGGTCCTGGAGAGGGGGAGAGGGTGATGCCCAGGCCACTCAGCACAGGGCCTGCTCTCCCTCTTCAATGGCACAGTTTAAGGACAAATGTGAGACTCTGCCTCAGCTTCCAACGCAAACTGACCTGCTTCCCAGGCCCTGTCTGGGCAGGGGTGGGCGCGGTAAGAGGTGAAGGAGGCAGAGCAACAGGGCAGAGGGGTGTGACAGCCACTGACCGCACAATGCAGGTGTGGAGTGGGACCCCCTCCTTCCACCCAGGGCGGCCCCGTCTGTGCTGGTGACACAGGTGCTGCAGCCTGCTCCTGCTTGGCTCTCTCATGTCACAGCAGTGCCCCTGGCTGGAAGTGACCTGTACCTCAAACCCCTGCAGCTGGAGGAGGCACATCAGCTCCCCACGGCAGTGTCGAAGGTCAGAGCCTCTGCAGCTGCACTACCGTGGTTCCCTCCTGGCTTCTGCCCACTAGGTGGTTCTGGGCAGTGTGTGCCCTCCCAGTGACCAGGAAGGGCCCCGGAAGGCCTGTCAACCCTGATGGGACCAGAGCTCCTGCAGGGCTCACTCTGGGCCATGATTCTACACCCCCAGGCCTCAGCCAGCCTCCCACCCACCCCCTTGGGACCCCCCCCCCGCCTGGGGTCCTGCACTGTGGCAGAGGGTCCCTCGGGTTGTGCCCATTTGCGGCGGGAACGTGGGCTGGAGGCCCCTTGGCCACACTCACCCTTGTCCAGGAGCTGGTTGAGGAGCAGCGTGCCAGAGAAGAAGAGGAGGTAGGAGAACATCTGGGAGGCCACCTCGGGGTGCACCTGGAGCTGCCGCAGGAGGTCCAGGGTGGCCTGATACACACTCACTACGCGCCGCAGCTCCTCGGGCAGCGTAGGGGCTGAGCGCCAGCTCTCTCGGCGCTCCGTCTGGAAAGGGGGGCATTCCAGGAGGCCCGGGAGGCAGACGTACAGGCACTGGGTGGTGACAGAGAACGGAAAATCACTTCCAGAGGTGCCGGGGCCCCCTGGAAGGCCCCACCCAACAAATTCCCGCCTGGGCCTCATCAGGTCCACCAGCCGAGCAGGCAGCATTGGGGCCTGGCAGGAGCTGCCTCTGGGACTGCTGGGCACAGAGTCACATACAGCAGGCTCAGCGGGGGCTGGCCATGGTGATCATACGGCACGTGCTCCTGTCAAACCCACGATGGCCCGCAGAGGCACACAGAGGTGGCACTGGTGGGATGAGCTCCAGCAATAGGAGGTGGAAACACCTGTGAATTCTGAGGGAAGAGTGGCCCCTCCTGGGAAAGCGGCTCACCCTGCCCTCAAAACAGCCCACCTGGCTCAGGGCCAGGGCGCTGGCAGCAGTACTGCCGGCACCAGCCAGGGTCGGAGTGGCACAGTGTGGCATCCCAGGTGCCCCATGCCAGACCTCTCAGGCCTTATCACTGATGCCCCCAAACACTGCCAGGCAGGGGTGTGTTTCAACAGAGGGGAGGGGGCGCCAGGTGATGCCAGGTGTCCTTGGAGAGCAAGAGGTGACTAGGGGATGAGGGGTGCACTCAGGGCCTGGCGGGACAGAAGCCACCTCATCCCTGCTGAGGCTGAGCTCATCACAGCCCCTTCCCCAGTGCCCCAAAGGTGCCCTAGGAGAGCCCCCCTGGGCGCTGCCCGGGCACCTTGGAGAGGTAGTAGACGCACTGCTGGAAAGCGTACAGCACCACCTCCTCCAGCGCCGCCATCGCCTCCTCGCTGGCTGTCAGCGTGCAGGAGAAGAGCGACTCCTTGGAGCCTGTGGGGAGATAGCCCTGTCACCCAGGCGCAGGCTGCAGCAGACCCCGACCCTGGCTCCCAGGACACCTCTCCTGGGAACACAGGGTGAGGAACCCACGCAGCAGCCCTTGGAGAGACCCTCACCCCATGAAGTCAGAATGCTCAAGAGAGAAGCCGCCACTCAGCACCAGGGGCTGCCGGCCCAACTGCTGGCCACATCAGACAGCCCGAGATGCAGGCTGGGAGGGGGCTGGGCCAGAGCAGAGGGACAGAGCCAGGCCCTCCCACCTGCACCAGGCCAGCCGTGGGCAGGCCTGTCTGAGGTCCAGAGACAGAGCTGGCGGGAAGAGGGATGGGCAGGCTCTGCGGGACGAAGCCAGGAGTGGACCAACACAGGGGACATGGGGTCTGAGACCCTGCCACAAAGACACTTGTGCCCACTAAGCCTCTGCGAGAAGAAGAGGCCCCTGCAAGCACCTAAGGAACCCGGCCCCTGCTGCTACAGGTATAGGGGCCTGGCCACCTGCAGAGAGCCCAGGCCGTGGGGATCTTACAAGGGCACAAAGAACACATGCCATGACAGATGGGCAATAAGGCCTCCTGGGCAAGAGCTTTGGACAAAAAATCAGGAATGACGAAACCAGTTCTGCCAGCTCTCAGGACAAGACCTCCAGGCCTTGAGGATTCTTCCCACAGCCACTTCCTGAAGGTCAGCAGGGACCTGTGGCCTCTGCCCTCTCCATCACTCTCTGGTTGCTCTGAGTCTCCCTGGGTCTCAGCGCCTGCCATGCTCACCCAGACCCCAGCCACAAGGCTTCTGCATCATGTGCAGGACGGGACACAGGATCACTGCCCCCATGCCCATCACCAGAAAGAGACGCTCAGGCCCCACCAAACACAAGTCCTCCCGAGACCCGCAGTGCTGAGGACGCAGACCCTGGAACCAGGGCAATGCCTCCCAGGAGGAGCAGCTAGGGACAGTCCCTGTGAGACCTCCACGTTGCCCAACAGCACTCTGAGCACAGCCTGATGGCACCACATGGGAAGGGCATCGAGAGGGCACTCGCAGGTCAGGAAGGTGGGCTGTCGGGTCCTGAGCCCTGACCACAGGGATCTCCTGCCCACAGCTCCCAGCCCAACCCCAGCACATACCACACATGGAGCAGCAAGCCCCGGAACGGCAGCAGGGAACCACAGTTCCAGCCGCCCCTTACCACAGACCCGCCTGCTTCAGCAGCAAGACACGGGGAAAAGATGAGAACAAATCTGGAGTGGAGTGGAGGGGCAGGGACAGCCAGATTGCAGGCACTGGGTTCCAGGAGCACAAGCAACCTGTGGAGCCTGGGCAGGCAGGCGGCTGGAGACCTGGGCCCCTGCAGTCATTCACACCACACCCAAGGCCTGCCAGCACGGAGACTATGCCCCTCCCTGGGAGGGAGTCTAGCTGCTTTCACAGTCACCTGAGGGGGAAAGGGTCAGGGTCACAGTCTGGAACACCCATGGGACTTGGGAGGATCCATGTCAAGGGCCAATATTTCCCTCCATGTAGCCATAGGCTCCAAGGCCCCAAGAGTCCGCAGAGGGTCCCACCTCCCCTGTCCCATAAAGCAGAGGAGGAGAAAATCCCCTCTGGCTCTGCCCTGCCCAGGTGCAGGGTATGCCCTCCCCCAACAATCAGTCTGTCACCAGAGCCCTGCCAGGACAGACAGGCCTGGCCCCACCCCCACCCTGCCGGCCCAGGGTTCCCAGGCACATGGTCCCAGCTGGTCTCCGCAGCCTGCGCCCCTCCCCGACCCAAGACAGGACCAGGCCCATGAAGCAGAGCAGGAGCCTGTCTTGATGACTGGACACTTCAAGGTCACTATGCAGACACTCCTGCCCCTCACCCTGACCATGGAGAGCCCCTCCTCTCAGGAAATCTACCCCCAAGGCACCAGGAGCCACCGCAGGATCCCAGCTTGTCCAGGACCCACTCTGGCTTTGACTTCGCAGGGCCCTTCCTGCGGAGTCCACGACAGCGTCCAGTGCGACACACGTGTCTGGAGACCAAGGCCGCCTGGTCTATCTGCAGGCCTCCTGTGCCAAGTACCTGGCCTGCACGTCCCTTCCAGCTCAGAGAGGCCGGAGGGCGGCTCCCAGTGTGCCTCCTGCTGCAGCCTGGACCCTCAGAGGCAGGGCCCATTAGGCACTCACCACACCTGAGACCGGCATCTCAGACGTGAAGGACAGCAGTTTTGTTGCTGTCATCGTAGAGCAAAGCTGTGTGGGACAACCCCTGGGCCACCCCCACAAGGCTCTGGACCCACGTCCCCTTGGTACCTGGTCCCACTGCGGGACAGTTCTGCCCTCCTCCCTGGCTGCTTCCAGGGAGGCCACCTCCCAGGCCACCTCCAGCCCCCCCGCAGCCCTCAGCAGACATGCACCAGCTGAAATCCTGTGGGCCTGCAGCGCCACCTCCTCCGCGGAGCCCTCCCAGACCACCCAGCCAGAGTCCCCTCCCACTATTTTCAGAACACTTCTTACTGTATTTCATAAACCCTAAAAGGCACATTAAAATCCCCACATTTTAACCTCTGAGATTGATACAAGCTATGAATTTGCAACTACAGGTGGTGACATCCGTCCCTCCTGAAGTAAGGGTGCACCTCTGATCCTTGCACGTGACCCATGGTGCATCTGCCTCTCCCCTACCAGGTGACCTGTGCGCCCCACCTCCGAGCCGGACAGAGCAGGGCCGTGCCAAGATGCCTCCATTCGACAGGCCATGGGACGGTGGGGCCAATGGTGTCATGCACTGTGCATCCAGAGGCTTCAGGTTGACCAGACCACAGGCGCTGGGCCCAGAGGCAGTCCCTACATGCCAGCTGGAGTTGAGGAAACTCTGACGTGACTCCACCCTGTTCCCGCAGCCAACTGTGCCCCAGGACCACACCCTGCCTGTGAGGGCCGCGTGGCCGCCCAGCTCACCTGTGATGTCCAGCTCCTCCTCCATGCTCTGCACATACAGTGGGCATTTCTGCTGCATGAAGTACAGGAGCTCGATGGAGTTAGCCATCCAGAAGAGAATGTGCTGCAGGTCCGGAAGCAGGTCGGCCATGGTGAAGCTGGCCCAGGAGATGGGCTCCTGGCTGCCAAGACAGAAAGACCAAGAGTTATGCTAGCCCATGGCCCTGGGCTGAGTCTGCTGCTCTGTCACATGGGACATTTGTTCTCATGGGACCCTGACCAAAACAACTACTTTTGTCAACCTAGTAGTGTTAGGCAGAGAGGCTTGGAACTATGCATGAACCCACAAGATGGCAGAGGCCCCCAGAAACCTAGTGGGACGAACAGCCAGTTGTCACTGTCACTGGTAAAGACCTCTAGTAAATAACCTGTTTCTGTCTCTTCTCTTTTGAAATAAGACAATAAAGTAGCTGTGAATGCTGAGAGCGTGGGGGGGGGGGGGCTACATGCACAGGGAGGGGGTGAGGCCCATGGTTTCTAGAACAAGGAGCGTGAGCCTGGGTGTGTTATTTAAGAGTAAGAAATAGGAGCTTCACACAATATTGAACAAGGTTGTCACACGAGGAGACAAACAATAATAGAAGTTTAGGAGATGCACTAATGTTAGCTAAATTCTACTTTACCCAAGAAGGAAGTCAGGAGAAGACTGTGAAGTCAATGAAGCAAGGGTCCATGATCAAAGCCTGTTCTCTGGAGATCTGGAGGTAATCGTCAGAAAACCCCAGAGCAGACAATTAACCAGGTCACCTCAGACCTCCAGGAGGAGCAAGCAGGTGGCCGGGTTTCCATCATGAACCCTCCTGCAGTTTGGTGCTTTGTCCACATGGGGCGCTACTACTATGGGTAATTCAAGCAGAAGCTACCTCACCAGCATGGCCAGGTGCCAGCACCAAGAAGCAGTTTAGACCCCTCCTGAGGCCATCCTGAGTGGGAAATGAGCATCTTCCCTCCCAGACCTGCGGCCTCTCGGCTCAGAGGTCCCCCCATTTTTTTAAAAAATACTTCTTTAGTTGTCAATGGGCCTTTATTTATTTATACGCAGTACTGAGAATCGAACCCAGGACCTCACATGCTGGGCAAGCGCTCTGCCACTGAGCCACTGCCCCAGCCCTCAGGACTCCCTCTTTAGGGGATGGTGGCAATGTCAGGGTTGCCTGCCTCCCTCAGTGGCAGTCTCTAAGGCCACCCAACCATCTCTCCATCTCCTGGGCACTGGCCCCAGTATGTGTGTCAACCGCCCTGTGTGACTTGAAGCTCCCTTTTGTCGCTGTGCTGGGTGATTCCTTAGTTTAAGATGCCAGCACGTCTTACCCATCTCATCAACACACCAGCCCAGCAGTAAGCCCTGCAGGCTGTGTGGGCTGCCTGGCATCCCCGCAGCTCAAGACAATGTGGACATCCACCAGCTTCCACGATCCCATCTTGCGGGCACGGTGGACGTCAGCTAGCTGTGCACACCTGGAGCTGCGACTAGACAGGGGGTCCACCTGCAGACCGACCGCCCCCATATCTGGCTCAGCCTGGCCTGGGGTGAAGACAGACCCCTGCTGCCTGATACCCAGCTAGGCTGGGACCCCATACCACCTTGTCCCCCTCACAGGGAACTCTAAATCACAAGCCAGGTGCCAGCTGCTCAGCCGCCACAGGGCATCTGCGAGCAGTCTCTGCCCAGGACCTGGAGGGGCTCTCGGACCCCACCTGCACCTGGAGGGCATCAGGATGAAGGCCATCAGAGGGGCCCAAGGGCAGCACCTGGTGTTGGTGTCTGCTCTCAGTCCAGGGTCCTGGAGGACTCAGCAGTACCCTCGGAGGGAGCTGCTGAGAGCACGCAGGGCTGGGCTCCGAGAGGTCATGGTAGGGCCAGGTTTGTTTTTCTCCTCCATCCACGAGTCTCCCCAGGGCCTGAAGTCCCCCTTGCTCTCTCTGATGTAATTCACTTTTGTCCACAAACAAGGCTGACATCTCTCGGTCCTGCTCCTGGGTGGGGACCAGACTGACTTGGGCGGCCCCTCCTCACTGCTGCCTTGGAGCAGGGCTGCTGTAGCCTCCCTACCTATCCGCATGGGGGCAACCCCTGCTCACGCCCGTTCTCCACAGCCACCCGAGTCCACGTGCACACAGCACTGTCATTTAGAAAGGGTCAATTTGCTTTTACTATTTACTGTCCTTCTTAATTTCACCCTAAGAAACCACCCTCCAGCCACTGCCACTTGGAGCTTCGGTATCAAGCCCCAGCAAGGTCAGCACAGCGCCCCCCACCCGCCAGCTAAGCCATGCACCGCGGCTCCGAGTTGGGCACACGGAGACCTTCCTGCACAGCCTATGTGGATGAGGGGCAAGTTCAAGCCTCCTGGCAAAGAAAGACGCCGCACAGGCCAAGAGCAGGTCCCTCTGGAACTCAGCGAGGAGCGCGAGGGCCCGCATGGCTAAGCAAGGCCAAGGTGAGGCCTACAGAAGGGCGTGTGGAGGGTCCACAGCTGGCACTGGGGCCCACAGGAGGCAGGCAAGGCATCCCGAGCCACAACGGGAAGGTGGACAGCAAATGTGGTGGCGAAACCTGGACCTGCTCAGCCCGTCCACCAGGAGAAGGCGGCGTGCAGGTGGTGCAGTGCCACCTGAGTTACCGCGCACCGCCAAGATCAGCTCAAGTCACATCTACTGACCCAGAGCCCATGAGAGAGAGCCAATCACAACACAGCTCATCCTGCGAAGCTCACCGGGTGGATGGGAGGGGTGGGGGAAATGACCCTGTCACACACAGCAGCTGCCTTGGGCCTGGGGAGGGATCCGGGAGGCAGCGGGTGCTGGACTTCCTGTTATGGCAGCTGAGTCCGGCCTGACTTCAGGAGAGAGCATGTTCCTGTCATGTTTGTGCAACAGTGAAATGAATTCTGCTGGAGGACCATGTGGGGACAGGACAGCCAGACCACAGAGCCACAGAAGGCTGGACTGCAGTGAGGTGGATGGGTATGGCACCAAGGGATGACCAGGGCAAGGGCTGGCAAGGTGACAGTCTGGCAGAGCCACCACTGACAGAATGAGAAGAGGTGACAAAGGCAGGCAGAGTGGACACGGGTGTTCGGGTGGGGCATGGATGGAGGGAGTAGGCAGAGGACAGAGCAAGAAGATGGAGCAGGCAGAGCTGGGGAGGGAGCAAGAGGGACCAGGTGAGGAAGGTCCTGCAGAGGCCCGCGGAACCCAGGACAGCAGGTGGAGCAGGACAGGGGCCACGCGCCCAGCAGCCCATGGAACACTGTGGGGAGAAGCAGAAGCCTCCTGGGTCCTCAGACTCTGGATGGCAGTGTTACCAGGTGGGGGACAGAGGAAGCCAGGCTGGGAGGCTCAGGGAACAAGGCAGACAGAAAACAGAGGCAGCAATGCCACCAGAGGCCCAGAGTCAAGGACAACAGGGAGGGAAACGCAGGGCAGCCATGGAGGTGGCAGAAAGGCTGAAGGCGCTGCCCCCTCCCAGGTGTGGAGGCCGAATCCAGAGGACAGCAGAGGCCATCCCTCCATCCAATGGCAAAATTTGAGGCCTATGTGAGGCTGTTTGGTCTCATGAACCCTTCGTGCAGCAGCCCTGAGCACAACGCTGTCCAGCTAAAGGACCTCTGTGACACCAGCACTCTGACCCCGACTCTCTAGACCCCAAACATCTGAATCCTAAACACATCTGGCCCCAAAGGTTAGGGATGAAGGACTGTAGGCCTGAGGGTGACACACGGTGATCATCTATTAAACGTGAGTGCTGGCACTCTAGCACATAAACCCTGGGGCACCATTAGGTACGAGGAGTCTCCCAGAGCCCTGTGGAGGCAGGAGGGTGACATGTGTGGAGGTGCAGGAGAAGAAAGCCTCAAAGGGGTCTTCAGCCCTTGAACTTCAAGTCAGAGTCCAAGTTCTGAACACAGAAGCACACAACCAAATTCTACAGACAGCCTGCAGGGCCCTGGCAGCCAGGGCTCCGAACGCAGGCAAGGACAGAGTGGAGATGAGTCCAGAAGAACTGGAGCTGCACCCCACAAAGCCCAGGGCTCTGCCATGGGTCCACAAGGCCTCTGCTTGTTCAGCGTGTGGGGAGAGGGGACAGAATCCACAGGAACACCCTCGGCCTACACCACAGAGAGGGGAACACAGCCAGCGGGGGGCATGAGCAACCCAGAAACAACAGCAACAGGCCTGAGCTGCAGGACCAAGTCCCGGGACAGCAGGGGACCTCCACATGCAGTGCACACCGGTCACCACAGAAAACTACAGTGACTTCAGTGGGAACGGGCCAAGGGAAGGGAGAATCGCCCCAAATACACCACCCAAAGACGAGGCGTGAGGTCATGCGGCAATCATATCTCAAGGGACTAAAGAAATCAAAGAAAGACTGTAAACCATGATTGAAGAGGCATAGGAAAAGAGAAGAAGGACTGAGAGGCCAGGAGCGATCGCTGAGAACACACCAGGGGCAGGCAAGACAGGCAGGAGCAGCGGAGAGCTGCAGGACACAGGGACTTGCAGGGCAGATACGGTGGCGGGAGCCCCTGGGAAAAGCAGGGCCAGGCAGAGCTGCCAGACCAAGAACAGCCGTGTGTTTCCCAGAACCCCGACCAGGAGAAACACAAACAGACCGAGCCCAGAAACATCGGGCGTAAAACTGACCACCTGAAGAGAATCTCAAAAGGCAAAAGAGAAAACTAATCACAAAAGAACAAAATTAGACACACACACGACTTCTTAACAAGACAGGGTGCTGAGAGATGATGGAACCACATCTTCCAGGGCTGAAGGGAGAGAGCTGACCTCCTCCCTAAGAGGCAAGCAGATGGAGACATTTCCTGACACCATGTCCAAGGGCTGGCCACCACAGAGCTGCACTCAGAATGACTTCAGTCCCAAGGGAACATTCCGGAATGAGGGAGTGGCACAAGAAGTCACAATAAGGAGAAAAACACTGGTAAGCAAAAGCAGTGGGTAAATCAAGATAAACACAGATTATAAATACAAATAAAAACAACGAATGAGTGGGGAATGACAGGGTTGAGAGCAAAGAGAAACTCAAATAATCCAAGTGATAAACTGAGAGCCAGAGGTGGGACGGGATGGGAGCCAGAGCATTCTAAGACCTAATCTTGTGTTCTGCAAAGTAGAGATATCAATATTTTCAGAATAACTCTGAAACCAAGAGAGGAGTTTCTAAAATCTAATGAGATAAGGAAGTATAAAAAAGAAAGACAATAGACATGGTAAACAAAAACCACAGTGAACTTGATAAAAATATCTCCAATACATCAATAAGTGTAATAAATGTAAATGGGTTAAACTTGCACACTAAGAAAGAAGAGCAGACTTTGTAAACCATTACATTCAGAAGTAAAAAGACAGAAAGATTCCAAGGAAGAAATGAAAAAACTTACCAACACAACAGACACACACGAAAAGTGACACTGTATTAACATCACAGAAAAAGGCAGTAAGAATTTTTAGGAAAAAAGAGGGACATGACTTTGAAAGTAACCGTTTCAAAGAATGCCCTTGAAGCTGTAAGCCCCTCACTTCGAAGCACCAACAAAAATAAAACAAAGCCAATAATTTTTTTAAAAGAAACTTACGAATTCACAAGAACAAGGAGAAATGCTAACTTATTCATCTCAAAATCACAGTTTAAGCTGGCAAAAAAAGTTAGTGTGCAATCAAATTAAGTAGATGAATGTGATCTCATAGACATGCTGCACATTAGACAAAAAATACTCTTCAAAGCACAGATAGAATGCTTGCAAAAATTGATCACAAACTAGCCAACAAAGGATTCTTAACAAAATGAAAAATAAGAAAAAAGTCTTACGAACCACATTTTCTTATCATATTGTAACAAAATGAAAAATAGAAGCACAGAAAAGCTTATGTATGTAGAAATTCGAAAAAAAATCAAAATAATTCATGAATTCAAGGAAAATTAAATACTAATTATGCAGGAATAGGGAACTAAAGCATGGTTCTACGTGAGAAAACCTGGCAGTGCAGACCCCACGTTAACAGACGAGAAAGAAGAGGGGGACCCAGCTGCAGGCTGGGTCCCGTGAAATCCAAAGGCCATTCACATTAAAAAGAAACAACAGGCTCGCAGCGAGCACGGCGAAGCATGGGCCATGACGACCCAGGTGTGGGTTCGTGGTGCCTGGCAGCATATCCTTCACTGTTCTCTATTTTGGAAGTGGTTCATTATTTTTAAAAGGAAAATCAAACAAACAAACAACAACAAAAAAAAAAAACAAGAGTGTGTGTTCAGAATGGAAACAGGACTGCGTTAGGCCCTGGTGAACGCTCTGGGGTGCAGTGGAGCAGGTGGGCTGGAGGGAAGGCCCGGCTCTTCCGGTCAGTGGGGAAGCTGGGTCCACCCTGTATCCGCTTCATACCAAGGGTGCTGGGGGCTCCAGGCCACCCACAGACAGCCACTGGGACAGAGGGGCCTGGTCTTACCTGTACCTCAGCACACAGGAGGAGGGCTGGGCAGCTTCTGCCACCTCCGTACCCCTTGGCACTTTGGCTGTGTTGAAGCCCAGCAGGGAAGTCCCTGGAGAGGCCCCATACCCAAGCTGGCCCTGTCCCAACTTTCACCAAACTCCCCTGACACAGAAATCCAGGAACTCAAGCCCTGCGACTGCACCTACTTCTTGGTCACCTTCCGCCATCTGCCCAGTGTTGCCCCTGCTGGTTCTACAGGAAGCCGTGCTTGGGTCCCCACACAGCCTCAGACCCCAGAGGCCGTGGCTCCGCTTGGCACCTCTGTTGGATCTTGCTCTGGCTCCTCACACTGGCAGGAGCCAGAGAGTGAGTGGGCCTGTGCAAGTGAGTGGCACCTTGAGCTCAACTGCACCTGGGGGACACCGAGAAGGGACAGTGAGACCCCAGCCCTGAGGCCTCCATCTGAGTGTCCCCAGCTCCTACTTTGAAAGGGGGATGGTGAAATCACCTGCAGGGCCCCAGAGCACATGTGAGCGAGCGCATGCGGCAATGGTGAGCTCTGGTTTTGAGAAGGAGGCATGAGCAGGAATGAGGCTGGCCTCTACCACGCTGTGGCCTGATTTAGCCAGGATGCCACTGGTATGTGGAGTCCCTGGGAGCCCCATAGATCCGGTCCCCTCTCTGGATTCCCCACCAAGCCTCCTTTGACTCAGCCTTCAGTGTTACCACCTGGGTGGGGCTCTTAGAGAGGTGACTTGGTTAGGAATCCACGTGTATGTGCACGGGATCATGTGATAGGTGCAGGGAACTGTCCTTCAGCATGCTTTTTAGGTCTGATGACACAGACAGCAAGTGGCTGCGGTTCAAGGGCTCTCACGTGGCAATGTCCACAGAACAGACACAGCACTGCTGTCCCTACAAACCAGCCCCACAAGAGGTGCTTCTGAAGGGCGTCCACACAGAGCGGGCTGCAGGGCTCAGCGTCTGCACATCTGTCAGACAATCCAGATGGCACAGCCGAGGCCCAGCAGCAGCACAGGCTGGGGTGAGGGTCTTGGACAGAGCAATACATGGCCCCATCTCGCAACTGAGGGCTGCAGGCTTTTCCTGAAGGGAGTGGGTGGTTATCAGGAGAATGGGGCAGGGAACATGGGCACAGGCTTTGCCCACTCAGCCCTTAGGAAATTTCTACCCAGAGCTCCCCAGGGTGCTGATGAGAGAAATGGACACAACTACTCTGAGATAGAAGGCTGCTGGTGAAGCGCGGAGGGGAGCCCCGGCATCCGGAGGCTCCCTGAGGACTTAGCTCCTCGGAAAGCAGGAGCCCGCAGGGAAGGTGCAGCTGAGAGGTGGGGACAATAACTGGGCCGTACTTACAGTTGCGCCTGCTTCTCTGCTAGCTCTTTGGTTTTCTCCTACAGAGAGAAAGAGAGAAACAGGACAACAGGATACCTCCAAATACATGATGCTCCATCTCCACGAAAAATAGGGCACACTATCCCAGACACCCTGTGTAGGCTGATATTTGATTCTCAGTGAAGTTGGAAAGAACTTTCTTCATGACTTAGGCATCTTCCCATCCATGACTGAACGTGATCTACACACAATCAATCCACAGCCCTCAGCTCACACAACTGGCCATTTAGAAAATAGTAAAGACAGGACAAACATTTGACAGATACTAGAATGAGTAGTCTAGTAACACTCTTTGTTGTTACTCCTAATACATACATCCTGAGATGCCAGCCACAGTCACAGCAGGCAGACACATGTGTGCCTGGACATTTACAATATAGGTAAACGGCCCAGAGGGGAGCAGGTACTGCTAACATCTTCTGTGTGTTCTCTTAATCAGCAATTACTCTTGCTTTAGCAGCAAAGTAGTCTCAGTCCAATAGAACCCTGGTCGCTGGCTTGGTCCTCGTGCCCTACTCCTGTACAGTGTGCACCTCCACCTACCTGTGTGTTTGCTAAGAGGACAGGGGAGTGACCTTGGGAGTTGCTCTGTAGGAACATGAGAAAATTTATAGCAAGTGGAACTCACAGGGGCCCTGCTCAGGCCAGAGCCGAGGTGAGGAGGTGCCACGGGCGCGGGGCAACCTGGATGTAGACACCTATGTCTGCAAGCCCAGGATGCCATGGGAGCGGCTCCTGTCTGCCAGCCTCAGTTTCCAAGCTTGTGCAACACGGCAGGGCTGGGTCCCCGTAGGAATGAACCAGAAGTGAAGAGGTGGACGTGGGTGAGGCTCAGTCTCGTCCTGCCACTGTGCCCTCTCGTCAAGTGACCTATGCCCTCCTGGCCTCAGTTTCCTTGCCTGTAACATGGGATACAGCACCTGCCCAGTCAGGGTAGCTATGAAGGTTAATTGGGTCAAAGAGCATCAGCAGGGCTGATGAATGCCAGGCACAGAGCACACTCAGAAAATGCCATGAGGTTCCCCTGTCCCAACGTACATGATTACAGATGGTGCGTGGCCATGCCGTGGGGCCCCCTATCACATTCCAGCACACCCACAACGCCTACAGGTCACTCTATGAACCTCTTGAGGGGATGGCCCATCAGGCTTATGCTTCCAAAGGGTGTCACCTATTTTAAATGTGGATGTTTTAAAAGTTTGTTTTAGTTGTTGACAGATCTTTATTTTATTTATTTATATGCAGTGCTGAGAATCGAACCCAGTGCCTCATACACGCTGGGCAAGTGCTCGACCTCTGAGCCACAGCCTCAGCCCCTAAATGTGGATTTTAATACAAGAAAACTGACCAGGTACCACACGGCCCTGCCCACTAGAGATGAGAGAAGGCCTCTGAACAACTCCAGGTGACTGCAAGCCATCCTCTGAGTCTTGGGATTCAAGCCAGTGGGGCAGGAACTGGCAAGGAGGCTGAGACCATGGGGCGCCCCCAGACAGCCTGCTCCGGTGCTTGTCGAGCCCAGTGGGGTGACAATTCCAAGTTAATCCCCAGGGCCATGCCTGGAGTCCCTGTGAGCAGGGACCAGCCCTGGTGGGTGGAGGCCGGGGTACGACGCCAGGGACAAGGCCCAGAGGAGTTCTGCCCACAGGACCACAGCACCAGATTGAGACTCTGGCCTGATGGAGAATCTATCAATGTACAAAAACTGACCAGCCCTGCATCCTCACTACCAAAGGAAAAGGGTGTCTGCGGGGGACAGCTCAGGGGGACAGCAACTCACCTGCCCCAGAGAAAAGTGCCAGCACTGAGCCATGGTCAGGGGCCTGCGAGAGCGCCCAAGGTCCCTGGGCCCTGCAGTGCCCAGCCTCTGGGGTGTCTCATTTCTGGGCATGTGATGGTACCAGGCCAGGCTGGACCACAGGAAAGGACAAAGCTCAGAAGCAGCAGCCAACTCTGCACTACGCAGACCCACATGGAAGCCTGGAATGTGGTGCAGCTGTCATGGGCCTGGAGGTGAGGGGTAGACAGGCCAGAGAGGCTGGCCCTTTGCCCAGCCTGGCATTGCCACGAGGCAATCAGAGAGGAATTGGGACCTCCACCTGACACAGGCAGAAGCCAGAGGCTGTCCCGCAGCCAGCGGACACTCTGCGGTGGCCTGCGGGCCCGGCCCACTCACCCACACTGCCTCGCGGATCCTCTTGGCTATCTTGAGCAGGAGCTGTCCAAATGTGCCAGGCTCAAAGTGGGTGGCCGAGTGCTGGACACAGAGGCATAGGAGGAAGGCAGGGGTCAGCTTGTAGTCATCACCCCCGGGCTCAATCAGTGTCATGACTCTCTGCAGCAGTGCATCCTCCTCCTCAGGCTCAAACTCCAGGAGCAGCTGCCGCCGTCGCGGTATAGCAGCCAGCACGGAGGAAGCATTGTCCCCAGCTCCCAGTGCCATGCCACACATCCTGCAGTTCTGTGGCGCAGCCCGGAGCCGCGCCAGGGTTCCCGTGGGCAGAGTCCGTGCCTGCGATGGGTCCTTGAACAGCAGCAGGTAGTAGAGGCCCAGGGAGAGCAGGTCCCCATGCTGCAGTGCCACAGTGCTCCACCCCACCTCCTTGAAGTTGACGGAGATGGGCGCCCCAGGGATGGGCTCCAGCAGCAGGGCCGCCTGTCCCTCGGGGGGCTGGTACCGCCGAAGGGTGCAGTGTAGGGGCAGGATGTCGGGGGCCGACAGGCTGATGCTGGGTTTGCTGGAAGGCGTGCGCTGGCCCACCGTGTGCCGCTCGCGGTTGAGCACATACACCAGGCTGTCCTGAAACACAACGCCTGACTCAGGGGTGGGACACCACCTGCCCAGACCAGCAGAGGGTAAGAAAGGGGAGGAACAGGTGTTCCAGTCTCTGGCTGGGACTGCTGTCCACCAGACACACCACACTAAGTCGCCCACCCCTGGCCACCCAGCCTGTGCTGGGGAAGGCGGTTTCCCGGAGGAGCCTTGTGGGTGCGTGAGAGGCCACACCAGAGGCACAGGGCTGATGTGAGTCCTTGGGTGGGGCTTGGGGCTGTGGGTGTCAGTGGGGGCTCACATGCTGCTGGCTGTAACCCTGCAGGAGAAGCAGGTGTGGGGACTGGTACAGGCAGTCACGCATGGTGTCTTGGCTGGGCTCCTCAGGCCCCTGGGCAGCGCCAGACAGGGTGGTGGCCAGGTTCAAGCTGGTCTCACTGACAGTGCGGCGCAGCCGGGGTGGAGGGGAGCTCCGGGCAGCCCCTGGGGCCACGGCAGGGGTGCCCTTGGCACGGACCCGCTGCAGCCTCCGGGCTTGGGCATTTATTCCTGAAACAGAACCAACACAGGTAAACAGGCCTGACTATGACCATCTCCCAGGTCCTCCTGCATCATGTGAATCTCCTAAGACACTGCTGACACCTGTCCCAGTTCTATCAAAGCAGGTTTACAGGAGGCTCAAGGAACTCTGTCTATTGGCTGCGCACTCCGAAAGGACAGGCAGCACCTCAGGATCACAAAGCAACCCCAGAAAAGCCACCCCCAGGGCAGTCAGGAAGAAAGCACCTGCCCTACAGAAGCCCAGTGACACATGGCCTGCACTGTGGGCCTTGGGCCAAAGCCCATCAAACACTCCTCCCACCAAGCACCAGCTCCTCTCAGGTCACCATGTCACCCCAGAACATTGTCCTGTCCACCTACCTGCCCTGTCCTCCAGCCCCGCGTGTGTAAGGCTATATTTCCAACCGGGGAAGAGACACAGTTGGTCATCATCCCTCACTAGAGGGGGAGTGGTCAATTACCACAGTGTCCTGTGGGTGGCTTCCGCAACAGCATGCCTGCCACCTTCCCAAGGCCACCTGGACTCCATCAGGCTAGAACAGGCATATGCACAACATACACACATGCACACACAAATACATGTACACTCACATGTGTGCACACACGCACACTCATGCACTCACACCAGCACTGCACCACAGTCCCCATGCAACTTAAAGGCGAACAGACATAAACATGGGCATATGCACACTCATGAGCGCATAGACACACACACACACACACACACGTACACACAGCCCAGAAATCACACACATCCCGTAAAAGACCTTTAAAATCTCATGCTCACAAGTACAGGAAGCACTCTCTGAACCGATGCCGCCGGGAAGGCTTGAGCAGGATGGATGGAGCCGAGGAGACCCCAGACCCCTCAACATTCCCAGCGACCCTGGCGCTTTCTGCCGCATGCCTCTGCTGGGTCTCCTCTAGCCTTATCCCCTGGTGTAGCATCTTTGTCTCCAGCCATTCCAAACAAAACCAGACAAAAGCCAGAGGAAGGAGGCTTGTGAGAGCGAGAGCAGTGGCCCGTGCAAGCCATACCAGGAGCTGGCGACTGAGCCCTGTCCTTCCTTCCAGAAGGCCGCCTGCGCATCTGCAGCTTGCAGGGGGCCGGGGCTGCCGGGAGGCCCGCTAGCTGCAGCGCTGAGGCCGCTCCACCCGCCGCACCCCTGCTCCTGCCTGCTGCAGAGCCAGCCCAGCCAGGCCTGGAGCTGCGCAGGTGCCCAGCAGGTGGGGTCGGAGCCCAGCCTGTCCCACCTGTCACACTGGCTGCAAGAACAGCAGCAGACCCACAGCCTGGCCTCACCGCACAGCCTGGGGCCAGATCTGAAAAAAGAACACAACAGTTCAAATGATGCTCCAGCCCCCAAGTGTCCCCAGTGGAGCACCAGGCTGCAGGAGAGCATGCTCAGTATCTTGAGCAGCAAGCCAAGAAGGGGGGGCCTGTCCTCTTGGCTTCCCAGGGTCTCCAGAGGGCCCCAGTCCTGATGATCAGCACACAGGGTGTGCCAGGAGTCCCCCAGGGCTGCTGTCCCATGCAGAAGGCACACAGCAGACTGGACCCCGCTCTTCCAGGTGGGGACTGGCACACTTCTCTAGGATGACCCCCTCGCAGGGCTGGGCTCTGACTCACCCCTGGTCTACCCATCCTGCATGTGGGAGCTGGGGCTGCCCGGGCCCACTCAAGGTTTGTGTCCTTGATCCTGGTGGGTTAAGGGCCACAGCCTGTGGCTCCAGGCAGCAGCAGTGGTGACTACACCAGGGCCAGGGGCACGTGGGCACCCGAGGGCAGGAGGGCTGTGGAGCAGCAGCAGCTTCTGTGTCTTCTGTGGCAGCGGCTCTTGAGGCCACTGTGGTGCTGCCCAAGGGGACAAAAATCTGACTGCTCCCCGTATCCTTTCCCTGCCACAGTGCAGCCAGGAGGACGCTTGGGCACACGCATGTGCACATGTATACACACAGGCTGAACCCTGCATCAGGACTGCCTCACGCACAGGCCACCTGAAGGGCCCTTCCCTGCGCACCCAGTGGTGGGTGCAGACTGCCAGTTGAGATGCCACCAAGAGCACGAGGTCCAACACCTGCGTGACAGACCTAAAGGCACCTGGACACCGCTGAGCATGGCTGTGGCTCATACAGAAGTAAACACGACACCATCTTTCACAACAGAAAAGGCCACGGTGCGTTCACAACAGGGCTGGGCCCACGGGTGGGGCTCCTGTGCCGGGGATAGCGCTGCGTCCCAGAAATGTGAGGTGCAATGTCAGGAAGGTGCCAGTGACTTTGTGTATATGGTGCTTATTTTATTTTTTTAAACTTTAAATAAATCTGATAAACAGTTATCGTCTGCAGCTCTGAGAGGCAGGTACCAGGTGTCCATTCAATGTAACCGATTCTTTAAGCTTTTATTTTAAAAAGCTTTTCTTAGGGGAACAGTCACAGAAGTCCCACGGGCCCCTCACTTGCATGTGACTCTGTGATGTGTTCCTACTCCCAGGAGGTGGGTCCAGGCCTTGGGGTCCAGGAGGTCTTGGGAAGAGCTGTGGTCACAGTGTCACGTCCGGTGAGCCTCAGCCCTGCACAGTGCCATCTAAGCCATGACTACAGACCTTCCCACAAGGCTCCTGGGCTGAGAGTGACAGAGGGGCAGGGGATGGAATCCCTCACAGGTCTACACTTACAAGTCAGAGCCATTGCTGGATGGCCATGGTAAGGGGCTGCAAGTTTCTCGGGCCCCAGCCATGAATCTGAGGAAGGAGATTACAATTTAAGCGACTGACTTCTTTTGGGGTCTTACACATGTGGGGTCTTTGCCAAGAACAAGGTCACTCTGGGGCCCCTACAAAGCCAATAGGGACTTCACATCCAAGGGAAATGCGATGACATTTCCATCATAGAGAACCACTGGGTGCCACAGCCTAATTCTGGGCAGTCAGGTGACAAGAGCGCCAGGCCTTTGGCAACACAGTAATTTGAGAGGCAGTTACTCATCATGAATAGAAGCCGGTCCTTGCCACTGGAAGAGGGAGGCAGACCCCAAGGCTCTCTCACTCCCCGACCACGACACAGGTGACAACTGCCGGCTGGTCCAGCCACAGTCAGCTCTGGTCCTAATGTTCTCAAATACTTCAGGGGTTTCTGTGGCAGGTTCAGTAGGTCAGAGGCTCTGATTCCGCAGGTCTGGGGTCTGGGGTCTACCCAGGAACCCGTATTTTGTAAAAGCTCCCTGACAGGTTCAGGACCCTTCCCTGCCCCAAAGCTCTGTCTACAGCACTTCCTCTCAGGAAGAAAACCCCCAGGGCATTCTGAAAGCTTCATCAAAAACCTACATTCTTTTATTTGTTTGGACATCTAGTTCTTCTCCAGATAAACACCCTTTAGTTCCTAGAGAGAAAATAGGCAGATGTGGGCTTCCTGGATTTGCCTGTTAGTATCTGCTCTGCGACAGAGAACCAGAAAACCACCAGGCACAGCATGAAGGACTTGGGTATCAGGACCTAGGGGGCTGCTGTGCCCCATCTTGGGGACCTTGCCTGTTGCACCTGAGGATACACTTGGGGACCCTGCCTGCCCCCAACACATGGCACCCAGACCCAAAAGCAAAATGAACACTTTCTAAAATTTTGAGGACACAATGCACCCAGAGCAGCTCTGGGACAACTCTGCAGGCGTCCAGAGGAAACAGCTGAGCAAACAGGCCACCTGGGAGGGAGCACTCTGACACTGGGCTGGGAAGGACAGAGGGGAATGTGACTGTGCCAGAGGCAACGCCAGCACCAGGAGCTCATGCCGAGCGCTCTGGGAGGAGCCTGTGCTTGCCCCCTCACACCCCTCCCGCTGCCTTAGTGCCCAGGGTGCAGCTCTCGGGGCAGGAACCCTGGCTCCTGGGCTCCCGGGCTCCCAGGCTCTCAGGCTCCCAGACAGATGCGCTGGATGAAGGAGCGGGATGACCTGCGGGCCATGTGGTTCTTTCCTGTGTCACCCTCCTGTCACCTCCACAAGGAGGTGGTAGCCAATGTGCCCTCTTCCAGCAGAGACTCTGTGTGGATTAAGGGTAGCAAAATTAGTTTTGACCACAGCTGGAGATGGTCATCAGAGCTGCCATGTTGGCCCGGCTGTGGCTTCAGACAGCCCTGGAAAGAAAAACACAGCTCCTTCCTGAACGTCACCGAGTTCCTCCAAACACTCTCCCTGCAGTTCTCCCGTCCTGCTCCTGCTTTCCCTTCCCTCCCTGACCTCAGGCAGAGCAAGGAAACACGTGGGCCTCTGCTCCTGCCAGCGGGACCTGGGACAGGTGGGCTGGAGGCACAGGCAGTGCAATGTCCCCTGTGCTCAGGAGTTTCATCAGAACTGGGGGCAACAAGCCTTTCTATAAGTGACCCCAGTAACAGCTGGGGATTTGCTGCCAAAGTAAACCCTCAGGAGCTGCTGCAAACCCACAAGTCACTGGCCTGAACATCTCCCTTTGCTGGAAATATCCTTTCCTAAGTCAGCAAAGGCATGGGCTCCGCCAGCCAGGCATCCGGGAAGAGAATCACCCAGCGCCCACAGGAGACTCCCCGCACAGGTAGGGGCCAGCATCTCCCCCTCCACAGACAGCCTTACTCGGGCGCTGTGTCTCACCCTCTCTGTAGCCCTACAAAGGACTGCGGCCTGGTGGGAACACAGCAGCCTAGGCTTTTAGGACCAAGTCTACCAGGAGGGGAAGATCTCTGAAGAAAATTTACACAGAGACCCACCCTAACTAGGAACAGGACGAGGTGGCCTCCTGGGACCATTTCTATTCAACACTGTGCTGAGGAACCCAGACAGTATTCTGTCATCCCAGTGACCTGGAAGCTGAAAAGGAAGGATTGTAAGTTCAAGGCCAGCTTGGGCAACTCAAGTGTTTCTTTTTTTTTTTTAATTTATTTTTTTAGTTACAGGTGGACACAATATCTTTATTTTATCTTTATGTGGTGCTGAGGATTGAACCCAGTGCCTTAAGCATGCAAGTCGAGTGGTCTCCCTCTGAGCCACAATCCCAACCCAACTCAAGTGTTTCAAAATGAAAAAGGGCTGAGGATGTCGCTCAGTGGTAGAGCGTCTGGGGCTCCATCCCCAGAACTCAGAAACCAAACGACAAGCCAAAGACTGGGAGAAAGAATACTTTAAAGTAACATATCTGGTAAGAGACTGGTATCTGAAATTTATATACACACATACACACACACACACACACACTTTTATAATTCAGTAATGCAATAAGAATTCAAACTACCACATTTAAAGATGGGGAAGAATCTGAATAAACATTTCTCCAAAGAAGATGTACAAAATGGTTGACAAGAACATGAACGAATGCTCAACACCTTTAGTCATCTGCAAATTCAACCCCAACAAGAGAGCACGTCACACTCACAGCCATGGTTATAATAAAAAAAGTACCCAACGGGGGCTGGGGTGGCACAGAGCTGGAGTGCTGCCTGCCATGCCCAGGCCCTGGGTCAGAGCCCAGCACTGAATAAAACAAGCAAAACTCCCCAAAGGTAAACAATAACAAGGGTGCAGAGAAGCTGGGATCCTCCCATACCACTGGTAGAAATGTGAAGGGGGGGGGGCATTTGGGGACAATTTGTTGATTTATTAACATATTAAACCTAAATTTACCTTAGGCTCCAGTAATTCCACTCCTCACTGTGCGCCAGGAGAAATAAAAATAATACATGTCCACACAAACACTCGTCCACAGATGTTCAAGCAGCATTATCCATGACGGTCAAAAAGTGGAACTCACCCAAATGTCCATCAACCGGCAGATGGATGAACAAAACATTAGGGTCATAAGAGGGAACTATTCAGCAATAAACAGAAATCAAATGCTGACACCTTTACACACGGATGAAACTCAAAAAAATTACACTGAATAAAAAAGTCAGATGTCTCTGTCTGTCTCTCTCTCTCTCTCACACACACACACACACACACACACAGAGTACGATTCTATTTATTTGAAATGCCCAGTAAGAATACACTACAATGCCAGAGCTGGCTGGTGGCTGCCTGGGACCAGGGCTGGGGGCCAACCGACTGCAGTGGGCTCAGGGGTCCTTTCCTCACGGTGCTGGGAGGGAGGTGGGGCCAGCACGCATTAGGCAAGCTCTCACCACCCGGCCCAGCTCACAGGAGGTTTTGTTTTGTTTTGGTAATGAAAATGTTCTAAGACTGTATTATGGTGGTCACTGCATAACTCTGTAAATTTCCTAAAAATTCATTGAATTGTACACTATTCAGTTCATTGAGTTTATGGCATATAAATCATATACAGGAGCACACATGTATGTATGGGTGTACACATGTATATTTGCAATGCTGGAACTAAACCCAGGGCCTTGCACGTGCTGGGCCAGTGCTCTACCCTGAGCTGCATTTCCAGCCCCCTAAATTATCTCTCTTAAAATAGAAATTTAAAAAATATAGTGGATACCATCTTCTTCAGTCATAAAGTCCCGACTGACACCAACGAGGAAGAAGGCTCTACAGAGCAGAGACTGACAGGACACCCAGAGTTGCCGAGCATCTTCCAGAGCAGGAAGAGTGGCAAGGACAGGAGAAAAGGATGACAACCAACAAGGTTGACAAGGCAGGAAGGAAGAGTAGTCTCTGCACGCACGGCTCCTCGGCTGTGTGAAGCTGTACACGGCCACAGAAAAGAAACCACGGCTTTTAACCCAATCAGACTGACTGCACAGAGAGGAGAGGTCACAGGAATGGGGTGTTTGGAGGAAGTGGGCGGGGGGAGGACCAAATCCTCATTTCCCATGGTAGGAACTCACTAGGTACCGTCTGAAGTTCAAAACTCAAGAACTAGTGGGATAAAACTGTCATTTAAAAATATAGAACTAAATGCCAAAAAGAGCAATTCAAAGCTGAATGCAGTAGCCTCTAGGGACAGCAGAACTGGGAAGCGAGAGGAAGGGCTGGCAGAAACCGCTGCTGTGCTTTTGCTTTGATTAGCAAGCGTTGCTTTCCCTGTGCACATACACGTCTCTGGTGAAAAGAAAGCTCTTTAAAAGCACTTGCTTCCCAGCCCAGCAAGAGCGCAGGCGGACATGCACACTCACACTCGTGGACTCCGTCTCATCACCCCGGGGGTCCGCCTTTTCCCCTCTCACGCTGGGAAGCAGCCTATCTTCACACGAGAGCCGTCATGTGGGAGTTTGGCTACCACTCCTGGGGTCCGGATGCCACATGTAACCCAGGTGAGGACCACTGAGGAAGGCACCGAAGCTCCAGATGTCGTCCGCAAGCTTGCAGAGCACAAGCCAGGAAAGCACCCTCGTAAGAAATGCTATCACCAACAGGCTCAAGGACACAGAGGCTGCACTGTGTACAGTGTGGGGCACTGACAGCCCTGTGCTGAGAAGATGGGCTCCGCGTCTGTGTCATTCACACACACCTTTTTGTATAAGCACAGCACAAACGCAAGGTGAAAAGCCACGTGCTAATGGATCTTTAGATTTACTAGAGTTCTTTCTGTAAGTACAAAAATAAAAGTCTTGAGAAATTACAGTATTTTCCATGTTACTGTTGATCATGGAGGTGTGATCTTACAACTGATAACCATTTTATTTGGTAAAATACAGAATACATAGGAATATGTATTATAAAATTATTCAGATGACCCCAAAAATATATAGAACTCCATCCACATCGTGAACTATCCCACAACCATTAAGAATGGATTGGAGGGCTGGGGTTGTAGCTCAGCGGTAGAGCGCTTGCCTAGCACATGTGAGGCACTGGGTTCAATCCTCAGCACCACATAAAAATAAACAAATAAAATAAAGGCATCTGTCCATCAATAACCTCAAAAAAAATTTTTTTAAATAATGAGTTGGAGCTACAAGAGGTGATGTGCAGACAATTCCAAGGAGACTAAGAAAGACATAGAAACTAGGGTTATGAGGGCAAAAAGAACTGTGTGTGTGTGTGTGTGTGTATATGTGTGAGAGAGAGAGAGACATGATCCTGTGCAGGACAGCATTGCCTAGGAGAGATATGGAAGGCCGCTGTTCTGAGTGAAATTCTAAGATGGTCTCTGTCTCCTGGGGTCACTCAGGGATTGTGTCTCGTGGCAGAAGAGATCTGACAGACAAATCAAGTTACCAATCAGCTGACTTTAAGTCATGGAGATCACCCCAAGGGCTGAACCTGACCATATTTGCTCCTTCTGTGCTGAAGGAGCTCTCCAGCTGGTCACAGAGGAGAAGGCGCAGAGATCTCAAGGGTGAGAAGAGTATGATGCCAGAAGTTCTCCAGCAACCACTGGGAGCCGAGGGCGGTTGCTGGCCAGCAGCCAGTGAGACAGAAAGAAGAGCGACAGGGACTCTACTCCTATGTCCCTGAGGAAGTGAGTTCTGCCAACAACCTGTGAGCTGGCAAGAGGCCTCCAAGCCCCAGAAAGGAGCCATGTTAGCCTGAGCAGAGGACCCCACGATCCTGTGCCCAGACTCCTGGCCATGGAAACTTTCAGTGAGAAATAAAGACCTGTTGTTCTACGTTTCCAGCTTCAGCAGCAGAAAACAAGTGCTGATTCCAGTCCAGGGAAATGGGGGGCTGCAGCAACGCGCCTGAAACTGGGAGCCAGGCAGCAGGCAGAGGCTAGAGGCCTGAGGAGCAGGAGAGAAAAGCCCCGGGTGCCTGGGAGAGGCCACCGGTGGGAGATGCTGCGACAGCGGGCCTGTTGCTGGCAGGGCCGGAGCAGGTGAGAGGGCCGCACAGGGAGCAGAGCCGCAGAAACCCAGAGGAACGGTGCTGCCAGCAGAGGCTGGAGGCTCCGAGGAAACAAGGGGCAGGTTTCTGGAAACTGGAGGAAGGAGGGTCCTTGTCACATCCGGGCGGAGTGCTCACAGCAATGTGTCCTGGGGGACTGGGGTGCAGCTCACTGGGAGAGCACAAGCTTAGTGTGCAAGAGGCCCGAGTTCCATCCCCAGTAGTGAAAGAAAGATAGAGCTTGAGAGGGAGGGCGAGGAGGGAGGAGGAAAAAGAACCTTCCTGCAGTGGCGTGGGAAGTGAGGTTCGCAAATGATCAGCTGAGGTTTCTGAGCGGACGGTGGAGGTGCAGCCTCGTGTCTTCTGTGGCTTACAGGGAGAAGCAAGGGGACAGAGACCAACTGCAGAGAGCTGTCAAGCGAACGAGAGCCATGATCAGATGACTCTGGAACGGTCGGTCTCCCCAGAGGACAAGACGCCCAAGGTAGAAATGGCTGCCAAGAATGGCACGGAGGAGAGTGGGTGTGTGCCTGCCCAAGGTGGGAAGGTCAGCGCTCGGCCACGCAGGCGATGCCTGCAGGGTGAGCGTGCTTTGCAGATTTTCTCAACAGAGGACCTTGAGGGAGTTCAAGAGCACTGTCCTTTCACCACAGAAGCTAAAAATAGAGATGGGATTAGCTCACATCTGTGCACATGGCTTGCGCATGTGACTTTGGTCTAATGGCGTGAACTCCCATGAAATCCTCATGTGACCCACAAAGTTCTTGGGAAAATCCTACCGGTGGGAACGCTGAGGGCAGCACTGGAGGTTCAAACATGGAGCAGCAGCACACTGACAGGACCTGGGCTGACTCACACGCTCCCTTCCATGAAGAAGGGCGAACGGCTTAGGGTGGGGCCGAAGGACCAACAGGTGGCACCTAGAGCCCAGAGGGAAGGCAGAGACGCTATTCCCGGGTCTGGAAACCTAACTGAAGAACTCGGCCTGGAGTTGACTGGGTTGGATTTCAAAACTGCTTTGGAGCAGTGATTCTTTGTTCTTCTAACTCCCTGCTTCTGAACCAGGATGTCCACCGCCATCCTCCCAGGCCCGTTCCCCTGCAGGCCAGGAGTGTGGGGAGAGAGCGTGTCCCTTGAGTTTATGGGTCCACAGACAACCTGTGCCCAAACAGGCCCCATTCCATCTGATTAGAGTAATGAGATGCTCAGATTGGTGTTGAATTGATAACAGGATGAGACTGGAGGACCTTGAAATGGGGTGGGTGCATTTTCCAAGGGAATACTGAATCACTGGTTGCCAGAGGGTGAAGTATGGCAGCCAGACTTCTAAGATGACTCCCAAGGCCCCTGCCTATAAAATATGTCCCAAGTGGGAGTGGAGCCTGTGAAAATGATGTCATTTTCTGATTATGTTTTGTTACATAGCAAAAGAGATCCTTGCAGATATGATTTTACTAAGCAGATCACTTCAGGTTCATCACAAGGGAACTTCTCCAGGTGAGCCATACCTAAATGTGAGCCTCTTAAAAGCAGAAAGGAAGCCAAACAGTCAAAAACAAGGGAGACCTGGTGTGCCCTGGCAGACCTGAAGACACTGGAGGCCGTCTGGGAGGCTAGTGTGTGTTGGGAAGGCTGTCACCCACTGCCAGTACCCACACTCTTCTTCCTCATAGCACAATCCCTGGGCTACTGGTGAGTTTGCCCAGTCAACAGGAACTGCATTTTCCGGGGTCCCTTGCAAGTAGGCACGGTCACGGAAATGAGCTCCAGCAGGTAAAACATGAGGGAACGCTCCTGTGGGGGATGGTCGGGAAAGCTCCACAGGAGGACAGAGTTTGCAGGAACACCTCCGCCTTTCCCTTCTTCCTGCTCTAAATGAGGTGGGGTGGCAGGGGCCCCCTCAGCCATTCTGTACCTTGAGTGACTCTGAGAACAGAATGAGGTGGACAGACAAAAGTGGAAACAACTCGGGGCCCTCATGACCAGGCAAGCCAGCCCTGAGCTTATTATCCGTTATGTGGAAGGAAATAAAACTGCACTGTGTTCAAGCTAAATCCTGGCCAAATGCAATTGCTAACTTGATAAAATTGATCACTTCACGATATCACTTTGGTATTGATGTTGGTATTGAAGGGTAAGGTGACTGCACAAGGCATATTTCAGAAGTATGAAAGCATTTATAACTTAAACTAATAATAAAATGAATACCTTTGTATCCACCATTCAACCTAAAAATAATGAATCATTCCATTATGTATGATCTTCCATCTCTTACCCTACCAAGGAGAACCCCTGTTTTGGATTCTTTGTTTAACAGTCCCTTATTTTTAATTTATAGTTCTTCCACACATTTCTGCAACTTTGAATTATACTGCTTGACTTTACTTGTTTTAAAATCTTATATAAATTATACTACACTTAATGTACTTTTCAGCCATTTGTTTTTTCCTCAGCAATCTGACACATGTGAATGTGGACATACGTAGCTAGGGTTTACTTTCACAGCTTTATGGTACTGACTGCATGAATGCACCACTCTCAGCCATTCCACCCTTGGTGGGTATGTGTGGTGGATATGTGGGTTGTTTCAAGTTTTAGGCTAACACAAAACATTATCAACACTCCACAGGCTTCCTAGTTACCCATGGGACACAGCCTCTTGGAAAGTGCTTCCCAACTTCTCTGACACCACGGTGTATACAGAAAATTTACGTGGCACATTGGAGGCAACTAAATGATATATAAAGTCTCAGATGCAGCTATGGGCCCACAGACTCTGGCCATCCCAAGGGTTAAGGGGACCAGAGAGATGAAGCACATCCGTGCCCCCTAGCATGATGCAAAGATTCGAGTAGAACATCTGGGACTCCAGGGTAGAGGCATGTCAACCTAACTAGATAAGGCCAACTGTTCCCAGAGGGGTCAAAACAACGTGCACTATCCTTGGCCCTGTGCTGAGGTTCCCACTGCTCCTCAACCTCATCAACCTAGATATTGTGAGCCTTTTTCATTTTTGTGAAAAAGTTTTTTCCTAAGCCGGGCATGGTGATGCACTCCTGTAATCCTAGAGACTGGAGAGGCTGAGGCAAAAGGATCCCAAATATAAGGCCAGCCTCTGCAATTTAATGAGATCTGTCTCAAAATTTAAAACAATAGTTTTTTCCTGGTCTTAATTCATATTTTATTTCTTACAAGAATGGGATCTTTTCTTATTGATTGATCATTCCTAGTTCCTTTTCTGTGAAATGCCTGTGCATTTCTTTTGCCCATTTTTAACTGATTTATTTGATCTTTTTAAATATATTTTTTCTTGCCATCTTTAATATATTTTGGACATTAATCATTTGTCAGTTTATGTATTACAAACTCTTCTCCCCAATTAAGACTTATTTGTCAGCTTTTCATTTTCATTATTTGATGAAGAAAATCTTTTGTTATCAATCTCTTCCTATATGGTTAGAGCTTTTCTGGGTCTTCCTTAGGAAATTCTTCTCTGTGTCATTTGTTACTGATTCCTAGCTTACAATACTGAATTCACAGAACATATTTTAGGAGTCAGATACTTCAAAATATGTTGAATATTACTTTCTAACCTAGCACGAGGTTAATTTTTATACATGCCCAATACTTACTCCAGAATTATATGAATTTTCCAGTTGTCAGGTGGAGAGTTCTATAATGAATGTCCTGGAAATCACTGATAGCAAACAAACAATGGTGGGGGCAGGAGATGGGTGACAGATCCAGCCCTGGCCATCTGCTAATGTATTGTCTGCATCTGCTTTCGTTCTACAAAGCAGAGTTAAGTGGTTGTGACAGAGACCGTATGGTCTCACAAAACTGAAACGATGTACTAGCTGGCCCTTTATAGAAAAAGATCACCAACTTCTACACTAGATTGAGTTCAGAAACCATTTCCCTTCTACTTTTTGTCTGCTCAATATCAGAGCTGTTTTTAAATTTTCTTTGATGATGACACATTTGGCAATACCCATTAATCTCTGCTGTTATTTTGTGCAAGCTAATTTATCAGGTGCAAAGAAGTTACAAATGGTCCCATTTTTCTGGTGCATGCTTTCTTCTATCATTAATGCAGTGGCCCTCTGGTCCCGTTAACTGTTTTTGAAATCTGTTTGAATGTTGTTGTTACAGTACCAGCTTCTTCTCATTAGCTTATCCCCACCCCACCCCCAAACACCATTTTCATGCCTTACATTTTGGATGTCTCTTGAAAATAAAATAACACACAGCCTGACTTAATTTTTCCACAGACTCTGACAATCTGTCTTTTACTCCAGATGTTTCATCCACTTTTAGTAGTGATGGGTATGTTTGGCTTAATTCCCACCACCTTAGATAATTATCTCCTTCTCTATTTGTCTCTTTTCCCTCCTTTCTGTTTTGCATTCTTCTTTTTGGTGAGGAGGGGTACCATGGATTGAGCCCAGAGGCACTTAACCACTGAACCACATCCCCAGTCCTTTATTTTAGAGACAGGGTCTCGCTAAGTTTCTTAGGGCCTCACTAAATTGCTGAAGCTGGCTTTGAACATGTCATCCTCCTGCCTCAGCCTCCCAAACCACTGGGATTACAGGTGTGCATCACCACACCCAGCTTTTGCACTCTTTTGTATTAAGTTTTAACTCCATTTAAAAATTATTATTGAAAGAGCTGAAGTTTTAACCCTTTCATTTCCCCAATATTATACCATACATTTTAGGCTCAGTAAAGTTGAAAAATTCATCAGTGTCTCTACCCTCTTTCAGAACAATGTAAGAACATCTGAATTCTTATCAGATTTAAACATTATTCAGTATTTTAGTTTCACTTATTTGTTTGCCACTTATTTTTATTGTGTTTGTAATGGAGAAATACATTATCTGTTTTCAAAATAGTGCTTGAAAATACAAGGAGTACAGATACTACATAACAAAGCAAACCCCAGGCATGAGACTCTACATATATCACATGAAAAAATTGTCTGATATTCAGGTAATAAAAACTAGAATTAAAAAGTCCCAAGTTTCCAGCTTGGTAAAACAGGTATGGCTACACGAAACACTTAATAAACTAATTTTTTTGCCAATGTGTAAACAAAATGACAAGACTAAACTTGTGCCTGGAGATTTCAACCAAACACCGTAGCTATTCAAAATACAGATACTGTGCATGTTTCACCTGATTTATTATTGTCGTGGAAGGGTAAGGTGACTGCACAGGGCAAAGACGTGAGACACAGAAATATTATATACCAGATATCAGAAAGTCTCAATTACTGCATAGCCTAAAAGGAAAAAGACTAACTTTGGAAAATTTATCTAGAAGGACAGGGAAAGAGTCTAAACATTGCAGTTTAACATGAAACAAGAAAAAGAATGCACGCATGGGAAAAGGGAAACACAGGTGGGAGAGGGGAAGACAGAACCAGGCTACTTGGAAAATCTGTTAAGTCTTCTGGGCTTTCATTCATCTACATCCATTATCCCTCGTGGTTCCTGTACATGGATGTTCTGCTGCTTATGCTCTATTATGAGGGATCATTTTTTTTCTTTTTAAAGAACAGTATTTCTAATCTTGGATAAAAACGAAAGAGTAGAAAGCTAACTAGCTATCAAATGCTTTCTAGAAATTATTTTTATATGACTACATGAAAAATTCACTGATGATTTTTGGTAAGTCTTTAAAAACTAACAATTGGTTAAAGATTCTTGCAGAAAATGTCTTTTTTTTTTTTTTGGTCTATGGAAAAGACAAAGATTGGGAATTAGCTTCCCTATAAAGCAGTATTCTATGGAATTTGTAAAACTTCTCAGACACAGAGATCAAATATTTAGTGAAGTTTTACTGAAATATTAGCCATGGAATCAAATTGGTGTTTTGTGCCATGTGGCACAAGATTGTTGGTTTCACATCATGGTTTAGAAAATACTAGATTTCCATGTTTTTTAATGAAACAACATACAAGCATACCCTGTGCACACAGCAAAGAGAAGAGGGTAGAGGCCATAAGCTTATTTTAGGATAAATGATTGAGGACAGGAGAATATGGAGCTTTGCTAGCTCAAAGAAAATGTCTGATTGCTGATCATGTGCTCTCTAATACCATCCTACAGGTATCATTTCTAGGTCATGTCCCATCAAAACCAAACACTTAGTAATTACTGTTTTGATGTCAAATATATACCCAAGAGTTGACATTTCATTTTAAAGGGTTTGCAGTTATCTCACAGGGACTGAGCTACATGTACTTTTATGCTTTCTCTGAAGTATATTACACCACTGTACAATGGTATCCAATTTTAAGATCAGTACTGAAGAAACGTCTTCAAGGAAAAAAAAAAAACTAAAATTCACCAAGCTGAAAAAGCCAAAATTAGTTATGGTTTCTAACCTTTAAGAAAAAGTACATAAAGTGCATTATTAATATTAGGAATTCTGATACTAGTTCATATTGCAAATTTCCCCAAAAAATGCATCAAACATAAATTCAGTCCAAATGTCAGTCATGGGTATAAATATAGTTGTTTTTTTCTTTTCTATATTTTTCTCATCTTTTAAGAGTAGTAGTCTCTTTGAAATAGTTAATGTACTAGGACTAACACAAATAATCTGAGGCATTAATAACGGCACTTCTAGCTTCACATACTAATCTGGACTTCTGATCAAGATTAAGTCAGTAAAGGAAGTTACCAAGTGAACATTAATCTTTTGAGTCATATCTAGTCTGGTACCCTTGTTCTCCTTCTTTAGCATTTGAAGACAACAGGTTGAGTTGGCAGATATTGTTTATGGGCCCTTGTGGTTGTCTTTATCCATTTCCATTCAGTATGTTTTACTGAATTCTTGATAACAGGAATAGGATCTGGAGAGAGAACAGGGATACCGAGTATATCTGAGCCAGATGTTTCCTGAGAGGCCAACAGAGAAGTTGCTGTCTCTTTCTAATTGAGCTGTACTTATCTGGTTGTTGCCCTTCTGTTCTGGTTTTCTGTCTTTATGAGGTGAGAATGTCCTCTACATTCCTACTATAGGATTAGGTATATTAGTTGCTGCATTTCCTGAAGGTCTAGATGGATGATTTACCAAATGTGTTGAAGAAACAACTCTGGTGATTGTGGGCTTTGGTGGTGGAGAAATGGTAGGCTGTGAGGGAGTCTGAGGAATGCTTTCACTCAATGTAACCCCTGAGCTTTCACTGGGATTCACTTGTTGCAAGGAAACTTCAGGAGCCTGTATGTTGGTCACAGATGCTGTCATCACAGCCAGAGCAGGACTGCTTCTTCCCTGAGGGCTGCCAGTCAATGGGCCAGTCTTTGTGGCACCCATAGGTAAAGGCACAGACATGCTGTTTTCACTATCTACAGTCAAGTGGAGGCTGCTGTCATTCACAGCTGACAACATTATACCTTCTGCAGAATGTGTTTTCTTTTTCTGAAGAACATGATTAGGGAGTAGTTGATGAAGCTCCTTTCTTCTTAAATGCATTGCAGCAATTTTCATATCCATCTCAAACATCTTACTGTTTATTGCTTGCCTATAAACTGTATCTGTGAAAGACTGAATATCATAGGTGAGATCAATACTGAGAGTTTCAGAATTTTCTGGCTTTTTTAACACTAACCCAATTACCCACATTGTACGAAATTCTTCCTTATCAGGATTTTCTTTGGGTGCTGGAAATGACTGGGGATTCACGTGTGCCAGCGTAATAAATTCATTCTTCTCCAAGCTCCCAACCAGAATTCGGATCTTTGATTCCACCAAGCCCACCCATTCTAGATGTTGTTTTTCTGTTGGTGCACTTGCCAGAAGTACAATATAATGTTTGTACTTTTGAAAGAAGCTTGGAGCTTCAAAAAGTTTGGACCACTCTGCCTTGTTCAGCAAAATTTCATGTGTGATAGCAAGCCCTTGCTTAAACTCCTCAATCATGACCATCCTGGTTGAAACTGAAACGTTGTATGTGGAGTTCTGCTGTGGGTATGCTGGTGTGATTATAGGCATAAGATGGTACCTATCACTGGGATTTACTCTTGGGTCCCACACAGGTAAATTAAGATTTCGTTCTTCAGGCTCTTTTAATAACACTGGATTTGGCCATTCCCATTCAGAAAACACCAGGAAAAATTTACGGACAAGAGTTGATGCTATTGCATTTGGATAAAGCTGGCAGGTTCTTGCTACTAGCATAGCCCAGGAAACACCTCCAAGGAAACCTAATATATTGGAATAGATATTGTGGCATTTGGCCCACAATTTGATGGCTCTCAGAGTTAGCCTGAAGTTGTCAATGTTTGGTACTAGATGCAAAATTTCATCAGTTACCCGGCAGCCGTTTAGGCTTCTTATGCATCTAATATCTAAATTTTTAAGCAGACTGTCATCTCTTAAGTCCAAATCTTCTGGAATAGTCTGCAATGCTAATCTTGCAAACAAAATATCTATCTCTATCCCATCAAAACACAGTTTGATCACTGGCACAAATGCCTCCTCAACGGCCCTTAAATCTTTGACTTCTTCCTGTAGTTTCAATTTATCGTAAAATGAGGTGAAAAAGTCGCTGCGGTCAACGTGTCTCGGCGCGACGCACAGCGCGTCGATATCAGCACCCTTCGTGTGCACTCCCAGTCTGTAAGAGCCGAACGTGAAAATTTTCCCCCCGACACTCTCAGTCACAGCTTGCGGAAGACTCTTGCTTTCACTGATTTCGCGTATCCACTCCTTCACCAAGTTGTTTAGTTTTTCCAAAATTAGAATCCTGCGCTGCAGCTCCTCTTCCTCCTCGAACACCCCGAAGGGCTTCAGGGTCTCCACCAGCTTCTGCGTGAGCTCGTGGTCCGTGTCCCTGGGGGCGGCCAGGCTGATCGCCGTGGAGATGCCGCAGGGTTGCGGCGGCGCCAGCGGCGCTCCCGGGCCCGCCGCGGGAAACGGCATCGCGCCTAACGCCGGCGCCGCCCAGGCACCTGGCCCGCCACCGCGCCCTGGGCGGCCGCCGCCCGGCTCATGATCCGCTAGGCGGGAGGGGCGGGATCCACTGCCCCGCCGCCGCTCGGCTCCGCCGCCTCAAGCGCTCCCCCTCCTTCCCCCCGGGGCCAACATGGCGCCGGGCCCTCGGCATCGGCGTTTCAGGCGGGCCGCGCACGCGCGCGCCTGCGCACCGGCCGCCACGGCCTCGCGAGAGACGGAGGTCTCGGCCTCGCCGCGGGGCCTATGTCGCTGTGCGCCGAGGCATGCGGCTGTCCCGCTCCTCCCTCCTGGAACTTCCTGACTTTCGCCCTAGCGCCCGTCCCCAGAACTCCTTTCGCGGGCCCGTACCTCGGCGGCCGTGTCGCCTCCGCCGGAGCCGCGCCGACCCGCGGTGTTTCCCACCAGTGCACGCTGCCCTGCCTCCCGCCTCCCCAGGCCGCAGTCCCCGGCCACAGGCCACAAATAACCGGGCCGAGCGCCCTGCAACCCGCCGCCGAGGGTTGACTCACATACTCTTGCATCTCCTGACCTCCTCGTTCTCAGGCCTGTCCCACCATTCTCCTGCTTCTTTTCCTTAAAACACATGGTACACCTCATCCTGTCTCCCAGTTCTCTCCTCTCCGCAGACGCTTAATCTTGTTCTTTTTCAAGTCATCTCTGCTTTTGGAGTAACTGTGTTTCTGCATGATTTGTATGTACCGTTTATTTCTTTAAATATATAAATCATACTTATTATTTAGCACAGCATAACCAATGACTCCTAATCCTAACGCTCTCGAGAACCCCGTTCTATAGTTTGTGGTTTTCCACTGGCTCAGAGAGCACTGCTTGTCATTTTGCACGGGAACTCATTTCTGGTGAGGTCTGGGATGCCTGTGTGGAGGAAGCCGCCTCCCCAAGAGGATCTGTGTGGTTTCCACCCGATGCCCTTGCGCCACCACATCGCAGACACTGTCATCTACTTTCCCATCCAGGGATTGTCCAGACCATGGAAGTGCAAGTTGAACCCCAAATACATGGTGGGACACAGTGGTTTTCAATTCTAAGGCAGTCTGCCCTACCTAGAGCCCAGGTTAAGAATGACAATTGTCATTTCTTACCAGGAAGAAGATCCTTCCGATTCCATCTTTTCTCTCAGCACCCTTCAATTATTCACCTCTCTCAGGGGTGGAGGCGGTGTCAGTTCCAACTCCTAACCTTTTACAGCCTCAAGGGCTTTATGTCTCTTCCTGGGCAGCTATTAAGCTTGAAGTTTCTTGGTTGCCAAGACTGACAGATGCCTCCAGGGCGATAATAGTTTAGTTTTCAGGTCCCTCTTTTTTTCACCCCTACATGTTCCTTTGTTTTCGTGGGTCCTCACCTATTTATGCATTTAAAACACATTATTACTTAATTCTAGTTATTCATCATAATAGTTTTAAATATTGCAAACTTTTTCTTCCAGGATATCACCTATTTTTTCGTTTTATCTATATAGTGTTTTTCAGTTTGTTTGATATTTACATCAGTTTATATTTGATATAATAAAATCTACCTACTTTTTCTTCTTTTTAAAAAATAGTTGTTAATGGACCTTTATTTTATTTATTCATATTTGGTGCTGAGAATCGAACCCAGTGCCTCACACATGCTAGGCAAGTGCATTTCCGCTGAGCTACAACCCCAGCCCCTACTTTTTCTTCTTATACCATGCACTTTTTAAACCTTATTTTTGAAATCTTTTTTTCTACATAATTTTACCTTTGACATCTGGGTTTTTAATGTATTTGGAGTAAGGATCTATTTTTTATTTTTCTCCATATGGCTGAAAACAATTATCCCAACACCATTTCATAAAATCCTGTCCCCAGGATTTATTTTGGTTTCTGTATCACAACATATTCCCTGGGTCATTTGCTTTTGCCCTCTCTATTCCGTTTCTCTGGTCTACTTGTCTGTTCCCTCCCCTAAAACTACATAATTCCAGTTACCATGGCTTTATAGTGTATCTCAATGTGGAAAAGATCAGTCCTTCCCACTTTGGCTTTTCCTGCAAGGTGTTTATGACTATTCTTTCACAGAGATGTACACTCTGACCAAAGACAGCCCAGCAAAGATGGACTCGGGCACCTTAATATACTGATTCCACTCTATCTGTATACATCTGAAATCGCTAGAGATATTTCTGCCACTTTTAACTTTCAAACAACAAAAAAAGGTATTTGGTTAGCATTTTCTATGTTAATATATAGTATCTGAAACTATGAGATGCTACTTAATGTGATTTAAACACATCCTAAAAAACAACCAACATTATAGGTCACATTTGGAAACCAGTAGATATTAACATGGTTTAAATGTTAGTAATAACAAAGCTACAGTATTAGTACTTCTTGGAAATACTTCAGATGTTGACAGGACAAAATGAGGTCTCTATTTCCATTTAACCAAATTCAAAATTTGCTCTTATGTTTGCCTGTTTCCAGATGGCTTTAAAGAGGCCAATTCATCTTACTAAAATTTGGTGCAATACAAAAAAGTTAGAAGAACAGGTCATTTTGTTGCAGTTGCAAGACAAATACTGACTAGTGAACTTTTAAAAATATACTTCTAGAATTTTTAAGTCACTTTCAGTAAAACAGTAAAGAGGATTTAGAAAATAGGAATTAAAAGTCATTTAGTTGGGCTGGATTGTGGCTCAGTGGTAGAGCGCTTCCTAGCATGTGTGAGGCACTAGGTTCAATTCTCAGCACCACATATAAATAAATAAATTAAATAAAGGTCCATCAACAACTAAAAAATATATATTTTAAAAAAGAGTCACTTTGTTTATAAAATCATTAGATATTCATGACAGCCACATTTTGAGTATCTCAATTTAGAGTCAAGTTCTGAGAAAAATCAAGAATTTTGAACTTGGGACCACAAAATTTGAGGGTTGAAGGATAAGGTTGGTTGAAGGATAATAAGGTTGGTATTCTTCTCCCCCTTACCCACACACACCCGTGTCCTCAGCCTGATAACGGAAGAAGCATTCCTTCCAGTCCTGTGCTCAAACCCCCAGGAAGGGCCTGGACCGCCCTCCCCCAATGCAGCCCACTCAGATACACTCTTCCTGGCTAAAATTCTCCCCGGGTGAAAGCTGTCAGATCAAAATGAAGTCACTTGTGTCAAAACCTAAAATAAATAAATAGAGCTGTGGCATCATGAAGGAGGGGATCTCATGCACACACATCTGATATCAAGAATTATCACAGGAGACTACCAGAACCTCAGCCTTGCACAAAGGCCACCACCACCTGACACAGAAACACTTCTACAACAACATCTGCCCAGCAACTGCCTGTCCAGCCTTGGACTGGTGCCATCCTTGTTACTGATCCTTATAGCCAAAGGTAATTATTTCTGAACATCTTAGGTAAACTTTAAAACCCATTTTATGTTTAAAAACCCTTTTCTTTCTTTGCCTTCTTGGATAGCAGGTAATTTGATATAGCACATGTATTCCCATCATGATGCTAATTTCTGATTAAATTCATTATCAAGAATTTCTGAGCTGGGCGCTATAATCCCAACAACTTGGGAGGCCGAGGCAGGAGGATTGTGAGTTCAAAGCCAGCTTCAGCAAAAGCGAGGCACTAAGCAACTCAGTGAGATGCTGTCTTGAAATAAAATTTAAAAATAGGGTTGGGGATGCGGCTTATTGGTCAAGTGCCCCTGAGTTCAATTCGCAGTACCAAAAAAAAAAAAAAAAAAAATTCTGTGTTATTTAGGTGGCAACTATAATGTCCACCTTGGCCACCCCTTTGCCAATCTGTCTTATTTTGTATCTTTTAAACATCTTACACCAGTGATGACATTCCTGTGCTCTCAGTGTCAACACTAAGCCTCTCCAACAGTGGCTCCTTATAGAATGATGCCAGATATCTCTGCTTCCCCAGGCTCTGGGGGTAGGAGGTTCTGCCCACCAGGCCCCAGTGGGGACCACCCAGCTCCCAGGAGACCTTCCAACACAGTGCTTCTATGATGAAACAAGGATATGGATTTTTTTTAATCTACGCAGAGATGGAAGGAGAACACTGACTGTGAACAACCAACTAAATAAATTTTCTCTGAATTGGAAATGCCCCAAACTGTCTTTCAAAGTCAATTGCTTTTCTAATCTTATATTGGTGGGAAAAAGTGTTGGTTGTTTTGTCTGGCAAAACCACATAAAATAAATATTTCCCCAGTGATCCTATCATTGAGAATCTGCTGCAAAGGAAGCCTCAGCAGAGTGGCAGCCGCCCCCAGATGAAACGAGGCGTGACGATACAGATGGCCGCCTATGTCTGAAGGTAAGAGCTATTGAAAAGTCATATTTGAAGCAGAAGGAAAAAACTTTCAAAAGAAAATGACCACAAGGATGCTGGAGGGCTCTCCAGCACATAATTCATGGGACACAGATGGCATCATGTGCGAAATACTGGCTGTCCCCAGGGGAGGGGAAATCATTGTCCGTGAATGACAAGATGGCATGACTAAACAACTGAGCTGGGTACTCAGTGACAACACCTCTGCCACCTCTGCCACCACCTGCCCCCTCTAACTCTGAGGAGCATGTTCCCCCCTGGCTGGGTGTGCTCCAGGGCAGCAGTCCACTGCATGACACCCTTCCCTTTCCCCTGTCCCTGCCAGGAACACTGGTCCCATTCTGGGGTCTTGTGCGTGTGGAAGCTATGACCTGCGAAGGGGCTTTCTCTCCGAGCACTAACCCTCCCCCAGACTGAGCCAGTGCCCACTATACAGAAGCCACAGAGGACATTGATGGCAATGTTTGGGTTGAAAGTCCATGGCTGCTATCGTGGCCCCTGGCCTCTGCTTAGCCTACAGAGGTAAACTCAAATCTTGGTAGCCTTAAAAACTTTATGCTTGCCTCGTTATGACGAAGACACTCAAAGCAAAGGAGGCCCTTCCCCAGCAAGAAACCAATGCCCGGCCTCTGAAGGCCATGCAGGAAGGCACACAGGCAGAGCAGCTCCACACATCCCTCAGAGCCGGGCTTCAGGGACCCCAAACCCTCAGAGAGCAGCCTGAGAGAGACTAGTGAGGCCACTGCAGGGGCACACAGCCATCACACTCAAGGGCAAGGACTGGATGACACATAGCCCTTGAGAGCTGAGCACAGGCCTAGAGTCCAGTGAAATGGCTCCCAGTGGAGGCCAGGTCTGTCCCCCAAGGGACATGTGACAATATCCAGAGACATGTGCTACACCTGGGGAGCAGGCAGGAGGCAGGAATGCCGCTCCACCCTCTGCCGCCCACAAGCTGCCCTGCAAGCCGCTGAGGAGGCTGAGGAGAGGGGGGATCTGAGCCCCTCACCCGCAGAGGAGGCTGGAGGGGCGTGGAGACCTCCTGTTCTGTGCTGAGCTCAGCTCACCTCCCTCTCCCTGCCTTTCCCAAGCCCTGACAGAAACCACATGGCCCTGCCACAGGAGGCCACATGATTGTCATCTTTATCTCAGTAACAGGTCCCAGGACCCTCTCCACACGGCACAGCCCTAGATACCAGCTCCGGGGAACAGGAGAGCGGCTGCCCACCCGGCGCCCCCTCCACACCACCTCCCTTGCAGGGTACACCCCTGTTTTGATGGCCTGGAAGCCGAAACCGAACTCAGGGAAGGCAGTGCTCACAGGAAACTGAATCCTAAAGTGCCTGACCACCACCCACGGCTCCCAGCAGGCCGTCTGCTCTCAGTGTCCTGGGGGGCTCCCAGGTGACTCCCCTGACACTGGTCTGCTGGAGGTGTCCACACGGGCACCCGCTCCCTGCTGCAGCTCAGCCTCAAACACTCTGCTGAACACTGCCAGCTCGCAGGGACGGCCAGCTCCCGAGAGCCGGGGGATCAGGGACAAAAACTAGGGTTCCATCACTCTGTCACCTGAAGCTCTGGATGGCCAGCCTCATCCACACACACTCGTACACACATGTGCACACTTTTTCCAGATGAGGTCAGATGATCCTCTCACTGGGGGAGTAGGTACAGCCTCATTTTTGGTCCTTTGAGAAAAGAATGCGGGGGAGGACCTGCCTGGCCCTTCCTTCCATCCTGCTGAAAACGACAGCACCCAGCTCTGTAGTATTAATGTCCCTGCAGCAAATGCCCCCACAGAGCCACCACCAACTGTGGGTGGGCCTGCCCTGGGGCCACACTAGGAGCCTGTCAGCACCCCAGGAGGCTCAGAACAGACAGCTTCCTGGGATGTCTGAATGTCCTTCCCAGGAACATGTAACACAGCAGCATAGTCAAGAGTGCCAGGAAAAGTGTCCCCTGCCAGAGAGACAAAAAAGCTGTACCTTTCTGGATGTTTCAGTTTAATGCTGACAGTCACTAAGCTGCTACAAAGAACAACTCTTTGGCTTCCTGTGGCCTCCTTACAGTGACTTGGGGTCTCTGTCTCTGCAGTTACCACCGAGGGGGCAGACAGGGAGCTGTGAGCCCTGGGCAGTGAGGCTCTCAGGAGGGGCCGCCGTCCTGACATCCCAGAGACATGCCCACGTGGGTGTGTGCTGCCCCAGCAGGGCAGCCACAGAGATGCCGGCCCAAGGGCTCCGGGCTCCAGGTCAGGCTCTGCTCGCCACTCTGCTGCAGCAGGACTGAGCACCTGAGGGCCATCCTCAGCTCCCTTCCATTCACGCTCTCCAGAGCCTCGCCCCTGCCTGGCCCCAAGCCAGGCTCCATGAGCACGCTGGAATGAAAGGAAGCTCGTGGGCATGCCCTTGACAGTGGACTACCTCACCTCCCCACAGCCCAGGCCATTGGTGAGCTCAGGAACATGGCCAGGAGGCACGAGAGAAGGAGGTCAGCCAGGAGGTTGTCTCTGGAGCCTGGGGCCTACTTGGGCAGGTAACGTGACTCACTATAGCCTGACAAGTGGGTCAGTTGGACTGGCCAGCTCAATGGACTCTTTATTGGAAAGACATTAAAAACCACCAAGTGAAAGCTTCCTCTTGCTCCAACTGGTGTGGAAGGAGCAGCACTAAAGGGCAGCGAGCTCAGAACAAACTCTGCGTCCTGCAACACAAACATGGCCCCACTGTCCTGCGCCAGCCAGCGGCCACCTGCCTGAGCAGAGCAGGCTTTCCAAGGCTCCGCCCCACCTCTGGCACTACATAGCAGCCTCAGGATGGACAGCACTGGGTGCAGGTCACAGGCAGAGGCCTGGCCCCCAAACTCCACAGCCCCGAGATGGCCCCATGGCGCAGGCTCTCTGCGTCCACTTGGAAGAGGAGGCGAAGCTAAGAATGACCACAGTGTGGCCGCTTATGTCAAGGGTGCTCTGTCTGTACAAGATGCCGCTCCACCCCACCACAGTCTCTTCCTTTTGCAGATTCTTTCCACCTCCCAGGAGGGCTTTTAGAGCGAGGCAGAGGGAACACAAGTCCTCTAGATGGTTACAAGGCAGGGTCAGGATGAAAACCAAACCTCAGTAAGCAGCAATCTTTGGGGCAGATGAGGGTCCCCACGCAGACAATGAGGGTGCTCATCTGATGAGGCTTAAGCAGAGTTGGCCTGCTTTTCCTTATCACATGCTAGCAACTCTACACAGTGTCAATGAGAGAAGACTCCTCCCAGTGGGAAGGAACTCCCACTGCCACCCCCTCCTATGCTGGGTGCCCCATGGCTTTTGTGCACCCACAGGAATTGCTGGCCATTTCAACAGGATGACACTACGCCACCAGGACTTGCTAAGCTCCATGGCCAGCATGGTGGCACAGGCTGCTTCACTAATCCCTTCGTGTCTGTTATCCCCATTCTCCAGATCAGGAAATACCTTGGGAGGTACCATAACTTACCCGAGGGAACAAGAGGGCCAGTGTTACCTAGAGCCAGCCATGGCACCCACAGCTGGGTCCTGTTTGGGCCCAAGGCACCCTGGCCTGTGAGGCCAACCACTCCATCACCACACCTGTTGTATACATGGAACTCAAGCCTGGCTCATGCTCAAGCAGGGATGGGGGAATTGAACGGCCATGACACTACATGCAAACCACATCTTGGGAAGGACTAGGTCACAGGAAGCCCGTCTACATCTTCTCCTGGGCAATGTGAGCCCACTCTACTTTCTTGTATAAAGTAATCATTTTTTACAGGAAACTAAGAAAATACATTTAAAAATCTTTGGTATTTGAAAATTTGTTTTTATGAGGCATGCCTATCAAAATAATCAACTTCTTTCCACCAAATGAACAAGCATCAGACACAAAACTGTGGGCCACAGGCTGCCGAGGCCTCAAGCCCATGTAGGCAGAACCACCCTGCTTCCGGCACTTCCCACACAGGATAATAACCAGCCACCTCTGGCTGGGCCTTCCCTAAGAACAGCCTGCAACCACCACAGGTGCCCACCAACCCACTGCACACCCAAATGAAGCCAGTTCACAGCTGGACACCATGTGACCAGAAAGTGCCACGTGGCCTTTGTGACAGCTTTCTTCATTGTCCCTCCATCTGATCCCTAAGATTCACACGGCATCTGAAGGCCCTCTGTAACATCACAGTAACCTGGTAGTTTATGAGGCATACACAGTTCCCTGGGGCTAACAGGCTGGGCAAGACCTGATTAAACAGAAGGACGGATTTGGCCTAAAATACTGCAAGAAGATATTAGGTGCCGATAAAAGGTACCACCAGGCCTCCTGTAGGCAGACAGGCTGAAGGGTGCACCGTGGCATGGGGGTCTTCAAAGGCTCGCAGCAGGGTTCCCTCCAGAGCAAACCACCTCCACACCTGTCCCTCCACATACACCCCGACCTCTGCGCCTCGTTGTCCTCTCCTAACCACTACCCTGTGCTTAGACATATGGCTTTTCTGGAAACTTCTACCCCTCCTCACTTCCTCACCTGCTGTGATGGTATCCACATCCTTGGCTGCCAGCTCTTCCACGTCTGACCTCTTTCTCAGCTCAAACCTCCGGGATAAACCTTCTCGGGGTTTCCATAATTCCTGGATCAACAGGGGCTTCTCGTTATCCCCAAACACCCGGAAGCACTGGGCCTGCCACGGCCGTCCAGGGGACCCAGCCCGGCCCACTACATCGCACAGCACGTACTGGCTGGCACACGCAGGGTCCAGGGCATAGCGCTCCAGGGCCTCCTTCACCAGCTCCTGGGCACTGGAGGTGCCCGTGGCCAGGACACTCTTATAGTGCGTGCCAGTGCAGACACTGTCCCCAAACACCTTCAGGACGCCAGGGGCTGACAGCTGGGTGGAAAGCTCTGCGGGGTCATCGCTGGCACCCAGGCTGCAGAAGGTAGAGTCCAATTCCCTGTACTTGTAGCTCAGTGTCCGGGATAGCACACTGGACAGCAGCTGGCTCTGTCGCTTCAGCTTGCTCTTGGCGGGTGGAGACATGATGAAGTGCGTCCCATAAAACATGGTGGGCAAGTCTTCATGGGCAGGACCACGGCTTCAGCCAAAGGGTAGGGAGAGGCTGGGCCTGGGAGAACAAAGCAAGAGGTCAGCACCAACCATCATGAGCACCAGGAGCAAAGGAAACACGAGTTCCAACCAAGTGGACAGAAGAGTCACTCAGTGTCCCAGCCTTGTGGACACCACCACAGGTCAGACCCCACCAGAGCACCTGCACTGAGGACAGGATCACAGCCTGAGGGGTCACAGGGACAAAGCAGGTTTGATGGGCTGAAGCACACTTCAGGGAAAGCCACTACTAAGAAGCATGATGAGGTCACCAAAAGTAAGACATGCTCCGTCGTCACAGGGCCGACTTCCAGGAAGCACGGGGCACAAGGCACAAGGAACAGCGTGACTGACAGCTGGGCGAGGGACAGGTTTGCCGGGCAGCCTGAGTTGGCTTGCTGCCCCCAGGGTGAGCCCACCATCCAGGACCACCACAGCCAAGGAAAAGGGATAAACAAGTTGGGGACCAAGTAAACTCTGAAAATCCCCTGCACCACAGTCAATAGTGTGGACTACTGAGTCACCCAGTCACAGAGACATGTGGAGCTGGGGAAGCAGGTAAGATGGCAGCCATGTTCACAGCATAATAAGCAATCAGACCCTTGAAACACGAACCTCCGGAAAGCGCCACTCCTCCACAACCCGGAAGAGGCTGGTCCCACTTGAAGGGACAATTCCCTGGGACACAGCTTAGAATGTCCACACCGCCACAATGGACACAAGGCCTCTTCCAGAACCAGTGGAAGCATGCTTGGAATGTGTGCATTCCACCCACCGCGTCCAGCCGGCTCAGACCTCTCCAGGCCAGAGACACCCAACCTCACTAAGAGGAGAAGCCGGCCTTGCACAGCTTTGTGTGTGTGTGTGTTCTAGAGTCCTAATTCTAATGTCCTTAGTCCCACAGGCTTAGAGGTGGAGATTATTAGTCTCCCTCACAAATCTCAGTGGGGCAGGAGAGCAGATAGAAGAGACAGGTTCTCGAGGCATTGCTGTAGGACAAGGGACACTGGAAAGCTGTGTGCACAGTTCCTGGTGGCTGCACCCCACTTCTGCGCTCATGTTCTCACCAAAAAACAAAAGCAGACAGACCACTGAGCTAGGAGAAGAGCCCGTTTTCTAAAAGGCTTTGGAAAGAGTGGCCCAGGACCCAGTAAAAGCAGCATGGGCACCTGCCACTGTAACTCCAGCCAACTCCTGTGGATCAATTAACATTCCCAGCCTCAACTCACATGCGGTTCTGTGGGCACTGGACAGGGCTTTGAAAGGGAAAGTGGCGGCATAGGGCAGAAGTACCCAAGGAGCCTCTCAACAGAAAAGGAGCCACACCATCCTCAGGGCACCAAAGAGTGAACTCTCCAGGCCTCCAACACTGACTCTGCAAATCAGTTTTCCTTCAGGCTGCCATGTACCTTGGCTGCGTCCTGCTCCCTGAAGCCACAAAGACTGTCATGAATAAAGCTGAAAAGCAGGCCACGGCCATTCAGTTGCTGTAGAGCCAGTGGCCTGCCTGCTGCCATGCAGAAGAGAAGCCTGAGAGAAGCCTGAGCTCTTCGGAATTGCTCTGTTAGCTTCACATAGAACACCAATGTGTGCCCTAGAAGGGTGAAACGTCCCCTACTCCTACAACCTACTGCTTGTGGTTCACCACTGCAAAGCCTTTTGAAGTACTGGTTTTCCAAAAACCTAAATTTGCAGCTGGGAGTCTGGGAGATGCTAAACAGTCCTAAGCAGGAACACAGGAGGTTCTCTTGGGGCTCAGTGGGTCAAGATATAGAGGAGTCAAGAAGTCAAAGCCTGGGCTGAGGATGTGGCTCAAGCAGTAACGCGCTCACCTGGCATGCGTGGGGCGCTGGGTTCGATCCTCAGCATCACATAAAATAAAGATGTTGTGTCCACCAAAAACTGAAGAATAAATATCTTTAAAAAATTCTCTCTCTCTCCTCTCTCTCTAAAAAAAAAAAAAAAGTCAAAGCCTTTGTTTCTCCTCCCCTGAGGTGCATGCCACAAGTCTCTTTGTCAAATCCTAAGAAGTCCAGAACCATAAGAAGTCCAGAACCATAAGAAGTCCAGAACCAACTGTGGATTCCCCTCACGGATCCATCATTTACTTTACAGTAAAAGCATTTTCCGAGGGTACTCACGTCACAAATGTGCGGCTCTGAATCTGCACACCCTGTTAGCAGGTTCAAATCATTCCCAAAAAAAGTACTTGAATCTGAGATCAGAGTCCCTGCAAACAGCCCCTCAAATCAGCCCTTACTGACCATCCCTAAGGGGTGCACAACCCTGCCTGAGAAATTTCCCATGGGACACTCAAGATGCCCTTGCTCAAAAACCTCAAGGCTGGAACACATTCTCAGAGGACCTGACTCTCACTTGGCCTAACTGGCCACCTTTCTGGAGGAGAGCAGACATCTCTGCCATAGGTTCTCCAGGGTCCCAAGCCCAACCCAAAGTGGGCAACAGTATGGCCTCTGCCACCAGGCACCCTATGGCTCGGAAAGCCTCTGCTTCTGCAGACGGTGTCTGAATGTAAATTTAAGCACACACCAAAAGCTGTGGAAGCCACGCTTAGTTGGGGAAAAGTCATGATTCAAATTCAAGGAGTATTTAAAAGGCCCCCAGATATAATGGAGAAGTGAACTGGCATCTTGCACACAGAGGTGGACGCAGGCTTGGTAAGTTCTGATGCTTCCATTAAAAACAATGGAAAATTACAAATACACAACTGCTATGCCCCCTTCCAGGGCCTCACAAGTGAGGGGCCCTGGAGCTTGAACTTCAGGGGTGCCCCTCCCTCCTTTCCAGCAGCCTCTTGAGCCAGATTCTAAGGCAGAGTTAGGAAAATCATGAAAAAGAAGAGAGACATGTGAATTGGGAGAAAGTGACTCATTCCTTTCCAATAACTCCTTCTTAACCCCAAGAAGTCCTGGTAAACCAGAACCTTATCTAGTTGGGGTTTTACAGAAAATTTTCTTCTCCTTATGATCATTCTCCCTGTGGTCATTGCAGAAGGTGCTGCTGTGCACACATCCCTGTGGGCCACTTGCACACACACACTGCTTTCCTTTCTAATCACAAAATGAAGAGTAGAGCCTGTTTGTCTAAATGGACAAATTTGATTTTTAAAAGGCCAGGAGGAGTGCAGGAAAATCCTACAGAGTGGAGCACGCCCTGCGTAACCAGATCTGTTTTTCTGGAAGTGTGACCTGCCTTTTCCTTTTCTGCTCAATTCTCGCCTCTGTCACACAAACACTAGGGAAAGCATAGGGCCCAGAGCGCCAGGGTGCAGGACGCTTGCTTTGGCAGCTCTCAGAGAATGTTTGTCTCTTGTTCTCAAGAAAGAGTCCCATTTCTGATGAAAACCCAGCCCAAGTCACAGCGGCAGGGGCAGAGACAGAGGTCAGTTGCAGGGCTGACATGGGTGGAGGGATGTCTCTCTGTTCCAACAGGACAATGTGGAACCCATTATCATTCCACCAGGAGGATAAACAGCAAACTTTGCAAACTGAGCTTTATCCCTGCTTCTTCAAATACTATCTTTACAGCTTTGAGACAGAGCGAAGCTTTTGATTGCCAACATAATTCAATCAGGTTTCATTCTGCCTGCTAGGCTCCTGAGAGGGGAATGACTTCCCCAGTGGGATTAAAGACTGGCTCCTCTTTGGAATGCACAAGAGGTGGCCCATGTTAACCTAGACACCGGTAATCAAATTCTTTTTGGCAATTCAGATTAACCAAGCCCTTGACAGGCGACAGGGGCTGGGCGGGCAGGCAGGTCTGCACCCTCCAAGGCCCCACCCACCGGCTCCCCAGGGAAATAAACCAGGTCTCCAGAGGCCTGGAGCTCCCGCTCAGCATCTGTCTCCAGGGATGCAGTATTTGTTGGGGGACTGGAAGTGGGACAGAAATAGCGGGGAAACAATGCCTGTCTCCGCACACGGGCGGGGAACGCCTTGCTGGCGGGGAGGTGATGGGGGGCGGGAGAGTGCTGTACCCCGCGCCGCACTCTTCCGCGGCGCCCCGCGCCAGACTCCCGCTCCAAGGCACCTCTAGGGAAATCGATGCGGGAAGTCCCCCAGTGCTGGGGGCTGGCCGAGGGCCCGACCCTGGCAGCCCGCGGGCCAGGTCACTCGCGCACCCGGGCCTTCGGGGACCGCGCCGGGCCCGAGAGGAGGTCGGTCTCTATGGCAACGAAGCAAGCCTGCCTCCCCCCACACCCGGATTCGCGGCGGGTAAGAAGCCCCGCGCGGCCCCGCGGCCCCAAGCGCGCGACCCGCCGCCCCCAGCCCGCGGCCCCCGCGCCCCCGTAACCTCAGAGCAGCACCGTCTGGGCCACCCCCGCCACCGCCTACCCTCCTCGCGCGCCCCCCACTCACCTCCAACGCTGCCCTCCGCTGCCGCTGCCGCCGCGTCCCCGCGCGGCTCCCACGCCCGCCGTTAGCGGGAGCCGGTGCCTGGGACCTGCACGCGCCGCGGCGCCTCCTGCTGGCCGCGCAACGGACGGGGCGGGGCCTCGGGGAGGAGCCTACGAAAGGCGTGGCCTTTGGGAGGGTGGGGCGAGAAGAGGCGGGCGGTGAGTTGGAACCTCGGTGCCCAATAGACGAAGAGGAAGCTTCTAGGGGCGGAACCACCCGTCAAGGAAAGAGGCTGTGCGCTGGCGCCTCCTGCCGGCCACTCAATGGATGGGGATGGGCTAGGGCTCGGGGCGGGGCTTCTGGAAGGGCGGGTCTCTGCCGGGGGCGGGGCCTGTGCTAAGCCGGGCGCCACCTGGGGCCTCTGTGTTCCCAAGTTGGTTGGGTGGTGTTTCCACTCTCACCTTCTGTGTGGGCAGGTGTGGATGGGTACAGAACTGTGCTCCTCGATTTACGAACATCTAAGACATTGAAAGGGAAAAGGGTTTCCTTACCCCCCACCCAGCAGCTAGAGCTTTAAGAGACAAAGCAGATGGTGGCATATAGGCTTAAACGAGGCAAAACGGGGCCAGGTCAGCTCAGGGGCTCTGGCCCAACTGCCTTCCCTGGTCACTTGTTTTGTTTTTTCTTTTATAAAGCCCACGACCTTAGCCCTCTGCCTTGGTGTTAACTTTGAGGAATGCTTCTCACAGGGAGGTTCTTTTAGACTTTTCTGTTGCTGCTGACCTGAGAGATTCCCGTGGTGTGCGATCACAATGCAGAATTCCCACACTGGGGCCCCCCTTTTTGTTGACAGTGATGGAGTTATAATATTTCCTAGTAATGACCCCATATTTGAGATGGGGGAATGGGAATGGGGGCAGACATCTGTAAATGACCATGTTCTATATGCCAGGCCTTTTACTAAGGGCTTTACCTCGGTTATCTCCCTCGACGGTGGCATCAACCCTTGTGAAGCAGATAAGAAAAGAGGTTCGGAAAATCAGGCTGCCAGAGTCTGAGCCAAGACTTGGCTTTTCTGATAAAATAACTCCCACGAATCTTTGCATGACCCCCCTCCCCCCAATGCACACCAGTCTGCTCACCCACCATGGGATGGGAGGTTGTAACCAAATGGCACGCTGGATTATGTCAATTCAATTTCCACATAAAGGAGGGCAATCTCCCAAGAGATAATTTCAGAGCTGGAAAGATAGCCTGGGTTTAGGTCTGGGTTTTCCTCCAAAGGTATTCCTCACAATCACCAGGGCTGGGCTTCTACTCTCCCCAAACTCTCTTCCATAGGGATTGGAAAGTTACAGTCTGGGGGCCAGATCTGATTTGCTATTTTTATAAATAAAGTTTTATTGGAACCCAGCTGCACCCTTTTGTTTGCATATTGTCTATGACTGTTTTTGTGCAATAGAGAAACTTTATAGCACTAAAAGCCTAAAACATTTATTATCTGGCCCTTTGTAGAAAAAAAATGTGCTGGTCCCTTCCAGTAACACCAGCTATCTAGTACTGTTCCTCACCTTTGTGTCTGCCCCGGCCAGTTCTCTGCATGGAGATCCTTCCTCAACTGAGCTATGCTGCTCGAGCCTCCATAACAAAATACCACAGACAGGTCCTTAAAAAATAGGAGTTTCCTTTTTTTAAAAAAATATTTTTTTAGTTGTTGATGGATCTTTATTTTATTTGCTTATTTATATGTGGTACTGAGAATCGAACACAGTGCCTCACATGAAGGAGATAAGCGCTCTACCTTGGAGCTACAACTCCAGCCCCAGGAGTTTCCTTTTTAACAGTTGTGTTTAAGTCCAAGACCAAGGTGACAACAGGGCTGGTTTCTTCTATGGCCCCTCTCAGCTTGAAGATGGCCACCTTCTCACAGTGTCCTCACCTGGCCTTCCTCTGTGTGTGCCTCTCACATGTCTCTGTGTATCCTGGTTTCCTCTCCTCCCAAGGACACCAGTCAGATTGGATTAGGGTCCACCCTCATTTAATTTAATCACCTCTTGAAAGTCCTTACCTCCAAATTCAGTCACATACTGAAGTACCGTACGTTAGGACTTCAACATGTGAATTCTATGGGGACACAATTCCTCCCATAACACCTACTTTCATCACCTGGTTTGTCTCTACTCATCCTTTAAAGCCTCACAGGAAGTGTTACTCGTGTGGTAGTCAACCTCCAAGATGGCCCCCAGTGATTCACAGCTCTTGGTTTTCACACCCTAGACAGACTCGCATTGAATAGGATTGAATTGGGTAACCAATAAGGTGTTACAAAATGGCACTGTGACTTCAGGAGCTACGTAATAAAAGAGCTGCCTTTGCCCTTGCTCCCTCTTAGATGGGTAATTCTGAAGGAAGCCAGCCGCCATGTTGGGAGGACACTCAAGCAGCTCAGGAGGGAAAGGAGAAAGTGAGGCATCTGCCAACAGTCACCACCCACTCACCATCCGTGTCAGCGAATGCGCTGGATGTGGTCCCTCCAGCCTCCATAGTCATCAGATGGCTGCATCCCTGACCAACATCTTGATAAAGTCTAATGAGGGACCAGGAGCCAGAACCTCTAAGCAAAGCTGCTCCCAAAGCTCTGGCTCTCATAAACCACGTGTGGTAATAAATGGCTATTATTATTGATTCAAGCACTGAGTTTTTGGGGACAATTTGTTATATAGCATTAGATAACTAATACCCATCACTCCAGAAGGCCTTCCCCTCTCCCCCAAACATGGCTACCTGTCCTTCTTTGTATTCCCACAACCTTTTGTGTTTTTCCTTTTCATGAAGCCAGTCCACATTAGTCAAACTAGGCTCCTTAAACATAAATCAGATGTTGCTACTTCTCCGCCTATAATCCTCTAACAATTTCCTTTTGCACTTTAAATTCAGGATTCACAAAACCCTGCTCCCACGGGCCCTGCTGGCAGCCACAGCTGCCAGCCCCATGTCTCCAGCCCCTTGCTGTCTCCAAGCACACTAGCTCACATCCCTCCTCCCAGACCTTTCCTCTTGACGTCTCCTCTGCCTGAATGCTCTTCCTGCTGTGTGTGCACGAGGGTGTGTCCACCCTAGTCTGCTGACCACCACCTGACCATCACCCCCAATTTATTTAATTCATAGACCTTTGTCACTGCTGAATCATCCACTTGTATATTTCAGACACGATAGTTTATGTTCCTTTACTGTTATCCTTGGCGCATAGTAGGCTTGTAATAAATATTTGTTAAATGAATAAATGAATGGATATATTTCCATCTCCTCCCACTCCCTCCTCAACTGGAAGTTTCTCAAGCGCAAGTCCAGTTTTGTTCACTTTGTCTCTCAGCAGCTGCACCCGGGCAAGCGATCAAAACAAGTTTTTCAACTATCAGGTTGAATATCTTTGGAAATCTTACTGGACAGAAATGGAGTGTTGAGCTGCTCTCTTTGGCCACCAGAAGGTGGAAGTGTCCTGGGACCTAAGGAAAGGACCCACTGAACCCAAAAGAGAAGCATCTGGTTAAGGTCAAAGGGTGGTTCCCTAGGTTTTACTAGGGACAAAGAGAATGGGCTCTTGGGAGAGCCAGGAGAGAGGAAGATGACCGCAGACACAGGCAATTAACAATTTAGCACCTCTTGGCACTGGTAACATATGGGGTGACAGAGTGACAGCAATGAGCCAGGCACCCTCTAGGAACTTACACTCTGGTGAACAGTAAAGAAATCATTCTATTGCAGTGAGATAACAATTATGTGACAGCTAATGCTGTGTAACAAACACTCAGAGGCTTATACTAGGAAGCATTCACTGCTGCTCATGGGTCTTCAGGTTTCCTGTTGCTCCAGTGAGCTGGACTTGAACTGGCCAGGTTTGGCCTCAGATCTTCTCTACATGTCTCCTCATTCAGGAAGCAGTACTCTCCAGGGGCATGGTCTTCCCCTGACCGGTGGCAGAAGTGTGAGCTTATTAAAGCATCTATGGATGTCACATCCACCAGTATTCTATTGGCCAAAACAAATGGCATGGCGAAGACCAGTGAGTGAAGGGGAAGAGAGGTCAGGATGCTGCTTCTACAAGCCAGAGAGCACCAACGATTGCAGCACCCCTGAACGCTGGGAAACCCCAGGACAGATTCTCCCTGACACCCCCGAGAAGGAACCAGCCCTGCCAACAACGTGATGTCAGACTTCTGATCTATGAGGCAATAAATTTCTGTTGTTCCATCTTCCCAGTTTGTGGGTTTTGTTATGGCCGCCCCAGGAAGCCAGTAGAACACACTAATAGGATCACAGATGTCACCCAGGTTTCTGGCTTGCCAAAGACGAAGAGGCCATCACCCAGAGTCATGGGAGAGAAGCATCTATATTATCTTTTTGATACAATACACACGTATTGAAGTTCGTGCATGGATTCTATGATACCCAGTAGGCACTTGGATCTATGGAGCTGCAGTTCAGGTGAGATATTTAAGAAAGTGTTGATTTGGGGCACGGTGCCATGGATGTGGATGTGTTTGATTGAAACAAACTACAATGACCATTTCAATGCCATTAAAACAGATCATACAGGGGCTGGGGCTGGGGCTCAGCGGTTCGGTGCTTGCCTAGCATGTGTGAGGCCCTGGGTTCAATCCTCAGCACCACATATGAATAAATAAAATAAAAAAGTATTGTGTCCAACTACAACTAAAAAAATAAATATTAAAAAAATAAGATAATTATAATTATTTTAAAAAACCAAATCATACTATATTCTCTTATTCTTGAGTGTTTTGTCTATTCTGAAGAAACTTGAACTACATTTACTCAACTCAAAAAAAAAAAAAACCTCCAGGTGGGGTGGAACTTCAGGACTCATCTACCTAACTGGATATTTTCTTTTTCTCCTCTACCAGCATAGATTCATTTCTCTCAGCATCCTTTGTGGATTCATTCAATTTCACCTCTACAAAATCTCCAGCGATACTCTAAATGTGTACAGCACAGACTGTATACAAAATAATTCAATACATAGATAAACGCAGTTCTATTAAAGTTGTGCAGGTGAAGAAGGCTTTGGAAGTCCGGTGTTCCCGGGTCTGGGAGTATGTTGAAACACTGATTCATCTCCATCTGCACAGAAGTCAGGAGCCATCTCGTTAGCCAAAAATGTGAGTCCAACATACAGACACAGCATAGAAGAAAACACACTGTTGGGGCTGGAGTTGGGGCTCAGTGGTAGAGCACTCGCCTCGTAAGTGTGAGGCACTGGGTTCCATCCTAGCACCACATAAAAACAAATAAAGGCATGGAGTCCATACACAACTAAAAAAAATTAGGAAAAAAAAAAGAAAACACATTGTTAAACCAGATATGCTTGGGAGGGTCTGATATTTCCATCACTATTGATTTTTTATTTGTTTACTTGACATGTCACCTGTGAGCACTGGTTTATGACATACACAGGAGAAAAAATGATGACAGATGACAGATGATACTATGTATTAATATTTTATTTTGAGAACTGATAGTTAGTGGCCATTTTTTCCCCAAATTTAGGGTAAAAGAGGCCCAGGTGGAGGTCTTCTCTCTAGTGCCCTAGAAAAGAAATGGGTGAGTTTCAGAATCTGACTTCACTGATTTGTGGACCCAAAGCCAAAAGAGGCCAAAAGATTTGCCCAGGTTCACAAAATGAATCACAGATTACTTCTCCCTTGTGAATCACTATCAAAAAGACACGTTAAACGTTGGAGAGGATATGGTGAAATCATATCCTCGGCTGGTAGGAATGTAGCATTGTGCTTCAAAAACAGCCGCCTGGCGGTCCCTCAAATGATGATACACAGAGTGGCCATATGACCCAGAATTTCTATTCTGAAGTCTGTTCCCAAGAGAAATGAAGACACAGTTCTATACAAAAACTTGCCTACAAAATGTCTACAGCATTATTCATAATAGCCCAAAAGGTAGAAATAAAGGTGGAAACCCAGATGTCCATCAATGGGCAAATGATAAACAAAAATATGGACACAATGGAATATTACACAGTCATGAAAAGAAATGAAGTACTAACACACATACTACAATGCAGACTGACCTTGAAAATGTTAGGCTAAGTGAACTAAGCCAGACACAGAAAGGACAAATGTTGTGTGGTTCCTGTGATATGAATATCCAGAATAGGCAAATCTATAGAGACAAAGTAGATGAGAGGTTGCTCAGGGCTGGAGGGGAAATGAGGGATAAGAAGGTGGCGTCTGAGGGGGTTTCTTTGGGATTCATAAAAATGTTCTGAAATTGTAATGGTTGCATAACTCAGTATATACTAAATATCTTTGAATTATGCACTTCAGTGGGTAAATCATATGATATGTGAAATATATCTCAATAAAGATAGGTTTTTTAATATTTATTTATTTTCCTTTTTTATTATTTGTTCTTTTTTAGATATACATGACAGTAGAGTGTATTCTGGCATACTACGCATACACAGAATTTAACTTATTCTAATTAGGATCCCATTCTTGTGGTGGTACATGATGTGGAGTTACCCGGGTCATGGAGTTATATATAAGAATAGGAAATTTATGTCTGACTCATTCTACTCTCCTTTCTATTCCCACACTCCCCCCACCCCTGGGATTCATTCCTCTTTGTCTAATCCCATGGACTTCTATTCTTCCCCTCCCCAGCCTCCCTTGTTGTGGGTTAGTATCAGAGAGAACATTCAGCCTTTGGTTGGGGGGATTGGCTTATCACTCTTAGCATGTTATTATCTAGTTCCATCCATTTACCAGCAAATGCCGTAAAGATGGTCTTTTAAAGATAAGACAATCTTACCACCAAAATGAGTATGTGAACTAATGCTTATGCTAATTAGCTCAATAGTGTCATTCCACAACATGCATCTATTTTTTTTGTAGTTGTAGATGGACAGAATGCCTTTATTTTATTTGTTTATTTATTACTATTTATTTATTTATTTATTAGGTGTAGATGGACACAACACAATGCCTTTATTTTTATGTGGTGCTGAGGATCGAACCCGGGTCCCGCCCATGCTAGGCGAGCGCTCCACCGCTGAGCCACAATCCCAGCCCTATTTGTTTATTTTTATGTGGTACTGAGGATCAAACCCAGCGCCTCACACAGGCTAGGCAAGTGCTCTGCCACTAAGTTACATCTCCAGCCCCACATGTATCTATTCCAAGACATCATGTTTTACACAATAAATGTGTACAATTTTTATTCTGATTTTTTTTTTGTTAGGGGGATATTTGGGATTGAACCCAAAGGTGCTCTGTTACTGAGATACACCCCCAGCCCTTTTTATTTTGAAACAGGGTCTCCCTAAATTGCTGAGGCTGGCTTTGAACTAGTGATCTTCTTGCCTCAGTCCCCCAAGTAACTGGGATGATAGGCATGTGCCGCTGCCCCTGGCTTTTATTTATGAATTTTAAAAATTAAATTAAATTAGAAATAAATCAATAATTAACCAGAATAAAATAAAAATATGCAAGCAAGACAGACAAAGCAATTCTAATAGTAGGGACTTCTGGGTGATAGAGTTTGTAGAAGACTGCATTTCTGAAGACAGCCATACCAACGTACATCGGTCCCACACTTATCAGGCACTGTAACAGACTCACATCCATGGGGGTGGAGGAGGGAGTCTACATTGTCTTCCCTTGAACTTGGAAGGATCTTTTTAGCTGCCTCCACCCATGGAAGATGGCAGAAATGGTGATGAATGGCTTCCAAGTCCAGGTCAAAAAGGCCATATGTCTCCCCATAACTCTTTCTCTTGAGACACTGGCCTTGGGACCCAACCACCATGTTGTAAGGAAGCCCAGGTCACATGTGGAGGTCCCACCTGGGTATAGAGTCACCATGTCTTTATTCTGATAAAATAAGGTCTTTTTGACATCTGGGGCATTAGGGATCAGTACGGACTCGGGGGGCGGGCATGCTGGCCAATTCCTAGAGCCTCTCCCTCTCCTCTTTCCCACAGAAGCCATAATAAAGGCCCTAGAGTTTGTTTTCCTATGGCTTCCTCTATCTACCACCAGAACAACCCTGGTGCTCCCCTATGTGGCCCCAGGGTGTGGCATCCTGTGCCCTCTCCTCTGAGGATCTGGAAGTAGACAACCGTGTTCCAGTGGCAATTTTCTTCTGATCTCACTGAATCTGAATCATAATAAAACCTGCAAGTTAAGGCAAGGTTTTCTGCTGATCTCCCCCCAACCCCAGGGTCCTCGCCAACTACCAGCCTTCGCCACCAGATGCACGAGGGGAGTTCAGCCTCCATTTCCACCAGCTGAGGTCCCCACCCACAGAAACCACAAGAGACGTTGATGATTCCGATTGTCTCAGCCACTGTATTTTAGGATCGTTTGTCATACAGCAATAGATGATGGTACAGCACTTGGAATTTACTTTACATGTTTTTACTGAACATCTCAACTTTTCTACAATGAGCAGAGAATGCTTTTATTTTTTTTTAAAAAAAGAGCTGGCAAATGTTATTTTTAAAAAGAAAAAAGAATTCAGCAAGACCGAGGCATCTTGACTTTTTCTTTATTGAAGTGCTTTCTACTCCACTGGAAACAGCAGCAATTCACCAGAAGGGTTATTATTCTTCTTCATACAAATGTTTATCAAATAACTGTGTTAATACAAAATACCGATTTCACAAACACGGGAAGGTTTCCAATATCAGCAGGACATTTTTAAAAAGTCATGCCACAAATGTCACTCTCGAACACTGTGGGTTTTATAGATCTATAAAAGAGGGCTTGAAAGACACTCAGAGGGCTCCTGCTTTCTACCTTAAGAAGCAAGTGGGAAGCTCTTTGTGGACCCTCAAATGTAAACAGGGATGGTGGGCAGTCCATCCAGCGGGAAGCCAGAGCCTGGAATTGAAATCGCCTCTGGAGGCAAGGTAGCCCTTTCAAAATGGGGTCCAGAACTTTCTAGAATGCATTCCATCTCTGCCTCGCACCTTCCATCTCTGGCTGAGCACTTTCCTGTGGTCTGCCCTTTCAAGGTCTCTAAATCTTCTAATCCCCAAACACCCTCCAACCAGCATGGGGCCACCACCAGGACCAGAGACCCTAAGATTTGACCCCATATTCTTCTCAGTAAGGTCAGGGTACTGCATAACCAGACATTTGGAAACTCCTCATTTCTCTCTCCCTACCTGTCCCCACGTGGCTTCAGGGCACCCAGACCCCTCCGAGGTGTGGCACCATGTCAACCCCCGCCAATCACAACAGATAGGCACGGAGCACCCATTACTGACGACCTCGGCTTTCCAGGGGTGTCCCACCAAGAGCGATTTCCAGAATTTAGGGTTCAACCCCACTTGTCGATCACAAGATCAATTTAGTTGGATTGCAACTTGAGCAAACCAGATTGGCTGGAGGAGGGCAGAGCGCAGAAAGATGGGCAAAGATCGATCCGATGGTGGTATGAGGTGAATGTTTGTGTCCCTCAAAATTCTGTGTTGAAATGCCAACCCCTAAGTTCTCATGATAAGAGATGGGCCCTTGGGGAGGTGACGGGTCAGAGGGTCTGAGCCCTTACGAATGAGCCCCGTGCTCCATCAAGAGGCCTCAGAAAGCTCCCTTGTGCCTTCAGACACAGGAGAACAGACAGAGCAAGGAGCCATGAGCCAGGAGGGTGAGCCGCCCTCATTGGAATCTGCCAGCCCTTGATCTTGAACTTCCAGCTTCCAGACAGTGAGAAATAAATGTCTGTTGTTTGATGATGAGCCACCCCAGTCTGTGGGATTTTTCTTGTAGCAGCCCAAATGGACTCTGATTGGGATGGAATAGGAGAGGACAGAACACACATGAATCCCCCAGGCCCTTGCAGTGACGGATGTGAAAACCAGAATCACAGTGTGAGACATAAATTCTAAGAACCGGTCTTCATTAAAAAGGTGAAAACACTGACATCACTTGGGGTGCGTGGGAAGGACAGCCGCCTGTGTCACCTGGAGCCTGACCCGGGTCACAGAAGGAGCAAGACACGCCACTGCAGGTAAACCCTTCCTATAAGGGCTGCTGCATCCTCCCCTACCACAGCTATGAGGTGGCCTGACCAGGCACAGGAACGTGAGTGTGCCCCCTCAGATCTCTCGGAGCTGGGGCAAAGCTGGCAGAGCCTGTGACATGGCAGTGGGAGGCGAGCTACCGAGGCCTGGTTGGTGGGGGTGGGCTTCACCTGCTGCCTGGACCTCAGCTTTTGGGGAGCAAAACAGCCCCTACCCAGAAAGAGGAAGGACAAGACACCCAAGAACCTGAGCTGTGCTCCAGTCCTGCCCTGCTCTGGCTGGGTGACCAGGGATAGGTCTCTGAACCTCTCTGGGCAGCCTCTGTCTCTGCACGCAATGGAAACAGACATTTCTTCTTGCCAGGTTTTGGGGGGGGGGGGCAAAATATATAAGAACATGGATGTGAATCTGTACGTGTTCCTAAGTGCATGCATGACCTCAGGAACTGGGGAGATGCGTGGTGCAGGCGGTGCTGGTGGGTCACTTGGTTCTCCAAAACCATGAGACTGAGTGCAGCCTCTGCCTGCTACCGTGATGCCAAGACTCGCCTTAGCCAAGTTCAGGCTCCCAGAGGCTCCTGGCTTGCAACGTGGCTGAGTAGTTGACCACCCACCTCCGGAGCTTGCAGGAACGCCAGCACCCCCTCCTTAGTCCTGCAGCAGCACTCCAGAGGGTGGCAGGCCCTTGCTGCAGGGCCCCTTATGGCTCTGCCTTGAGTAGCGTCCTCCACAACTCTCACCTTCTCTCCCACCTCCAACCATGTCGCCTGAAGAACGGCATGCACGGCACAGGAAGCATGAGGCGACCTAGATAAAAGTGCCTCAGTATGGCAGGGGGATGTCTACGGAAAGGCCCTCGTCACGGCTTGTCTGAACCTTCGCACGACCTAGACATGAGCTCTGACGACCTGCAGGGTCCCTCGTCAGAGGTCACCTGCCACCTCTTGGCTAACCTAAGCTACAATGGCTGAAACGGGGTAGCCTGGTCTATGAACATTGTCCAGGTGCAAAGTGAAGGGGAAGATTCTAGACCAGTGGTTCTAGAACACCAGTGTATGTTGCGGGCCACCCTGGAGATCCCCAACACCCTGCCAGGGGGTTCACAAAGCCTCGCTATTTTCATAATAATACCAGGACATTGTCCTGTCCCTCTCACTCTTTCCCACAGGTACACCACCGATTTCCAGCAGCTACCGGACTGTGACATCGTGACATCGCAGCCGACCAAATACAAAGGCAGATGGGAGAATCCTGTGTCTTCTGCAAAATCAGACATGCAAGAGATTCACAAAAGTGCACACCCCTCCTGCCCACATGGACTTTGTTTGGGGGGGGGGGAAGTTATTTCTAATAGGAAAATAGGTTGCTCATGTTACCATGTAACGGGTTTGTTCCCTTTAAATGAGTTAACAGTTACTTTTTTAATGTTTTAATTTCTAGTCTGATGAATGACAATAGACACAGACCACCTGAACTAAGGCTCTTTGGTGTTGTCAATAATTTTAAAGAAGTCCCAAGGCCAGAACACGGGAGAGCCGCTGAGCCACCTGCCCTGGCCAGTCGCTTTCAGCAATGATGGAAATCGTTCTGGTTGGTGTGGCCCAAAATGGTAGCCACTCGCCACGTGTCCCCAGTAAGCCCTTAACACGAGGCTAGTGCACCTGAGGGGAATGGATTTTCATTTTGATTTCATTTTAATTGGCATAAGTTTAGATACCCACCTGCAACTAGAGGCTACTGTTTTGGAGAGCACCTCTAAGCCACGTCTGGTGTTCCTGTGCCACCAGAATTCTCTGGTTTTAGTTCCCTATGTTGAGTTGATCAGAGGGATCTGTGCATGGGGGGGGTGTCCTGGTTTCTCCCCCTTCCCCTCCCAGGAGACCTCTCCTCAAGCTGGGAAGGGGTCTGCCATGCTCACCAATTCCAGCTTTATGCCACACCGGTAGCCTGAAATTGACCATGGTGGAATTCTTTACATCGTGGAAATTGGAAATGTCAACACATCAGAGATTTTTAAAAACTGCTATTTGATTTTATTTTTCTCTCTGCACATGTTATTTAAAAATTTTTTAAGCTCAGCTCTTTTTCTTGGAGAAAAGTCTTAGGGGCAGTGAGTTTCCTAGGAAGCGGCAGAGGTAGGCCAAGGGCAGGATGCTTGGGCATCAGATAGTCCTGGTTTTAAAGCTTTGCTCAGCTGGGTGCCCTTGGGAAAGTCACCAGACCTCTCTGTGCTTTGGCTTTCTGCTTTGTAAGATCCTCTAATGATCCTCCCCACACAGGGAGACTGAGCCAATCAATGCAGGGTGCATCTAGGAAACCACTAGCAAAGACAGAGACCGCCACCACCCCCCAGTAGGAGCTCATACAGGGAACCCCACCTCCACAACTTCCTGCTTCTTGTCTGCATTGGAAGTGACTGTTGGGATTGTCATTGGCTCTTTCTGGCCCTCACCGATGCTGTTCCCAGAGCCAGCACGGTCTACATCAGGCTATGCAGTCTAGGGAGAGGCCCACAGGTAGCTTCCCAGTCTGTGATAAAGACCCTAGGGGAGATGCAACCCTGAGATCCCCAAGAGTTCTCAGTGCTGGCCCCGCCCTACTGTGCGTGGCCCCGCCCACAACCAAGGCGACTTTCAAATTCAAATCAAGGCCCAATGCAGTTCTCAGCTCCACATCCTCCTCCCAACTGCCTAGAACTTTCCTGGGTTTCTACCCAGCGGAGCCCCAGGGGATGGACAGAAGCTCAGCCTTGCACACGGCCATACCTTCAACTTCCAATCAAGAGGAAAGGCAGCTCTGAGATTTTTTTTTTTTGGGGGGGGGAGGGAAGCGGTGGGTACCAGGGACTGAACTCAAGGACACTCGACCACTGAGCCACAGCTGAGCCCTATTTTGTATTTTGTGTAGAGACAGGGTCTCACTGAGTTGCTTAGCACCTCACTTTTCCTGAGGCTGGCTCTGGACTCGCGATCCTCCTACCTCAGCCTCCCCAGCCACTGGGATTACAGGCGTGCGCCCTGGCAACCGGCCAGCTCTGTGATATTGATGCCAATTCTTCTGGGGTAACCACAGGAACACAGCCTAGGATGCTTCTGAGACAGCCTTATCCACCAGAGGGACTGGCCAGATGGAACTTCTCTGAACTGTTTGTGATGCGCTGGGGGAGATCCAGGGTCTGGATCCTGGGAAACTCAACTTCTGAATGATGCTGGGAAGCGAAAGGGTTTATGGGAAGCATGTCCTGAATTGGAGCTAGGACAGGAAAGGTGACCAAGACCCCTCAGAAGGCCGCCTTCCAGAGTCCTCACCAGCCTGACCACAGTTGGAAATTCTACCATTAGGGATTCATTTCTTTGGCTGATGCCCCTGAGAGTGTCATCTTTGTTATCGCGACTTGCCTCTCCAGTGGACAGCCAGCAGAACGAAGGAGCGTGCAGGGACCCGTGTCACACTTCCCTTATCCTGCTGTGTCTTCAGGCAGCCCTGTAAGGTGCTGACGTACAGCTGTAAGGTACTCATCTTACAGCTGGGGACACTGAAGCTCTCACATGGGGATGCCAGATATGGCCCCAAGCCTAGGGAGACACAGCTCTTCCCTTCTGGAGCATACAAGTACCCAGATGACAGACAGGTCCCTGAGCACTGGTGTAGGCGAGACAGCGAGGCACAGGAGGCCGAGCCTGGAGTCAGACCAAGGACATGCGCCTCAGTGCTGATGCTTGGGGTGGGTTTTGAAGGATGTGTAGGAGTTGGGTGGATAAGGAGGTGAACAAAGTTCCCTGCAGAGGGACTGGCACCTCAAGAGGGGCACACAGGGGTGGCTGTTTTGGGAAAATGTACCATCAAGTGCCTAAGAGGAGGAGCACAGAGAGATGCAGGTCCCAGCCTTAGGGGCCACTAGAGAAGCCCAAGCCAACATTCCCAGCGCCTGTCACTATTTCTGGGAACCTGCCCGTCCCCCGCAGCATCCTGATGTCGGGATTTTTGGTTGGCCTGGCACAGTGCCACACTTCCTTCCCACGCAGCACCTCAGGACCCCCAGGACTCCCTTTCCCAGCCTCAGGCCCAGGCAGAAGTCGGTTCTCTGTGTCTCTGACCCCAGGCGGGAGACAACCTCTCCCTGGCTGCCCTTGCCTCCAAATCTTTCCCTTCCCTCTGGCCTCCAGTCCTGGCCCCAGCTGGTTGGAGACACCTAGGGAGTCACAGGGACAGGCTTACCCAAGACACCTGCCAGGGGACGGAGGGCAGATATGCAGGTGGGCACACATGGACAGGTAAACAGAACCAGCCCAAGGCATCCCCCGCTCAGAAGCCAGCTGTCTGAGGAATGTGTCAAGATGATTTAACACTGGCTTGGACCACCGGGATTCCAGGTCCCCGGGGGCTCAGAAATGCCCTGGAATGTTCTAGAAGGAAGCATAAGGCACCCTAGGTCGGTCCAGCTTTGTCCACCCCAGTCGGGTTGGAAGTCGTGGAATAAGAACCTTCAAACTTGAGACAGATGTGTTATTACCCAGAGGTTCTGAGATGCCGATTCAGATCCCAGAGCCGGGCGGCCACTTCTGTCCTATCCCCAGCAAAAGTCCAGAGAGAGGCTGGCCCCGTCCCGCAGGATGTGGGGTCAGGCCTTTGGGGGCTGCCGTGTTGGCTGGGTGAACCCTCCAGAGGGTGAGGACCTGGATGCTCTGCACAGGTCCACATCCAGGTGAGGCCGAGGAGCACAGCTGAGTGGCCTCTAGGAGCCATGACCTGGCACCTGGAGAGACTCCCAATGTTGGCACCACCACAGGCAGAGGAGCAGGTTCCCAGGGACCTGCTTGTCCCCTCTGATGAATGAATGAGTCATCATTTCTCTGGACTCTTCGGGATGAGAAGAAATGGCCAAGAAGCAGTGCCCACGCCTCTCCTGCTCCCTCCTCCTCGGTACTGAGGACCAACTCTGGTTCCTGCAGGCATCGGGGACTGCCCAGCTGGGGTGCCTCAGTCTCCCGCTAGTGCCCGAAGCTGCCCACTCCAAGAGCTTCTCCAGAAGGGGAAAGGAAGAGGGAGTCGAAGGCATTAGTGCCATTAGCCCCGCGGTGACTTCCATCTGCTCTGCCCGTGATCCCTTCAGAGGACGCCAGACTGGACGGGCCGGGAGGTTCCATCCGCAGTGCCAAACCGATGGGTAGTGGGCACCCAGGGCACTGAGCGGAAAAGAATTCTGACCCCAGGCACATGCTGTGATTGACAGGCGCTCTCTTCCACGGTCAAGGGTATGATGCCCCACCTCTCATCCGAACAGGGGACAATTTCCCAGCTGGGACTTTGGCAGCACAGAGAGAGGCCCTGGCAAGTGGGTTCTGTGCCACCCACTAGACTCCTCAGGACCTTCAAAGGCACGGCTCGGCCCATGGTTCCCCAGTCTGTGCTTTCTGAAGACGTTAATGCTTGTTGTTAGGAAACGCTCGTCTACGGTAGAAACGCACGGCAGGGTTAGTTTCTCCTTCGTGGAAATGACTAAAAGCTCTCCTTCTTACCAGTCTTCAGGGATGGCCTGGCTGTCACCAGAAAGAAACTCACACCCTGCAAAAACTCAGTCCAGGGAAGGGCAGACTGGCCTCGGCACTGATTCCGGTGACAGTTCACAGATCACGTCCAGTGATGCTCCGATCCCAAAGCCCAAAGGACGGACGGGGGCTGGGCCATCTCATTTGGACACCTTGGTTTGCAGGGTGCTGGGCAGGTAGAGGTACCTCCAGATGGCGTAGTAGTGGGTGCCAGCACCGAATGCCACAAAGAGGTGCCAGATGGCGTGGGCAAAGGGGATCCTGCCGTCGCTCTTGAAGAACACCATGCCCAAGCAGTAGAAGACCCCTCCGGTCATCAGCTCCCAGATACCCTCAGTGTTGGGCTGTTAGCAAGGACAGGGTGGGGCACAGGTCAGAGGAGCAGCCAGCAGCCCCTACCACCCAAACCAAAAGACAAGTAGGTGTCCAGCCAGCCCAGAGTCCCCATGGGAGTCTTGATATTGCTGAGTGGACAATCCAGCTGCAGAGTGATCCTTTGGGGATCACTCCCCAGGTCCCCGAGGGACCCTGCACACCTGCCCACCAGGTACTCACCAGTCAAGAACCTTCAAACTTGAGACAGATGCGTTACCCAGAGGTTCTGAAATGCCAATTCAGATCCCAGAGCCGGGCGGCCACTTCTATTAATTACACAGTCATAGTAATTCCCAGCATTTCCCAGTACTTTCTATGGGCCAGGTACCACCTTAAGTGTGTATTTGAATTGTGTAACGTCACCTTCACGAGAGTCTTATGAGGTGGGTTTTATGCTATGGACAGCCACGGGGAAATGCCCGTGACATGGTGCAAGGAGAAATGCAGGTGTAGAATAGTCCATGGAGTGATTTCGATCTTGTATAATAAAAATAGACACCAGACGTAGTGGTGCAGACCTGTAATCACAGCAGCTCGGGAGGCTGAGGCAGGAGGATTTCAAGTTCAAGGCCAGCCTCACCAACTTAGGGAGGCTCTAAGCAACTTAGTGAGATCCTGTCTCAAAATAAAAAAGGGGGGGGGGCTGGGGATGTGACTCAGTGGTTAAGCACCCCTGGGTTCAATCCCTGGTACCAAAAAAGAAAAAAAATGATTAATAGACAAGGCATTATGTGTCTGCATATCCCCAGATACTTGCATCTAAATTTTTAAAAAGGATGGCTGAGGATGTAGCTCAGCGGTAAAGCGCTTGCCTAGCATGCACAAGGCCCTGGGTTCTAACCCCAGCACCACAATAAAAAGTAAATCTTACAAATGGAAAAGATACACAACAAACTGTTCCTGATGGTTACAGCTGGGGGTATTGTGCTCTGGAGAGGGTGGGAGGTGCCATTTTATGCAGGACTTCTCTTTTGAGTGACTACATGATTACACATGCATCTACTATGTATGCATCTAAAGATATGATACATAATTTAATGAATATGTTATAATTTAATAGATGAATATATATATATATATTTAAACAAAAATAAACTCAAGTGGAGGAAAAAGGTAATCTGGAAAAATAAATACAAATATAAAGGGAAACTGTTGAACAGGTAGAACAATATGGAAAGATTTCACTGCCGAGTATGAAAATGCAGTTAGAGCTACCCACGAATCTGTTCGGTAAAAAGAAGCCAAGAATGGAATCTAAGAAACAGTTCTATCTATCTAGGTGGACATTCGAATTTCCCATATGATGTAAGGAGAATCTGTAAATGATAGATAAATGAAACAATGGCTGACCATTTGGGGAGGGATCACCATATACAAAAGAAACCACAGTGAATAGAAAAGTAAAATGTGGCCAGGTGCAATGGCGAATGCCTGTGATCCCAGAGACTTGGGAGGCTGAGACTGGAGGATTGCAAGTTGGAGGCCAGCCTCAGCAACTTAGCCAGACCCTGACTCAAAATTTTAAAAAGTTAAAGGGCTGGGGATGTAGCTTAGTAGTAGAGCACCCCTGGGTTCCGTCCCCAGTGCCAAGATAAATAAGTAAATAAAATAACAACAAAAGGGAAACGTAAAAAAACAAACTATAAAGAAATAGAAGAGGGCTAGGGCTATAGCTCAGTGGTAGAGCGCTTGCCTAGCATGTGTGAGGCACTGGGTTTGATCCTCAGCACCATATACAAATAAAATAAAGGTATTCTATCCATTTACAACCACACACACACAAAAAAAAAAAAAAAAAACTTTAAAAAAATTTAGAGACAGGGTCTCACTGAGTTGCTTAATGCCTCACTTTTGTTGAGGCTGCTTTGAACTCGTAATCCTCCTGCCTTGGCCTCCCGAGCTGTTCAGATTACAGGCGTGCAACACTGCGCCCAGCCCATTTTTTTTTTTTTAATTTTTGATTTGCAGAGCTGGGGATGGACCCCAGGGCCTTGCACATGCTAGGCAAGAGCTCTCCCACTGAGCTACACCCCCAGCCCATTTTTTTAAAAAATTTTGAGACAGGGTCTCACTACCTTGCTGAGGCCGTCCCTGAAATTGAGATCCTCCTGCCTCAGCCTCCAGTGCAGCTGGGATTACAGGTGTGCACCACCATGCCCGGCTCATGGGTCTCTCACTTAATCCTTAAATACAAAGTAGACCTGAAGCACAGGAGTTGGCAGACCCACTCAGGGTTGGGTGGACAGGGAGTGGTGGGGAGCCCAGGGTGGGGCCCCAGGATTAACTCCCATGTTCTCCTGCCCCCTCCAGGCTGACTGGACACCCCGTGCTGGACATGTGGGACTCACCATGGAAAGGATGACCAGGGCCGGGAAGAAGCCCATCACGACGTAGCAGAGCAGTTCCACAAGCTTGTACCTGGCAGGAAGAGAAGCCGTGCTGGCCTCAGGACGAGACTGCCCACGAGGAGACCGCTTCCTGCTCCCGCTGCTGGGGAGAAGGGGTGCCCTGACCAGGAAAGGACGAAGAAGGGACCCTCTCTGCAGCACTCCTTGGCCCAGCTTTGACCAACTGCATCTCCAGGCAGTCGTGTGGCTTTGGGAAAATCTCTTTCCCTCTTGAGACTCAATTTCCACACTTTCAAAATGACATGCTGGAGCTGGACCAGGGACGGCCAATATTAGAGCAAGCACCTGGGCTCTCCCAAGGCTCAGTCCACAGCAGACATTACTATTCGATCCCAGCATCTTTTCCCACAGGGCACAAACAGCCAGTCTCCATCGAGTGAGTTGCTCCATCAACGAAATCTTTGTGCCATCCTGGACTAAATGGCCTCTATAGAGTTCCCATCTGCTGACTCAGTCCAGGGAAGGCAGGTTCCAGTGACCCCATTCAATGGTCCTAGCAACCTGTGATGTCTTTTTAAAAAATCATTCAAATTGAATCTGTGGGCTGGGCGGCTAGGTCCAGTCTATGGGCCTGGACATTGGGGGGTGCCAGGCAGAACTCTGCTCTCATTTTCTGGAGTCATCCTGGGGTCTCATCTGCCCAGGACACTGAGGAAGCTTCCAGAAGCACCCCAACCTCCATCTCCCAGCCCGGGCTTACCGCTCGTGGAAGAAGAAGACATAGATGGTGCCAACAGAGGCCATAATCCAGACCAGCCACCGCATGTGGGAGGCCCAGGGGCCCAGCTCCCGAAGGTTCAGCCTGGGGGAGAGAAGCCGAGGGCACAGGCTGAGGGAGGCCCATTGGGACCCAGCCCTCCACAGCCGGCCTGCTGCAGGAAGCTGACCCCAGAGAAGCCCTGTCCCCTGCAGCTGCCCAGGTGGGACAAGGACTCTCCGTGGGCACGGTAATCCCAGCAGCTTGGGAGGCTGAGACAAGAGGATCGCAAGTTCAAAGCCAGCCTCAGCAATTTAGCAAGATCCTGTCTCTAAATAAAATATAAAATAAGGCTGGGGATGTGGCTCAGTGGTTAAGCACCCCTGAGTTCAATCCCTGCTACCATAAAACAAAAAAAGGCACTAACTATATTGAAGGGGCAAACACTCACAGGCTGAGGATCCCTCATCTAAAATGCTTGGGACCGGAAGGGCTTCAGATCTTGGAATATTTGCATATGCATAACATGGGATGGAACCCAGGGCTAAACATAGAATTCATTTATATCTCCTAGACACTCATGCACATGGCCTGAAGGTGAGGTTGCACGATATTTTTAGTGTTCCTGTGTTTGGGCTCATGTGTGGTCACGGGTGGAATTTTCCATTCATGATGTCACAGCAGTACTCACAAAGTTTGGATTTCAGATTTCCAGTTTTCAGATAAGGGGATGCTCAACCTGAATCAGAGGGAAGTTGGCAAAACAGGTCATGTCCAAGAGAGAAACGGAGGAGCACCTCAAAAGAGTGGGACATCAAGGGGTGAAGCCTGTTCAGGGGGAAATTTGGTAGAATCCATAGAACTTTGCAGTTTGCATCCCCAGGATTCCAGTTCCAGCCGAAAGCCAAGGAAAGAGTCGTGCGCTGGTTACCAACCTACAATCTGTGCTGGTTACCAACCTACTATGGGGCTGATCCACCTTTGCTCCTTTGGCCTGCACTGGGATAATGCAGCTGGGCCTTGGGAATCCTTTGTAGAGGGTGCAATATTACGTTTTGGCAGCAGAGGGCGGTGGGGAGCCGCTCCTCTGCAGGAGGCTCTTCCTCCTCGCTCCCATCATCCTCTGGCTTTTTTCCTGCCTGGCCCAGCCCTGTCTTTCTCCAGTGCCAGGTGTGCGAGAGGCTCAGCTTTTTCTAGCACCTGGCTTCAGTATGATTTAAGTAACCACGGAACAGCCAGGGGCCCCAGACAGAGCAGGCCTGGGCTGTGCTCCAGAGTCACTCCCTGCATGGTGTTCTCAGCCCTGCAAACATGCTTGGGGTTCCCACAGCTGACCATCTAGCTGCCCCAAGGGTCCCTGCAGAGGGACCACTCCTCTGCCGTTCCAGCAGCACACAGTGACCCCCAGCACGGAGCAAGTGCTGACCCAGCACCTCCCAGTGGATGGCCTCCTCTGGCATCTTGAGGGCCAGGTGCCAGCAAGTCACACCAGTGGGATCTTCACCAACTTCTTGCCACCCCACGCACTAAAACTGTGCCCTCTCAGGAAACGTGAGATCTCAGCCCTGGGCAGAGGGCTCTTCCTTGGGCATCAGAGCTCAGCACAGGTTTCAGAGGTAGTTGTGATCTCTTATAACTTTACTATCACTGTTCTTTAGAATTGTCTCTTTGGGGAGGGGGGGGGTACCAGAGGTTGAACACAGGGGCTCTCGACCACTGAGCACATCCCCAACCCTATTTTGCATTTTATTTAGAGACAGGGTCTCACCAAGTTGCTTCCTACCTTGCTTTGGCTGAGGCTGGCTTTGAGATCCTCCCGCCTTAGCCTCCAGAGCCGCTGGGATGACAGGCAGGCGCCACTGTCGTGGCACCCCGTCCTCCACAGAAAATCTTAATTAAGCTTCTCCAGAAACCTTCAACATAATTGTCCTTAGACTCACAGCAAAGTTCCTGCAAAAGAATTTTCAGGCAGGGGGTATGCTTGCAGCCTCAAGAGTTGGAGAAGAAAAAGTAACTAAGGCCCAGCCGTCACAGAGGCGTTTGCATTTCAAAGGACAACAGTCAGGCCCTGTGGAGGAAGCTGTGGGAGAGAAAGGGAGGGAAACTCTCCCTTGCTTGGCCGCTGGTTTTCCCAGAGAGTGTCCTTGATTTTGTATCCTGGCCTGAGTGGATTTGCCCAGAACAGTGAAAAAAAGCTGCTTTTGTGTGGACATCTGCAGATTGTGAGCCTCTGAGCCCCTCCCCCTACACACTGGGTCTAAAGTTCTGAACCTTTCTGAACTTGGGGTTCAGAGGGATGGATTGATTGGAGCAAAAGCTTTTCCCCTGTGGACCTGGCTGCAGCCAATAAACCTGCTTCCTGCTAATTCCTGGGTGTCCAGCCCTGTAGTCCTACAAAACCACCACACCCGGCTTAGAGCAGTCTTTTATTCTTATTAGCCAATCCCCTGCCACTTCAGTCCTCCATTAATAATTCTTAATATTGGGGCTGGGGTTGTGGCTCAGTGGTAGAGCACTCGCCTAGCACATATGAGGCACTGGGTTCCATCCTCAACACCACACGAAAATAAATAAATAAAATAAAGGTATCATGTCCATCTACAACTAAAAAAAATATTTTAAAAGTATCACATTTAGGGTTTTTTTTTTTTTTGTAGGAGCGTTTAACCACTGAGCCACATCACCAGCCCTTTTTGTTTTTATATTTTATTTAGAGATAAGGTCCTGCTGAGTTGCTTAGGGCCTCACTAAGTTGCTGAGGCTGGCCTTGAACTTGAGATCCTTCTGCCTCAGCCTCCCTGTGGCTCAGGAAGCTGCGGCTAGAGGATTGAGAGTTTAAAGCCAGCCTCAAAAACTTAGAGAGGCTCTAAGCAACTCATTGAGACCCTGTCTCTAAATAAAATATAAAAAGAGGGATGGGGATGTGGCTCAATGGTTGAGTGGCCCTGGGTTCATTTCCCAGTACCAAAAAAAAAAAAAAAAAAAAAAAAAATTCTCTTAATTGGTTAAATGTTGTTGCAAAGTAGTTTTTCCAAAAACTCCTGAGTACTGCACTCCCTGACTTCTCTCATACATCAGAATGGTCACCTATTGCTCTCATGGCTGTGTGAGAGCCTCCCTAGATGATGTTCCCTGAAAGTCTCCCTTTGGGAAACTGCAGAAATCTCCATTGTGTTTCAGGATCAAATAGTGCCGTGGCCACATTCAGAGGCTGGCCTGATTTTTTTTTTTTACCCTTTGTCATTGATTTATGATTATTTTCAGTCTCTGCCTGAAGAATTTACCCGTCTTTCATTTATTTTACTGCCTCTCTGATTGCTTGACCTTTCCACCTTTAAAAATTTTGTGTATTCTCCCTGATCATCTCATGCCTTTTCACTGTGTCAGCGTGTGATTTTTTTTTTTTTTGGTAGTTGTTTTCCTGGTGGGTTTTTTTTTTTTTTTCCTGAATTGAATTCATTAATTTATTCGATGTCCTATCCTATCGTGATGTGGATTTGTTCTTCAATTTGTTTCTTTGGGCTTGAAGTCACTATTTTGGTTTCCATTGGTTGTTCTGTTATCTCATATCGGGGCTCTTGTTTAACTGCGCTCATTTTCTTATTCAGGGCTTGAAGCGGCTCGGCTCAGCCGGGCAGCAGTCAGAAGGGAGCTGGAACAGAAGTAGAGGAGTGGGGACCGCCAGCTTGCGTCTCCCTTCCACCACCTCTAACCTCCAAGACCTAGGAGCATGAAGCCGGGACTAGCAGCAAAAGCTGGGAGACCAGCACTGAGCTGCAATATGTGCTTCTCTCAAGACCAAAGACACCTGAGAAAGAGATCCTAGGCCATCAATTAAGGACGACGAGCATGAGCAGTAGCCCCGGTGCCACATACCAGAGGGCGCTGCTTCCCTTCAACTTTCCAGGGATGGCAGATCCGAGCCGCAATACCCACAACGCACACCAGAGGGCGCTGCTTCCCTTCCACCTTCCAGGAACAATGTCCTTGAGCAGCAGCCCCAGTACCACGCACCAGAGGGCGCTGCTTCCCCGGAATCAACCCACTGCTGAAATCCTCTCACACACTTTTCTAAGGAGCCTTGTCCAGTGTCCAGGACAGAGCAGGATGTCACCTGCAAGGGTGGGGTTACTGGCGGTGTTGCTCTAAACGGCTGCTAGAGAGTGAAGTGAAGCATCCAGCTGCTGCTGTGCTCTGCCCCACGACATTCCCTTTCTGAAATCTCAGCCTTGGGTTCTGTACTTGTCCAACAGGTGACCGTGGTGACAGTCTTTGCCCTCCAAAATATTTATAACTGTCTTTTTTTGGGTTTAGTTTGGTGTGGTTTTTGTTAAAGCCCCAGGAAAGCTTGTGTCACATGTGAGTTTTCTACACTTTCCTGCCTCCCTAATCCTGGGACTGGCTGGGGTGATGGACAGTGTGTTCTTATCTCATTTTTCCTGGCTGCAGACAGGGGCGACGGGGTGGATCATCACTGTCTCCACCTCACAGGTCAGGAAAACTGAGGCTCAGGCTCAGTCAGTTGCTCAAGAAGCAGCAAAGCTGGGACCAGAACTCCCCATACAGCCTGTTCTCTTCCGATTACACCAGAACCTTTCAACATTCTTTTGGCCACCGGGCACCCATTCTTTCAATAAACCGTCTGTGCAGAAATCTTATAGATAAACCCAATGTGTGAAAAAAGGAAAAACAAAAGCACAAATGTTTTTTCCTGAGAAGATGGGAATGGAAAAACCCGGAGTCATTCATGTCCAGCTCCCCTCCCTGGTCCTCTGGGGACCCTCCAGGCTCTGCAGAGACTAGCTTAAAAACCAGACGAATGCAAAGAAAAACACCCACCTGGTGATTCCAGGCCACCTCACCCCCTCATTACCCTGTCACCATGCACCCTGTAGCCACTTTCTCTGTCTCTCTTGCCCCCGTGTCAACCCTCCCCGCAGAGTCCTGCCGATTTTCCCCCGGGGTGCGCTCACAGGGCGCATCTCCCCTCCTCACACCCAGTTTACTCAGTGGAGTGAGCATTGGGCCAGTGGCTCTGTGCCCTGTTGCTGCACAAGGACAGGCTGCCAGTGCTTTGGTTCACAGCGATCCCTTCCCACAGGGTCCCAAGGGAGCGGTGCACAATCAGGGCAGAGAATAGAGGCCCAGGCACTCCATCAGCCAGGGGAGAAACTGCACTGGAGGGAGGGAGTGCAGCTAAGCACACACTCAGCTTCGCTTTTCTTGGCAACAACCAAAAGGAGCCAGGGAGATTGTCAAGACAGAAGGTGGCACCCAGAGACGGCATGGGGCCAGGAGAAGCCGCCTGCTGGAATGAGCAACTCCAGGGCCTCTGACTGCTCTTGCCTTGTGCTCCCGGCAGCCCCTGCGGCCTCCACCTACCTGCTAAGACGGCGGCCCTCAACCTCGGCCTAAGTCTAGACTTCTCTGCAGGCCTGCCCACCTGTGTCTGGCAACCAGAAGCACTCGGCTTTCAGGCCCCTTCTGTCGCTTAGCCAGCTGAGCATGGGGATCATATCCACCATGTCCCCAGCCAGATGGCACCAGGGCTGCTCTGCTCCCAATAGACACTGACCTCTAACCCCATCCCCACCTTCAATTACAGCCCACTCAGAGGTTCCTGCTAAACTTCTTCTTAGTCCCTCCTCTTGATCTCCCTGGCCACTGTGATGGTGGGCTACCGCCATTTCCCCCCAGAGACCTCTGCACCTGCCCCCTGGGCCCTTTCCTGGTGCCTGGGCAGCCCATCATCGCAAAAGACAAAAGCACACCAGAGTCCTGTTCAGACCCTCCCGTCCACTGCTCAGTTGCGACCCACCAGGACCACGTACTCCTGACCTATCTGCAGGGACAGGAGGAATGTCTATGGGTCCATCACCCATGACCCTGAAACCTGGGAACCATGCAGACCCCTATCAACAGGAAAAGGACTATTCACCCTGAGCGAATGGCAGCCCGGCTGCCATCTGCCTGGGGAAATGGTGGGATACCAGCCCCGCGCCCAGCAAGGAGAGGAAAAGTGTGACTCCTGCACATGAGACTGAATGAGTCCCTGCCTGACTGACAGGATGCCCTGGAGAGGAACAAGAATGGAGATTCCTGCCGGTGGGTCCCAGCAGGAGGTCACACTACCCTGGCACTGCAGGAGTCAGAACTGCAGCTGGCTTTGGAGCTCAGGGCCAGGGGCAAAGGTCTGAGCATGGTTTCAGGGGCCCGGTCACCTTCTGGGTCTTTCTCTGAGTGCTGGTTACAGTTGGTAGCGATTCAGCAAGATGTGTGTGTGGGGGGACTGTGCACATCCTCGTGGGCGTTACACCTCAACGCAGTGTTTTTAAAAAGCAATAGCCTGTTGGGTGTCGTGGTGCACACCTGTAATCCCAGTGGCTCTGGAGGCTGAGGCAGGAGGATCGAAAGTTCAAGGCCAGCCTCAGCAAGTTAATGAGACACTGTCTCAAAAAGGGCTGTGGATGTGGCTCAGTAGTAAAGTACCCCTGGGTTCAATCCCTGGTACTAAATAAAGAAAGAAATAAAAATCAAAAGAAGTAGCTCCATGTGCACAGATAAAACCCATTTATTAGCTGACATAATGAAAGAGAATATTCCACTGGGAGAACCAAGAAGAAATAACCCAGGCAAACGTGTGAGGCCTCCCATTCCTTAGAGGGAAGCCCTCTTCCTGGGAAGCTCTCCTGCGGTTCCCCTGCCAAGTCAGGTCCCGCTGAGCACTCATGGCTGCTGTGTGTCACTGACCCCTCACAAGCCTCCCTCCACCCACCAGAGCCTCAGCAGCTTGACCCTGGCACCGATGGCCATGGGACACTCATTCCACAATGCTATGCAAAATCATCTTCCCCCTCAGTGGCCCATGGGGTCCTTGGGCTGCAGGTGCTTGGCTTGAAGCTCAGAGTTTGCTCCATCCAGAACTGTCTGGATTTGTTCCTCGATCAAGTTCAAAGCCCCTGAGACATTCACTGAAGGAATTTAAACTGGACAATCATTTTTTGTTTTTCTTTTTGTACCGGGGATTGAACTCAGGGGTGCTTTACCACTGAGCCACATGCCCGGTCCTTTATTTTTATTTTTTTTATTTTGAGATACAGTCTCAATTGCTGAGACTGGCCTTGAACTCGAGATCCTCCTGCCTCAGCCTCTGAAGCTGCTGGGATTACAGGTGTGCGCACCATGTCCAGCTTAAACTGGACAATCTTGGTGGAGGGTGATTTGGCCAACTTGTACCCGAGTTATTAGTACCTACCCTCCAGGCCCAGGAAGAACAATTCTAGAAGCATTCCCCTTAGAGATGAGACTTAACCACATGAAGTCCCTGCTTCTGTAAGCCAAAGGTTGGCTACCAGCAATTTCATGTGATTGTAGACAATACATCCATACACCTTTGCTAAGTGATACATGAAGATGTGCACTGATAGGCACTTTCACCATCAAGAAATAGACACTATTTAAGGGGTAGCAAGGGAATATTATGCATCTGTTAAAAATGGGATATGGGGGCTGGGGTTGTGGCTCAGCAGTAGAGCGCTTACCTAGCACTTGCGAGGCCCTGGGTTCTATCCTCAGCACCACATAAAAACAAATAAACAAAATAAAGGTAATGTGTACAACTAAAAAAAATTTTTTTTAAATGGCATATGATCTTTTTTTATTTTACATACAATGGAAATCTTCAATGTGCTAACATGGAAAGATATCCCTGGCTTCATTCCTAAGAGTTACCAAAGTAAATTGCAAAAGGGTTTGTATAGCATTCTTTCTTTGTATTAAAAATAGACAGAAAGCAGAACTATAAATATACACTTCATAAATATCAAAGGCACTCATGGGGCTGGGGGTGTAGCTCAGAGGTACAGCCTTTGCTGAGGATGCCTGAGGCCCTGGGTTTGATCCTCAACTCCACAAATTAAGTAAATAACTTTAAAATACATGCATGTGTATACACATGTATACACCTATAAGTATTTATTTATACATGCATAGACACAAGCACATACATATATACATATGGTACCTATTTGCTCTTTTATGCATGCAATAACTCTAGGTTATGCAAGAAATGTAATCAACAGCAGCTTCCTGATGGGAGAACAGGGCAGAGGGTTCTTGTCACCACCTCTTTCTATGCCAAGTCAACCTATTATCCAGTTAACTATAATCATGAATGTGCAGAGCAGTGAAGCCAACCGACCAGGGTGGCCACACAGAGTACTCACCAGGGCGCGTAGGAGGCTGCTATGAAGAAATAGATGACCATCCGGTCAATCATATGCAGACAATGTTCCACCATCCTAGGGCAGGCAGAGAAGGTGTTGGTCACGACCCTGGGCTGGAGCGCTACCCAGGGAAACCCACGGTTTCCCCACTAGGAGGGGCTGGGCTGGGGCAGACTCACCCCCATCCAGCCAGTGGACCCCAGGGGCCTCAGTCTCCCTACCTGTAAGTGACCAGAGCAGCAGTTTTCAAACCTGGCTCCTTGCTGTTGTAGGGGTGCACGAGTTGCCCCGGGGTTCCCTGAGGTGACTACTGACACACTCCCTGCATGCAACTCTGCATTTGGGGTTTATATACTGGGATCTTCAAAAGAGGCCATATATAGAGAGAATCCTGTACCTCAAAAACATGTACCACTGCAAAAAACAAACAAACAAAAACTGAGGACACTATGCACCCCTGGGTTCCAGCATCCTGCTCAGAAGACCTCTGTGACTGGCTGCCTGGCCTTGCCACCCAGGGACCTGGTAGGAGTCACCAACCCTTCTTAGCTCTGTAAAATAGGAAGGAGACTGTATTCCGACCACAGAGTCACTGGGAGCACTAAGTGAGTTACTATTTAGCACATCGCACAAGGAGAAGTGCTCAATTAATGCTAAATCCTGCCACGGCCTCCCCTTGAAGAGTTGAGCTGTGGCCCTCATGCTAGGGCTGGTGACCAGCCTCCAAAATGGCACCATGAGCCCTGCCTCCTGGAATTCTCACCCTGTACAGTCCCACCCACAGGGGGAAAAAAAAAACAGGGCAAACTCATGCAATCAACAGGCTCTTACAGAAATCACAGGGGTGATTTCCAAGGCTGGATCATAGGATATATTACAGCATCTGCCTTGTTCTCTTGGGCCACTAACTTTGGGGGAAACTAGCCATCATGTGGTGTGGGGAGGTTCATCTGGGGAAGAAATATTTAGTTGGCACTAAACATCCAGCGCCAACTTGCTAGCCATGGAAGTGGGCCCTCCAGTCCTCCGTCGGGCCTTCAGATGACAGAGCACCAGCCAACAAGTGACTGACCCCCAAACCACAGCTGGGGAGCTCCCGATCCTCTGAGGCATTGACAGAGGAAGCACATTTCTTATTTTTAAACTACCACATTTTGGGGGCATTTTTGTTAATGCAGCAATCAAGAACTAATACAAACTGTGATTCTCTCCAGTAAACCGCAGCCCTGAACAAGCTTGAACAGGGACTCAGCAGGGGGTTCAGCCACACCTGTTTCTAGACAAGAAGACAATGATAATGGCTGCCACATGGGGAGCCCATGCCACCATCAGCAAGCACGCTGTTCTAGGCCCCTAGTGGCGCTGACTGGTAACCTTACCTACAAGGCTGGTCCTTCATTTTTTTTTATGGGGGTGGTAGTTACCAGGGATTGAACTCAGGGGCACTCGACCACTGAGCCCCATCCCCAGCCCTATTTTGTATTTTATTTAGAGACAGGGTCTCACTGAGTTGCTTAGCGCCTCACTTTTGCTGAGTTTGGCTTTGAACTCACGATCCTCCTGCCTCAGCCTCCCGAGCTGCTGGGATTATAGGGGTACATCACTGAGCCCAGCGAGGTCCCTCATTTTTATCTTTCACATCACAGGTGAGGACAGAACAATCATGCTGCTGGCTAGTGGGCCCTAAAACTAATGACTGGTATCTTTAGAGGAGGAAAGAGAGAGACACGAGGACAGAGACACACAGCAGGAAGCCAAGGCAGAGGAAGATGGAGGAGTGCTGTGGCCACACTCTGAGGAGCTCCTGGAGCCTCCAGAAGCTGGTGGGGACAAGAGGGAGCCTCCCCTGGGGCCTTGGGAGGAGGCCCTGCCCACACCTTGATCTCAGACTCTGGCCTCCAGGACTGTGAGGAAATAGATTTAAGATGCTTAAGCCACTGGGTCTATGGTCATTTGTCACAGCAGCAACAGGACACTCACCCTGTGGGGCTCAAGAAGGACCTGAGAAGGAGGGGAAGGATGGGGACAGGAAGGGAGGGACAAGCTTCATCGGGAAACTGGCATCCTGAAGAAAGCTCTGCTTAGACAGAAGCAGCTATGTGACCTTGAGCAAGGCCCTGTCCTGAGCCATGATGTCACGCTCTGAGCGGGAGGCACATGTGGGGGGCTCCTGTGAGTGAGGGGTCTGTCCAGGTGAGATCAACCCAGCTGCCCAAGGCAAAGCTTGTCCCCCGCCCCCAGTCAGCCTAGGGGTCACCCCACCCTCAGTCACTCTGGGCCTGGTTAAGCAGGTCTCTGGCAAATTCAGTTCCCTGCCCCGTCTCTTGGGCTGGGGCCACCCCATCCTGCTGGTGTCCCCTCCCATGGGTTGGACAGAGGCTACCTGAGGTGGCTCTTCTTCCAGGAGACAGTGTGGAATATGGTGGACACCACGAAGAGGGCGCAGAGGCCAAGGCCATAGATGGAGGCGGAAATGGTCTCCCAGCTGTCGTCGGACAGGAAGTAGAGGTTGGAGCTTCCGAGGATGCTGGGGATGATCCAGAGCTGGGGACAGGGCGGGACAGCACTGTGGGCCACTGGGACGCGCAGCCCAGGCCACCACACTTACCCCCCCCACTTCCTCTAGACCACACTGACCAATATGGCGCCAACATGGTGGCCTCGGGGCACGTGATGGGTGGCCAGTGGCCCTGCAGAACTGATCGGTTTCTTTAATTGCATGTGAATGGATTCACATTGACATTCCAGTGGCCACATGGGGCTAGCGGCCACCAAGGTGGACCACAGAGATCCAGATCATTCCTTAGGCTCTCCAGGTGCGTAAGAACCGCCACTCAGAGAACAGCAGCTCCGCAGCCCTGGCGCCACTCGGAGCCACCACCTGAGAGCCAGATGGGCCATGTGTCACACCATCACCTCCTTGGAGTTCCCTGAAGGCTGAGTTCAGGTGCTCAGGTGCCACGCAGCTTGCAAAGGGTTTAAATAGCGGATGATGCATTACGATCCGCCGATCGGGGTAGAGGACGGAACCGCAAAGCCCTTTGCCTTTACAAATGCATCATCTGCCCCCTGGGTCCTTGAACTTGACCTCCAAGCCCTTCCTTCCTGCTCTGCCCAGATCACATGCTCTGACCTTACTGTCAGCCAGTCCAGGGTGACAGTTTTCCTGCCTCAGAGCCTTTGCACATGCTGTTCCCTCCCCTCCTTGGGTGGCTGGCTTCTTGTCAGGTGAGACAGGAGCGGGGACGAAGGGGTCAGAGTTATAGATGTTCAAAAATCATTTTTCTTAATCTTCTATGTCACCTTAAAAAGTGAACCGCCAGCATCTCGTGCTTCTGCATGAGGCTGTCATCCTCCTTGTGACCACCTCCAGGCCCTCGACTGCACCCAGTCACTCATTCCTTCCTTCCTGTGAGCGCTGATCTACCCTCAAGCAAAGAAGGACTCAAAGCTCACTGCGGGCATCCTGCCCTCCCCAGGGGCTCCCAGGGGCTGGCTAAGAGGGTGTACAGTAAGTGCTCAGTTAACAGAGGGCCAGGTGGTGTCTCAGTGGTAGAGCGCTTACCCAGCATGTGTGAGGCACTGGGTTCGACTCTCAGCACCGCATATCAATAAGTGAATAAAATAAAGCCCACCAACAGCTACAAATACATTTAAAACATTTTTTAAAAACAGAGGGCTGGGACGGGTGCTGCTCCATCTCCAGAGCCTGCTGGGCACAGCCATGACTGTCTGCAGCTTCAGGGCCCAGAGCAGAACAAAACGCAGGCTCCTCCTCAGCCTCAGGCCCCGCCCACCACCCCCGCTCAGCACCCCTTCCCCCCCATCCCCGCATGGGCACTTGCATTTGCCAGGAGGATATATAGTGACTCCGGGGACCCTCAAGCCACCCTTGGGAACGACTCATGACACCCATTCTGCAGACGAGGAAACGGAGGCTCCAGTCGCTCAATGATGGAGCTGGGGTTCAGAGACAGGTCTCCCCTCGCTGGAGGTTTGCTCTTGGGACTTGGGGCAAGTCCTCTGGCCCCAGACTCAGTTTCCTCCTCTGTAAAACCGAGAGCTCCTGTTCTGAGGGGGTTGACTAAGAGCAGCACGCGCAGGATGGGGCATCCGTGTGGCGCCGGGCACTCACCATCTCAGTGCCAGCCGGATGAACCCCTCAGTTCTGGGGCTAAGAGGTGGGAGCGGGGCCCAAGAGGGGTGGGGCCAAGAGAATTGGGCGGGGCCAAGGTGAGTGGGCGGGAACAAGAGGGGCGGGACTAAGATGAGTGGGCGGGGACACGTGGAGGGCGGGGCCGTGTGGGTGGGACCAAGGAGTGGGCGGACCTAAATGAGTGGGCGGAGCCAAGAGGCGGGGGCAGGGCTGAGAAGCAATGCAATTCAGCTCGCGGGTTCACTGGCAGCTACCTAAAACGCCAAGGAGCCACCTCAAGGACTCAAACTACACTCAGGTCAGGACAAGGGCAGTCTGGCACCTCCAGGGAACCAGGAACAGCTTGCAGAATGGCCGAGCAGTGGGCACTGCAGGGCAGCAGGGCCTACCACTCAGGGCTCCCCAGCAGCGGGGCAGCCGGGAGGGACTTCGGGGGAGCATTTCGACAAGGCCACAGAGGAGGAGAAGGGCTCCGGGGCGGAGTGGCAGGTGTTCCCGGCAGTGGGAACGGCATGTGCAAAGTCACCTGTCTCCCCGGCGCCACCCAGAAGGGTCCCCCTCGCAGCCCTCGGCCCCCGAGGGCAGACTCACAGCGTGGGTGGCACAGTTGGCGGCATGTTCGTACTCCGTGGGCTGGTACCGCTTGTGGGCGGGGACCCGGTGGTTCATGAACCTGGAACAGAGGCAGGATTCCAGGGAGCTCAGCTGCGGAAGCCAGGGGCCCTGAGGACCTCACCCCTAGGGGAGGGGAAAGGCGCCTCTCCTCCCTCGGCCCTCCTCCCTCCAGTTCAGATGGGGCTGCGTCCCAGTAAAACCCCTCGGAAGTCAAACGTGCAGTTATAGCCCGACTCGCCCATCATGAGGGAAACCCCCAGCTGAACCAGCGTCAGGGGCTGTCAGCTGCAGGATGCCATATTCTATTGGCCTCCCTCCCTTCCTCTCTCCCTTCCTTCCTTCCTCCCTCCCTCCCCTGGGGATTGAACCCAGCGGGGTGTTAGCCACAGCTCTGGGCTTGCTCCCAAGCCGCTGGGATTACAGGTGTGCACCACTGCATCTGGCTTCTAATTTTTTAAAGTATAACTTACAGTTTGGCTCCCCAGGGGTAGAGCTCCATGAATCTTTACATACACACACCCACGTAACACCACCCGGGACATAGCCAAATCCCCTTCTGCCCCTCCCCAGTGTGCACCTTTCCTCAAAGAAATCACCTTTTGACATTTGACTGATTATAGATCAGTTTTTCCTGCTCTTGAACTTGCTATTAATGGATATATATTGCACACACTCTTTTATTTCTGGCTTATTTTGTTCCAATGATTTTTGTGATATCCATCCATGTTATTAGATACAGCAATTGGTTGTTTTCGTGGCTGCATAGTATTCCACTGGTTAAATATACCATACATGATTTATTCAAACTGTTGCAGGTGGACTTTGAGTTTAGGACAACAAGGGATAATTGTGTTCATGAACACTTTTGTGCACATCTTTGGGTGAATGTGTATTTGTTTTTGCTGAGTTAGGATCTACCTGCAGAATTGCTAGGTGACTTCATTTTAAAAATAAACATTCATGATGTTTTGGTGATTGGAAACTTTAAAGTGTCACCACCTCTGGTCCTCATGGGAGCACCACGTGGAATTATTATTGGATTTATGGGTGGGGAGACTGCCGTGCAAAGAGGTGAGAAAGCGAGGTCAGCAGGTGACTTGGGACTCTATCTGTCCTAGCTGACTTCCAAACCTGGCTTCACCATGACATGGCTGTGTGGGGGCACTGGGTCAAGCCTGGGATGTCACACAAGTGAGAGCTGGTGGTACCTGGCTCTCAGGACAGGGGACAGGAGCAGCGTGTGAGCAGCATTCAGTTCCTGGAGCGCATGGGCTCAGATCAGGTAAGTAACCAGTTCACCTTGAACTTCACCAGAGGGATCAGCCACCACTCAATGCACCAAAACACTCTCCCCCAAGATCTCCATTATGACTATGTAGACCCCCCCCCCCACACACACACACACAAAAGACAGAAATGAGTGTATGGTTCAGAGCCCAGAGCTCCAAGCAACTTGGTTCAATGAGCATTTATTGAACACCTTCTGTATGCTGATATCATGTGGTCCAGTTTATGGGGCATTTATTTAGCACTTTCCAATAAATGGAATGGTGAAGTAAAAATCCCTGGAGCATTTATTGAGTGCCTTCTGTGTGCCAGCTTTATGTTAACATAGTTCATGGGACATTCATAGAGCCCCTTCTGTATGCAGGCTGTGCATATACTAGTGTGGCCGGGGCAGGAGCAAAGGCTGGAAGACGCTCTGCCAGGCACTGACCCTGACCTCCCCTGGGGTCCCCAGGGTCTGGTTTCCCTATACTGGCCCCCCAGCACCTGGATCAGGTCAGGGGTCCAAGTCAGCTCCCCCACCCTCCTGTTCTGATCACTGACCCTGCCTGCGTCAGGCCCTGGCTCCACAGTCATGTGACTCCGTGGTCAGTGTCAGGCCGAGCCCATCAGACACAAGAAAGCTAAGACCCCAGTCACTGGTCCCAAGGCTTCTGGGCTGAGGCTGCCCAACCCCACTGCTCCACATCCCTGCTCTGAGCACTTTGGCAGGAGGAGACTGAAAACGAGGCCTAGGATCTCAGAGGGAACGGCAGGAACCCTGCAGAGGGGAGCCCCCAAAACAGAGCCTCCCTGCAGATCCAGAACAGCAGGCCCAGCAGCCACCTTCTGTCCAGGTGGCCCAGGACGTCAGCAGCAGCCAATACCAGCTTCTCAACAAAAACCATGCTGTGGTGTGAACCCAGGGAGAGGCAGCCACAAGGTCCCATGGGCAGAGACAGGAGTGAGCCTTCTGCAAACCCAGGAGCATCCTGGGTGCCAGCCGCCACCAGAGCCACAGAGGGACCGTCAGACCCCCAGCCTGCTCATGCCGTGATCCTGGATTTCTGTCCCTGGAACCAAGTGCGTGCTCCTCTGTCACTGCAGCCGGAAGACACTGTCCCAGGAACATACTGTAGGCATGGCGATGGGCTCTGCCCAAAAGCCCCCAAGGAGATGGTGCCAATTGCCAATCTATACCGCCGCCACCGGGCCAGGGACCGCAGCAGCCAATTGCGAAGGGACCACAGGTGGGCGCTGCGTCTGCACCTGCTCCAGGTATGGCCTGGCCACCTCTCCTCCCCTGCACTCAAACAAACACCCTGAGCCACCCATAGCACCAGCCACGAGGGTTCAAGGGTGATGTCATGGTTGCCGTGGTGACCTGGGACAAGCCGTTATTTATTTATTTCTGGGCTCCACAAAACTCCCCTTGTCTGTTACTTACGCTGCAGCTATTGAAGGCCAGCGAGGGAGGGGATGAGAGGCCAGGAGACGGGGGCCAGGCCGGGCAAGCGCCCAAAAAACAGTTCCCACCACCCCAAAGACCCGGGGACGTTGCCTTTAACCCCTCGGGGACCAGTTTCTTCATAAGTCCCACTTTAAGAAGATAGAGATTTTATTTTTTTTAAGTTTACATGATAGTTTGCATGCATAAGGTTTTCTTTTTCTGCTATAGTTTTATGAGTTTGGATCACAGAAACATCACCACTGTTGAGATAAATAACAGCCCCTTCAGATCCCCACGTCCCCAGATCCTTGGTCCCCAACACCTCTCCAGCCTCAGCCCCAGCGATGGCTATTCCATCTCTTTCTAATTTTTGCCTTTTCCAGAATGTCACATAAACAGAGTCATCCCACAGCTATAGAGCCTTTAAAAATGTTTGAAGGGATCTTATGATATCAAGTCCAAGTGCATTTTCCATTTTTATTTATTAATTTATTTTGGTACCAGGGATTAAACCCAGGGGTGCTTAACCACTGAGCCACATCCCCAGCCCTTTTTCATATTTTATTTAGAGACAGGGTTTCGCTAATTTGTTTAGGGCCTCATTAAGTTGCTGAGGCTGGCTTTGAACTCACAATCCTCCTGCTTCAGCCTCCTGAGCCACTGGGATTATAGGAAAGCATCACTGTACATTTTTAAGTGAAAAGGAACTGTGTTCTGGATGCCAAACAGGACTTGCTTATTTTCTACTAACATGAATTTAAGACAGACTTATTTACACTAAAGGCAAACGGAGTCTCCTGAAGAGAATCTCACTTTTCTGAGCAATTGGTCCATATCTTCCATTCTGTTTCCACATACAGGCCTCTGAGCCTGGCTTCTCTCATTTAGCATTTGGGAATCATCCTCAATGTTGTATGCGCCTTCATTTTATCTACTTTTATCTTATTTAATTATTTTATTTTATGGGTGCCAGGGATTGAGTCCCTGGCCATGTTATGTACACATTTCACCTCTGGGCTACGCCCGCAACCCTCCTTCCTTTGCAGGACTGAGCAGTATTCCGTGGTATGGATGTACCAGAATTTATTCATCCCCAGAGGGACAAGGGGACTCATTTTTTTTTTTTTTTTTTGTACCAGGAATTGAACTCAGGGGCACTCCACCACTGAGCCCCATCCCCAGCCCTATTTTGCATTTTATTTAGAGACAGGGTCTCACTGAGTTGCTTAGTGCTTTACTTTTGTTGAGGCTGGCTTTGAACTCGAGATCCTCCTGCCTCAGCCTCCCAAGCGACTGGGATCACAGGTGTGCGCCACCTTCAACAGCTTCATGTTTTAACAGATGAAATCATAATTGAGATGTTTCAGAACAGAGTTGGCCAAGAGGCAACCTCAAGACCTCCAGAAAGTTTCTCTTGAAAGAGGCCAATACTTCTAGCAGCATGTTGCTGGTTAAACTAAAGAAGGACACTGGGTTTTTTCCCCCTCCTCTCTGGAGAACAGAATCTCCATTCTGTGGCCAACCTTTGTAGCTTTGATGATCATGTGGCCACAACCACTTGGAGGGCTCCCAAACTGAGCCAGGATCCAGACCCGAAGCTGGCAGGAGTTGAGCACACTATGCTCAATCCTGAACTGGAGGGGCCAGGGCTTTGGAGCGAGGCACAGCAAGGAGGAAGCCCTCTGCATGGTCACTTAGCTGCTGTGCCAGCTAGTGGAAATTACTTAACATCTCTGGGCTGCTGATTCCTGGTGACTGAAAGGGGATAATACTCCCTAGCCTGCAGGACCCACAGGAGAATATATGGCTCAAGACTCACATGGGACCAGACATGGCAGGTGCCCAAACAAATTCTCCTTTTACCTCCCCCCGAGAGAGTTCCCCCAAGAGCCCAGCACCTTTTTCTTACCGAAGCCTAACGCACCCAGGTACTTCACATTGGTTGGCAGGGGGTCTCACTTAATCCACAGCACTGGTATAAAGCATACAGTACCAATATGAAGGGAGGTTGGGAAAGGTTAGGTACTCAATCTTGGTTGCCCTGTAAGAATCACCTGGATGCCAGGTACAGTCCCAGCTACTCAGGAGGCCGAGGCAGGAGGATCGCTCTAGCCCAGGAGTTCAGGACCAGCCTGGACAACATAGCGAGACCAGTTTATATGTATCACCTGGGAAATGGCTGGGTGGAGAAACAAAATGTGATCTTCTCATACAGTGGAATATTACTGAGTCATAGAGAAGGGTGAGGCACTGAGAGATGCTACAGCTCCGATGAACCTCAAAAACAAGACACTAAGTGAAAGAAGCCAGACACAACAGATCACTTATTGTATAATTTCATT